CTCTTTATTGGCCGAGGGAGCCGGCGTACAGCTTCCGGGTCATGTGGCCAGCATGACTAAGCCGCTTCTGGCGAACCAGAGCAGCACATGGAAACACCGTTTACTTTCCCACCGGAGTGGTACCTATTTATCTACTTGCACTTTGACGTGCTTTCGAACTGCTAGGTTGGCAGGAGCAGGGACTGAGCAACGGGAGCTCACCCCGTCGCGGGGATTCGAACCACTGACCTTCTGATCGATAAGTCCTAGGCTCTGTGTGGTTTAACCCACAGTGCTGAGTTTGTAGTAAAGGATGCCCAGGTTGCCTCCTGCGAACCTTGCCTATATCCTTGGGCAAGGGTGAACGGCTGTTATTCCTTCTCCTGATTTTCAGCCACAGTTATGGCAATAAAGACCAGAGAACTTGAGGCATGTGACTTTGGTACCACTTGTATTTATGACCTACACCCCCTATGACCTTCTGATCAGCAGGCTCTGTGGTTTAACCCACAGCGCCACCCGTGTCCCTGGATGGAAGATATCAGCTAGCAAAAGTTACCTAGCAAAAGGTAAAAGCTGCATCCATTTGCATCTAGTCCTGCCCACCATTGGTATGTGGACTCCGGAAGATTGCCTTGATGGGAATGTGGCCCCTAGTCTGAAATGGGTTCCCTACTCCTGCTCTAGCCTAAACCCATTTAAATTTTCAACGACTGATTTCTACCCTACGTATATAATATTCATCAGAAGTGCAGGCAGTACATAAGAATGGGAAGCATCAGCCTTAGGCTGTTTCTATGTGCTGCTGTGTCTGTATGAACCAGATATCATTAAAAAGGTAAAAGGTAAAGGTACCCCTGCCCATCAGGGCCAGTCGTGACCGACTCTAGGGTTGCGCGCTCATCTCGCTCAAGAGGCCGGGAGCCGGCGCTGTCTGAAGACACTTCCGGGTCACGTGGCCAGCATGACTAAGCTGCATCTGGCGAGCCAGCACCAGCGCCGCACATGGAAACGCCGTTTACCTTCCCGCTAGAAAGCGGTCCCTATTTATCTACTTGCACTTAGGGGTGCTTTTGAACTGCTAGGTAGGCAGGAGCTGGGACTGAACGACGGGAGCTCACCCCGCCGCGGGGATTTGAACCACCAACCTTTCGATCGGCAGGTCCTAGGCTCTGTGGTTTAACCCACAACGCCACCCGCGTTCAAGCATTGCCTGCTTGAAAATCAGTATGCAGTAAGGTGGCAGCAGCTCCCCTGAGCACAGTGCCAGTGTCAAACCCGGTTAGCCTGCTCCATCTCTTGCATGCTAAAACCCATGCCAGCCCTGGGCTTTCCTTGGATAAGTACTACTTTCTTCAAAACACGCACATGCCACCTTTTAGCAATGGTTTTCAAAGCAGTTTGCAAACCTTAAAGCAACAAGTAAAATGACAACAAATGCATGCAAAGCAACCAGCAAACATAAACACAGTTAAAATTCAGAGCTTAAAATACTTAATATAACAAAAAGGACATGTTTTAAAATGCCCAGGTGATTTGTTTATTTTTAATAGAAGTATTTGCTTGTGGCCTAAAAGACAACAAAGTTGACAGCAGACATACATCTTTGGAGAGGGCATTGCATGGCTGGGGCACCATTATGCCACCTAAAAACCCACCTCCTTTTTGTAACAACCCCCATCTCTTGATGGAGGTGGTAACTGGAAAAGGGCATTGGCCAAGGATCCTAGCAGGCAAGCAGATTGGTGTAAAAGGAGATCCCCCTTGAAGTACTTGAGTCCCAAACCATTTATGGCTTCAAAGGTAAGCATCCCAGGTTTAAAATGGGTAGGCAAGTTAATAGGTACGTATAACATTTTGCAGCTGAGTGGGCAACTGCTGTGGGGTGGTCTGGCGAAAAAAGAGAACAGTCTTCCTTGCACCTTTTCATAGCTGTGTGGCAGAGGGAATTTCAGTAAGTGTACCTGGGCGCTGCCATAAATTTCTTTTTCTATGCAACTATTAACGACGCAGAAGCCCCGTTCTCTTTTGCTTCTGCCCCCCCTCAATGGCTGCGTTAGAACAGGGGGCTAGTCCTTCAGATGGGGAAACTCTATGGAAGGCAGGTGGGCAGAGAGAATCCGCAACACATTTCCTAGCATCAGAGGAAGCCTGCTGGATCAGAACAAAGGCCCACCTAGTCCAGCATCCTGTTCCCACCGTGACCAACCATATGCCATTGCAAAAGCACTGTCCCCTGAGAAAGATGGGCAGGGAGAAAGTGACAAATAAGATTTCAGACATAGAAATGAAGCTAACACACTGGACAAGACTTTGCTTGCTTGTTGACTCCAGAAGGGAATTTTGGGCATTTTATAAGGTTAAAAACTGGCCAGGCCCTAGGTAACATGATGGCTGTAGTATTGGTCCATGGCAGAGACCACCTTCTCAAGCCTCTGTACCTCCCCTTCCCCAAAGAATCAGACATGGCAGCCGGGACATGGAGCTGTCCAAACAGGGTAGTGCTGGATCTTTGATCCTCTCCTTTCTCTTCTGAAGTTTGTGCCATACTCGTGGGATGTGCCTGCTGCCACCTGATAATTTTTAGGAACCATAAAATATTGTGATTTTTAAATGAATTTGTGAGTTTGGACCCATCATGCCATAAATTGGGCAACGTCACATCAAAGTCACATTTGGTGGTGATATCTCAAGAGGCAGCCGAACCTGTGCCAAGAAAGAGGTGACGTCATCCCAAAGCCATGTTTTGGTCCACCACCTTGATTCAGAATGGTACCCAGCACTCACATATTGATGATGACCCCCCCCCCAATCAATCACTTTCTCTGTGGTTTTTTGGCACCTTTTAAGTTTCCCAGGGTTTTAAACTGTGAGTATTTGAATCCACTGATATTTTTCCAGAGCTGTAGATCTGTTCCAAACTTTTAGTGGTACTGTGTTTTTCTCTATGGTGTTTTACTCTAAGTTGCTGGTTTTTAAATGCTGGAATTCACATACTGTTTTATTGCTCTGTGCTTATTAATTTGACATATTATGTTATTTTTGCAAGCTACCTGAAGAGCGCTGCTTTGGCAGTGTGGTGTAATGGTTAGAGTGTTGAATTATGATAACCTGGGTGACCTGGGTTTGAATTCCCACTCATCCATCAATCTCACTGGGTGACCTTGGGGTGGTCGTTGCCTCTCAGCCTATCCTATACCACAGAGTTGTTGTGAGGGTAAAATGGGGGGACGGGACGATGTACACTTCCTCAAGCTCCTTGGAGGAGAAGGAGGCATATAAATGTAAGAAATAAATAAATGTGCCATTAATAAAGTAATGTCAAGTTATAAGAAAGTAAGTAAGTAATGAGCACATATATGTGAGCATGCCCTCAGATTCTCAATAGAAGGTGGAACATTGTACAGACCACATCTTAAGCTAGCAGACTTGTCACAGTTGGAGCTCTCTGTGTTCCGGGGATCAGTTAAGTTAAAACTAGCTTGAAGGTGTATAACTCAGACCCACCCAACTGGGGCCCCCCTGTGTGGCTCAGCTGGGGTCCTCAGAACAGCCAGTTTTGTCATTCTAATTCTAGCCTGCCCTTTGCAGAGATATTAATGGACACCAGTTCCTGTATGTAAGGGAAAGATCGGTCAGCAGGGGTGGTTGGGGGTGGAATACCCTGTATTTGGTGTATGGAATAACAGTCAGGGCTGTGTGAATAGTTATCAGCCTGGCAGCTACAGTATGTGGCCAATAAATCTAACAGATTGTGTGTGGGGGGGTTGAATTTCTTGCTTTTACTTATTTCCTTCTGGGAAACTGCTCTAGTCAACTCACAACACCTTCCATGTAAGTGGAAAAGGCTTACTTCAAATCTATCAGCAACTATAGTATGAAGATCTACCATGAAAAAATTATGGCTGGACCCTCAACATTGGAGGTAGTGGGGATCCTATCATATTATTTATAAGGATGGCTGATTTGCCCAAACTTTGGCCCCATTAATGTCTGTGAGGCACTGTTGATTTATGGTAAGTGGAAATCACCAATATAGCTCCAATATAGCCAGGCTCAATGATACCAGTTTTGTCTCTGCTTCAGTAGAATGAATGTAATTTACTTGAAAGCAGATTTAGCCCCATGCAATATCAGAATCAGTTTAATATTTCAAGGTAAATCATTCATTCTCAAAATCCTTTTGCAGATCTTTGGTACTGTTGTTTAAAAAGGCAAACCAGGACATGGTTCCCTAATTATAAAATGTGATAAAGGATGAAATTTAACTTACACTATTGCAAAGATGTTTGATTAGGTACATATCCCATCCCTCCTCCAAAGGGCTAAGGAGAGGATGCATTCCCCCCCCCCCCGCCACTTTATCTTCTTCAGCCCTTATCTGGTGGTGCTTGTTGCCCCCTCTGATGCCACTTTGGTACAATTTAATGATTTTACAATTTCAGGGTGAATATTGTGTGTGCGCACTCCGAAGTCTCGTTGATTTCAAAGGCGCTTACTCCCAAGTAAATGGATCACGCGTTTAGCCACGTTCTGGTCCCCCAGAAAGACCCCACCCATTTGTCTCTCTCTGGTTTCGTGGGCCTTTGATCTGCCCTCGTGTCGGATCAGAGGCTGGCGCTGGCCAAGCAAACGCTGGCTTCCTTCTGCTTATTTTCCTTCGCCCGTGATTTTTTCCTTCGCTCTAATTTGTTTTTTTGCATGTCAGGAATGACTGTGGCCGCGGCTGCTCCTCATACTGGTATGCCTGTGCACTGATGTGCCCTATGGGAGCAGGAGCCTTATTCAGCAGTGTCCATAAAAGCGCTACTCTGCTTAGCGGAACACCCTGGCCCGCGCGAGACTACGCGCGCATCGCCTCGGAATGCACTAGCCTTCTAATTTTATGAATGACTCTATTCATTCAGCCCCTCCCACCTTTCCAAAGCCCCTCCCCTGGAATGTTTGGAAGTGCGCCACCGTTGCTATTGGCCGGCGAGGAGGTTCCTATTGGCTCCCAGCCCGGTAGGTGGGAGGGGCCCCGGGGAAATATAAATGCAGAAACAACGTAGTTGCTTTGTAGGTATTGAAAGTTGCGCAAAAAGGGGTGTGCGGAGAGCTTACGGAGCCGAAGGATCCTGGGGACAATTTTGCAGCTGTTCTACGATTCACTGGCTGTCTCCTCCGGATCGTCCGAGAGTCATTTTATTTTATTTTATTTCATCTCCTTTGGTATTTGTGCTCCTTTTCCGGCGTCTCCTCCCATCCGACAGCAATGAGGCAGGCTGTCCTGTTTAGCGCTGCTTTCTTACTCTGTATCTCCCTGGTGAGTAGCTCTTGCTTAGCCACCTCTTTCTCTTCCGCTTAGGCAAGTGAAATGTGCGCGCAACGCTGTTGACGATGACAACAGGCAGGGGTGACCGACCACCAGGCAGCGAGAATCATTTGGGGAGGGGGTGTTTCATCAAATGCTAGCGAGCTCTCGCTAAACTCTGGATTCCAGTTCCTTGCTGGCCCCCCGGCCCCCTCTGCTGGCTCTCCCGGCGGATCCCGGGCTCACCAACGTGACTGCACTGGCGGAGTCGCATTTATTCACACGCGTCCCGGCCGGTTGCGGTGGGGATGGGGGTTGATCCCCGGGTCCTGGGAGGTGTTCTGTGCCTCGAAGCGGTGCGGAATCGAGCCGGTGTGTGAGAGACTTTCTAATGCTTAAATCTGGCGAGCCTGTCCAGAGTGGACGCGCTCAGGAATAGAACCTTATCGAGCATTAAGGTGAGTTTTTTAATTTCCGCCCCTGTGGACTCCTGGGAGCTGCAACTCCGCCGCCGCTTTAGCCCCGGTGCCTCTGTGGCGGGGCTGCTTTGATGGTGGTGGCAGGGATTTTATTACGGAGATTTATTTGGGATGGAGGGGACGGGCACGTTGGTAGGGGAGGCCGAGAATGCCGGGACTCCGTGGCATGTAGCGCCATCTAGGAAACTATTTTGGTGTGGCCTTTAAAATAAATACATAGCAGGCGGCCAGGCGAAGGTTAAGATCCGCGCGTCCCCAAAGATCCCACAAGCGCCGCAAGCTGTAAGAGAGGAGGAGGGCCCTGATCCGGAACTTCAGCGCCCCAACTTGCCCGCGGAGTGCTCCTCTCGGCCAGCTTCCGCCTTTCCTACCTCCCTGGGGTAGTTCAGTCGGTAGAGCAGTAGATTTTTAATCTCAGGGTCATGGATTTGAGCCCCCTGTTGGGCAAAAAGGATCCCTGCATTGCAGGGGGTTGGACTAGATGACTCTGGTGGTCCCTTCCAGTTCCAGGATTCCTCTCTCGTTGCAGGTGGCCTCCCGATGCCCCGCAACGTGCCGATGCCCCCCCGGCGGCCCGCCTCGCTGTCCCCCCGGAATCAGCCTGGTGCTGGACGACTGCGGCTGCTGCCAAGTGTGCGCCCGGCAGCTCAACGAGGACTGCGACCAGCTCTCGCCCTGTGACCCCCACAAGGGCCTGGAGTGCAATTTTGGGGCAGACCCCTTGGCAAATCGGGGCATCTGTTGGGGTAAGAGAGGCGAAAGGACGGAGCGGAGGAGGGCTTCGACCTTTCTATAGCTGTTTGTTTGTGGTGCTGGCTGGAGTCATGGTTTATCAGTGATCGTAAAATGATAACTTTTGAAATCGTTTCGTAAACCTACCTTGCACTCTGAAAGAAACACAGTATGCTGCTGCTGCTGCTGCTATTAAATAGAATTTTTTTATTTTAAGTTTCTATCCGGTTTATATATGCTTTAAATGAATGAATCAATTTATTTCGGTCACTGAACAGAGTGCATGATTTCAATAAATACAAAACAAACTATGCTTCCTGCTACTTAATCCTGTTGATGGTCATCATGATAATTTCAATTGAGTGGTTTTGTGCTTGCTGATTACCTTTTTTTTTTTTTGTATTTTATGTGAACTCTGCAAGAAAGTGCTTTGAAATCATTACTGTGATTTTAAGTTGATTTTGTACCCAGTGTGCTGGGTGTTGACCAGCAACCAACTATATTGGGCAGTGGCATGTTATGTACTAAACTGGCACCTAATCACAAACTGGCACATAATTTAATGAAGGAGGAAGGAGCAAGGGCTTCTCCTCCAGCCTAGTCAGGCACGTTCTCTGTTGGGGCTAGACTAGGAAAGGATTTCCTGTTGATGTACATATTCTGCTTTGGCAATCATATCAGGGATGACTGGTCCCCGTGTCCCAGGTGTGTTTTCTTTTAAGAGGATCAAAGTCCGGAAGGGTTGGGCAGAGCCACCGTGAGGGCTGGTGAAGGTAATTTGCAGATGTAGCAAAATACGTTGTCCAACCTCCCTCTAGTGACGGATGTAGTTGTGGAATCCATCGTGGCATTGCCATGACGATAGAAAGGTTAATGGAAATTGTGTGTGAAGAGGCACAAAACATTGGGCAGGAGTCTGTGTGGAGAGACAGTTGCGCAAATATTTTTGTTCCTGAAGCATTTTGAGAAAGCCAGTCTCTTGATCAAGGGTTTCCTTCAGTGCTTCTTGGAAAATTTGCTTGGGGCAACTTCTGTTGCCGGTCACCTAAGTAAGGCGAGAGTTGCCCCAAGCAAAATATTTGTGCAGCTTTTTCATGCTTGTTTGTTCCTATGACTGTTTTTTATCCTCCCTCTCTCTGTGTGCGCTTGCTTTAAAATGGCATGAGCTCAGGAGTTGGAGAGAAGTGACTTTGTAATCCAGCCTTCACCAAGCTAGTGCCCTCCAGATGTTTTGAAGCACAGCTCCCATCAACACCAGCTGTAGTCTAGAACATCTGCCAGGTTGGAGAAGACTGGTGTGGCCTTGCAGGCACATAAGGGGTGAAAGAGCTCTGAGGGCAGCTGGGCAACGATGGGACTCTTGAGTTGTGGCTCCGCTTGGTGGAGGGTGAACCTCTGTTGCTCCCCTCCTCTGTCTTCTCTCGTGGATGTGGTGAGCATTTTTTTCAGGGTCAGCCAGCCACTCCCTCTTTCTTTCCCAGTGGGATAGAAAACCAGATTTGCAGACTAGGAGGAGGGGAGTTCCTTGGCAGTTTCTACACCAGGTATTTTGCTCCCTTCTAGGTAGCAGGTTTATGATGCTCACACAAGAGCACACTTGCTTTTGGAAACATTGAAGGTCCTAGTAGATCTGTATTAGCATTCATCTTGTGGCTCCACGTATGCAAGCTACATGTTACCTCTCTCTCTCTCTGAGCTGGGAGGCGATGCTGGAGGGCAACACTGTTCCCATGAGAAAGCATGCTTTCCCCACTCCTTCCTCGAGACTACTTCAGTTCTGTACATTTACCAGGGTCACGGTTGTGTCTGGGACCACCTGTTTCCCTGTATGTCTGAGCACTGCCCCTTGCTGGAAAGTGTGAGAAGTAAGATCTTCGTTCAGGAGCACACATGCTAAGAAGAGAGCAAGGAGCAAGTGAAAAGTTGTCTAAATAGTTGCAGGGGAGTAAGGTGAAGGGCACATCTCTGTGGGCCAGGGGGAAGCACACTGCATGTAGCAGGAGGCTCTCCAGGCGTGGCTCAGGCCTTTGCAACCCGATCTCGTTCCATGTGAGCTCTTTGCACCCTGTTTTCACATGGCTATTTAAAGCTCCAAACACTCTCTTCTTGTTGACATGGCCCCTAAAAACCTAGTTCTGCAGAGGAGTGTATTTCTCTTACTTACGACGCTGGCAGGTTAAGTCCTGCTCTGTTTTTCACATCCACAGACTCCAGGGATGAGGCTTGCTGTTAAGTAGCTCACTCCCAGGTTGGCCTGAAGTTGCGGATGAGTAGAGGGAAGCAGGAAGTGAGGGAGTCCTCCCCCACCCTATCACCTCTTGGCTATTTTTAAACATTATCTGGTCTCCCATCATTGATCTGTGGTAACCATGGATGCCAATCCCTAACTAGACACCAGTTTAGGTGAATGGAGGATTTTGTGTTGCTGAGATGAATGTCAGGGACCATTTGCCCTTTGGCACTTATTTCAAAGGGTCTCTGAAACTGTTGCCCCCGTGCAATTCCATGATGACTTCTTGAAACCGATCCAGATGCTGTAGCTGGGTCCTCTCTTACAGGGACCTTACAGTCAGCATCACTTTTTCATTTTTAATCCAACTTCTGAAACTGATTAACACATACCTTTCTACCTCCTCAGCAAAGCAAGAAGGCCGGACCTGTGAATACAACGGCCGCATCTACCAGAACGGGGAGAATTTCCAGCCCAGCTGCAAACACCAGTGCACTTGCATCGACGGGGCTGTGGGTTGCCAGCCGCTCTGCCCGCTAGAGCTGCCCCTGGCCTCCCTGGGCTGCCCCAGCCCCAAACTCCTGAAGGTGCCTGGCCAGTGCTGCAAGAAGTTTGTGTGCAGCAAAGGACCCAAGAAGTATGGAGGGGTCACCTTTGAGTACAATGCCAATGGCGACTCCAGTGACAACGAGCTCATCTATGTGGGCAAAGGCGGACACTGGAAAAACCTACCAGGTGAGGGCTGAAGGGTGCAGTCAGAGCTGTTGTGACTGGAGGAGCAGGAATGTTATTCAGCTTCTGCCTGTATTTATACCAAGAGGCTTGTGGCACCTTAAAGACCTAACACACCTGTTGTGGCATAAGCTTTCATGGACTACAGCAGGGATGGGGAGGCTCAGGCCCCAGGGCTGAATAAGCCCCGCCCTCACTCCATTGGGATTTTCCCTAGGCCACACCCCCTATCCCCAGGCGACACCACTGCTTCGCTAACCTGGCTTTGCACGCTTCCTGAGTCTTCTTGGCAGGCTGTTGTATGTCTCTGAAAATGCCTCAAGCTTGCATGGATGGACCGAGAGGAGCATGTAAGCAAGTCTAGAAACTAGTGTACTGTATGAGTTAAAATTTGCACTGATTGCTCTGCTCCCTCGTGCCCCATCCACCCCTGGCTTGTGAATGCTTGAAGGTTGTCCAGATGAGAATGCAGCCTTCCTGCTAATGCATGATGAGACTGGAGTCTACCTGAAAGGGTTTCTTTTGCAACAACAGACTAACATGGCTGCTCCTTTGGAAATCCTTAGAATGGAAAGCATCCCTTTATATTGGATGTTTTCCATCGTATTAAGTCACTCTAATGCTTGCATAGGAATAGAGAGTCTGCGTGGGGATAGTCTTGGGCACTATATTTGTGGTTCTTGCTAAATTTGGTGTGCATCACAATTTAAGCAATTGCTTTGGGGACCTCAATATAGGTAGTTATGAGGTGATTTATGGCTGTAGGGATTCTCCGCCTCCCCAGCTTAAACCGTTAGGTACCTTTGGACCAAAAAAACCTGCTTTATGAGCTGTGCAGCAGTGTGTTGCATCTGCCCCATGGGAAATGGAGGAGCAAAGTAAGATGAAGCTTCCAGCCATTGCTAGTGAGACTGCATCTGTCAGAGGCATTCCCTTGCAGGATGATGTATTGTAGGATGTCATACCAGGATGTTTATTAGCAGGCCGCATTGCAAGGCTTAAGTCATCTGCTTACTGTGTGGCATTGCTCTTTGATGACAAGCTGCTCCTTAAACCGCTTTGGGACACCATCTCACCCATGAAACCTCCTTGCGCTATCAATTTCTAGGTCCGTGTCTCACACAAGCTAGAGGTGATGTAGCTACCTTCTCTTTTGACAGCAATCTAGTGGCTTTGCTACTAACTCTCTAGTTGGAATCCTGAAATTTCCTCCTGCCTCCAAGTATCTTGGTGTCTTCACTTCCTACTACCTGGGCCTCATGCGGTCTGGGCACCAAGGCACTGAGGGACAGGTTGCACCTTGAGAAGAAGTGCATAAGATGCAGCTGGCCAAGTTTATCACCCTTTTGCTCCAAGGGCGGGAAATGGAAAGCTGGCACTGTGTTGCGTGGAAGCGACATCTAAACAGGGTGGAGACACAGAACATAAATAGGGGTAAGAGTGGGAGTCGGCCTTTGCCCTTTCAGGATCTATATCTGATGCTCCCGAGGGGCAGGAAATGTGATCCTTCACTTGCATTTGCTTTGGTTCCCAGTTGCTATTTCGGCTAAGCATGGCAGTGGCTGCATAAGAGAGGGACCGAAAAGCATTAAATCTGTCTGAGAGGGATCGTTCACACAATCTCCTGTATCACTCTTGCTCCCAAGTGATGGTTGGTCGGAATGCCACTACTCCTGCATATTTTGTTTTGTGGTTTCATGGCGAAAGAGGAATGCAGGCATTTCCTTCCCAGAAGACAAGAGTTTGCACCTACTGGGAATTTATTCTACAGAGGCCAGTTTAGTCTAAATGGAGTTGATGGGTTCTCAGTTGCCAGAGTCCTGAACAGCCTCCACATCCCCTCTCCACACCCTCTTCCCTCCATTTCCCCCCTACAAACTCATTTCCCATGTGTCCTACCCAACATGTGGCCTTGCCTCTTTCTGTAGTTGCCATTTTGAATGGTGTGGCTGCCATGGAGGCTTACGAAGAATCCTGCTGAGTCATCTTGACTCAGCATGATGGCAGCTAGATGCCTCTGGGAAGCTCATCTACAGGACAAGGAGACAATTGCCTTCTGCTGTTGTCCATCAATGCCTGCCTTCCGTTTGTGGAAGATACAGGGACCCTGTGGCTCCCCAGGTGCTGCTGGATTCCAACTTCCATCATTACCAGCCAGCATGGCCAGTAGCTGGGGGTGATTGGAATTGTAGTCTAGTAACATCCAGAGAACAGAACAGACGTGTTCCACATCTCTTAAGGAACTTAATCCCTTTCAATCTCATTTTATGCTTGGCCAGTGGGTGTAGCTGCTGGCAGTACATCGCTCACTGTTCCCTTTGGATTCAGAATGACAGTGCAGTAACTGGAATTCCCTTCTCTTCCCCAGCATGGAGGCCATTCTTCCCAAGCCACGTGGCAAAGCAACAGCACAAGTGCTTGGCTCAGACTACGGACTGGTCGCCATGCTCCAAGAGCTGCGGCTTCGGCATCTCCACCCGCGTCACCAGCGACAACCCGAAGTGCAAACTGATCAAAGAGACCCGGCTGTGTCAGATCAGGCCTTGCGGGAAACCTGATTTTTCCAAACTAAAGGTGAGGGTTGGGAAGGCGGGAAGAGGGCGAGCAGGTAATAGGGGAGGGCACTGCTTACCACAGAAGCCCAGCATCTGGGACACGAGAGCTGAGTCTCCCTGCACTTCCAACCGTTCAAAATGGCAAGTTTTGGAGAATGGGAGAGCCTAACAGGAGGGATTAGGGCCCAAGATGGTGAGATGTTCTGCTCCAGGCTTACATTACAGGAATGGTGCCTGTGGGGCTAAGGGGTGTGTGTGCTTGTTTACTAGAAAGAATAGCTCAGCTGGGTACAGCGTGGTGCTGATAATGCCAGGGTTGCAGGTTTGATCCCCCATATGTGACAGCTGCATATTCCTGCAACTGTCCCATATTCCCTTCCAACTCTATTATTCTATTCCATGACTCTAGCTTCTCCAGCTGTATGCTTTGTGTGCATACAGCTTTCCTGGGCTGTATTCTTTTGCACACAGTACAAATACTTTCCTCTCCTCTTTTCAGAAGGGTAAGAAGTGCTTGCGGACACACAAAGTGCGGGAGCCCGTGAGGTTCAGCTACGCCGGCTGCAAGAGCCCACGCCGTTACCAGCCCAGCTACTGCGGGTCCTGCTTGGATGGCCGCTGCTGTGTCCCTCTGCGCACTCGCACCCTGAGTGTGCCCTTCCATTGCCCGGATGGGAGCTCCTTCTCCAAGAACGTCATGATGATCCACACTTGCCAGTGCAGCCCGGCTCATTGCCCGCTCCTCAGCGAACCTGCCATGGGGCCCCGGTACCAGCTCAATGGGGATATTCACAAATTCCTGGAGTGATGGAGCCCGTTACCCTCGGGAACCGAGTTGACCCATTTCCAGTGACTCTGGATCACCCCTATGGACTTGAGGCCCCTCTGCCTGATGTCAGGAGAAAACAGGACATCCTAAACCTGCCCTGCTTCCATGAATGCAAATGCGACTAAAATTAGGAAAGGCAACATGGATTTTGGAGGTGCACTAGTTTCTCAGTATATGGGTTGATTACATTGTGCTGTGCCTGGGAGTCTGGAGATCTAGCGATTTGAGGAATGGATCTCATGTCGCTGGGTTCAATCTCTCCATTCAGCCCAGCCAGGCTCAGGCTGGAACTGGGCCTTGGGCAACAAAATGGGAGAGTCAAACAAAGAGATCTCCCCATTGCAGCCACCTTTAGGGCTCCACAGTCCATGCTTTTGGTCACAGTGCTGGAAGGAAGGAGGAAGCACAGCCCTCGCGCACTAGGGATAGCTGTAAATTCTCTGGTTTGAGTTGCCAAATCCCAAGATGGACAGCTCTGATATCCTTAAGGTCCTTTGACTGGAAAGAGCAGAGGAGGACGCAAGGCAGATAACCCACAGCTGGACTGGATTGGGGTGAGGGCAAGTCAGATCTGCCCTGGATGCCTCCCTAAGATCCTATGGTCCTTTTTAGATTGAAATCTGGCAATGCAACTTCAAGACAGCCCCACAAATAATAAATTAGGATGAGTTTCGGTACAGAGTTCAAATTAATGGTCAGTAGAGGAGGGCATGGTGGACTGGCGGTGCTCACTTGACCTCCAGGCAACTGAGTTGCTACTATGGGTGGAGGGACAAGGCAGTGGGGAGGTCACCATGATGCAAACGCAGAGGCAGACCAGCACTCCTGGTGTGTTTGCACTGCGCTGACCTCCTCGCTGCCTCGCCCCTCCCATTCCAGGTAAGCAGAAGCAACTCAGCTACCCAGAGGTCAGGTGATTGCTGCCACTCTACCATGCTGTCTGCTGCTGCTGCTGCTGTTGCTTTTTTAACCCTGTGAATTATTGAGAAAATGGCCAAACAAGGGTTGACAGGGACCTGCTTCCCCTTCACTGCCTGCTGTTTGCACCTGTGCTTCTAATTTCCTTCCTTGTCTGCCTCAGTTGGAAACCTTTGCTTCCCAGTCTGTCCTCCTTTGAACCGAAGGGCTGCCTTGCCTCCTGCTCACAGCACACCCTGGTGGTGAGATGGTTTCCTGGAGAGAGAAACCTGTAGGCAAGGACAATGCGGAAAGGGAAGGGCATATCCGTGCATATTTGGCTTCTTGCTCCAGTTTGTGCTGTTTCCCAGCTCATCCTTCTGCATGTTGTCAAACTGTTATTCAAACTTGGATTGGGGGGAATATTTTTTTAAAAATTAAAATGTGGGGAAAATCAGAGTAAACACACACATTGCAGACTGTAAACAGACCCCCCCCCCAAAAAAAGAGGGAGGGCTGAGAGTTGAAGGAGATTTTCTGTTTTATTTCAAAAACCAGCAGACCCTGTTTATCCAGATGTAATGGTGGCAGAAGGGAAGCACTTTCTCAAATCACTTTCTTCCTTTGAAAATCAGCATCTGCCTCCAGACTAAGACATGTTGATTTCCGGAACAGTCATTTGTAAAAGGCAATCCCCCATTTGGGGAGACTCTCCTCTCCAGCAATTCTATCACACCATGGCTAAGCTTAAAGAGCATCTCCTCTTAGATTTATTGAAGCACTTTTAAATAATAATAATTAATCATGTTCCCTATATGTTCCTGGTGAGCAGCAACAGGGATTGTCAGAGAATAGGGGGGCAATGTTGGAACAGATATTAAACTGTTAAGTCTTTCTTGTCCTGTTGAGGAAAACTATATTTATGAGCGCAGCAAAGTAGGCTTTGCTACAAATAAGGAGATTTTATTTTATTTACCTTTTTTGCATAAATATTATAGCTTCAACGCTGGTTTGGAGTGTCGGCTATTTAGCTTCATAATGAAGCCTTCCTTGCTTTGCATCTTGTAAGCAGAGCTTTGATTCCACTCTCCCTCTTGGATCTTAAAAGTTGCTAGAATGAAATGTCTGTCATTTCATTCTGGTGTTTGTGCCTCTTTCTGTCGTCTTGGAGGTTTTGGTGTAGGAAAATCATGACACTGCCCTTGCAAAAGGGCTTGATATAAAATGTTCAAGGGGTGTGTGATAGGTAACTGATGGGGTCTTATGAACCTTGGTTGCTTTCCATTTCTACAGCCATCGCCCCTGAACTCCATTCTTCCCAATGTAGGAGGAAATTGGATTTGCAAAACCAGCAGGACCTGACCTTAGTTGGAACTGAGGGGTTCTTGTTGTTTTCAAAATGTATTCTTGGGCTCTCAGTTATGATTTTAAGGCTACAATCCTATGCACATTTTCTTGAGAGTTTGGCTCACTGAACTGATTGGGTCTTACTTCTAAGTAAACATGCACAAGCCTTCTTCGTGAGATACTAGTGACCATATTTATCGCATCCTCATTATTAGCAGCTGACATTTATTTATTGTTTAAGTACCAGTTGTGCCAAATGTCTTAATGGTTTCTTTTTACAGGTGAACCAATTTAGTAGATATGCGGAATGCAGTAGGTTTTATATAGTTCGCCTTCAGTGTTACTTTAAACAGTCTCAGCCCACTGCCATTCCACCATTTTTACCAGACACTTCAATGGAGCAATAGAAGACTATGCATATACATATTAACATCTGACTAAGACTGAATGGTGGGAGGCAGGGTTTCAAATACTATAGGGCAGAGGTTTTCAACCTTTTTGAGTCCACGGCTTCCTTGACCAACTACATTCTTTCTGCGACTCCCCTGTGGGGCTCAGGAGCCCAGTTATGTCACCCCTTGCCTGCAGAGCTGGCAGCCTCTCATCCTTTTTCAAACACCTTCCCATGTGGAGTGTTCCCTCAGCCTCCTCTCCCGTCTCCTTGGGAGTCCTCTGGGCAGCTGCTGCTGCTGTCCCTGGTCTCTGAGCGTCCCCCACTCCCCCAAAGAGAGGTGCCTCCCAGAGGCACCATTTGCCTGTGGAGCTTATAGCCTGGGCTGCTGCAACAAACAGCTGTGCAAGCCTTTGAGAGGCAGAGACACAAGAGGGCATCAGAGAAGGGAAGGAAGGAAAGAGGGGCAGAGGCCAGTGTTGCCTACGGTACCCCTGACCATCAATCAAGGCACCCAGGGTGCCACGGCACACTGGTTGAAAACCACTGCTATAGGGAATCAACATGAGCTGATTTACAGTAAATGGGAACAGTGGCGGATCTTGGTGTCTCAAATTTAAGCGGTCAGGATCCACCCGCTCCCCACCTCTGGCGCCATCGAACTGGTTGTGCTCTCCTAGATCTGCTTTTGATAGGAACGCTGATCTGAAAACATTCAAACCAAATTCACCAAAGGTGAATGCTAAATGCTATGCACTCCAATAACCCTACAAGGATATAAATACAAAACATCATGAAAATCACCAGCATACAACATCCCCTGAAGATATTTGGATTCTAGTAGGTCCCAAAATGAATAAGTTAGCAATATGTCATTATTTTGCAAGGGGGTGGAATGAGAAATATGCCATTAATACTCATGTTAACAGAAAGATGGTAAGATACAGATGATGCTAGCATTGTTCTGCACTGGTTAAATCTCATTTTAAGGATACAAATGAACGCCAGAAGCTTCTATACACAGAGTCAGACCACTTGGCCTTGTATTTGCTAGCTGGACTGACACCAGCTGTCCTGGATTTCAGAGAGGAGTTCATAACTGTACAACAAGCTTCAAGACCTGGAAAGAGACTTACCTTGGGTCACAGTGCCTGTAGGGCAGGAGAGGGGATCTTACAGCAGTGTGACTTTACTGCCATCTAGAGGCCACCTTCTCTGTAAAAGCCAGGTTGGCTGCCTGAACCAGGCATGGAATGTGGTTTTTAGAGTAAGAGATCAAAACCTCTTGCTTTTAGACCAGCTTTTACAAATAGGAGAGGGGTAAAGTAATTTAGCTATGTCTCCTCAAACAATGACAATCCAATTCTTGTCTTCTGGAATTAGCATATTCATTGACTATGTCACACAAAATCCGTGAGAAGTGTCACCTTTGGGGTTATGGATTTTCTGTTTTTAAATGTTTAAAAAGAGGTATCTTATGGGGCCAGAACCAGCAACCAGATCTCTAAAAGATGTCATGAAAATACGCTAATAATAATAATGGTTCATTGTATCCACTGCAACACAAGTCCTTTGAAACTGGGGATGGGACAGGACGGGGATGGGGATGGGTTAGGAAGGTAGAGTTTATTTTCCCGGTTTCCAACAATGGCTTGCTCCCTGCTCCAGCCTAGAAGTCTTTCCATTATGTTGTTGTACACCACCCTAATCTCCCCGTGACACTTACCCAGGGTTCGGTTTCCTTGGAGTGTGGCACAGCGGAGGCTATGGTGCATAATTGATTTACACTTCTATACAACCTAAGCCTACAATGGAGGGGTTCACAGCATTGACACCCCAAAAGGGTCTTGCCTCTCCCATAGCCACAGCCTTGGACTGCAAGAGAAATCAGGCGTCACTCTGACCCTCTCTTTTTTTTTTTTTTTAATAATTTTTATTAAAGTTTAAAACAACATAACACAAAAAAAGAACAGAAAAACTCACATAAAAATAATACAAAACTTAACAATAAAAACACAAAACACAACAATTAAAAACAAACTCTCTTTTCCATTTCCAATTTTACGTGACTTATTTTCTAGACTTCCTCAAACCTCCCTCCTTTGTATTCCAGTCCACATTGTTTGTTCAGCAATTTCTTTTCCACTTTTTTTTTAATCCCAATCTTTAATTTAATAAAATGTTAAAATATATAACTTCAATTTTTTTTTTAAACCTAGTCCTTGATCTTAATATCATATAACTTTAAAGTTTTCCCTTTTAATATCAAATTTCCATAACTTTAACCTGTGCAGCTGGAAACCACTTGTTTTCAGTCCAACATCACTCTAACATTCCTTAATTTTGCAGTGTTTCTGAAGATAGTCTTTGAATTTCTTCCAGTCTTCCTCCATCGACTCTTCTCCCTGGTCACGGATTCTACCAGTCATTTCAGCCAGTTCCATATAGTCCATAAGTTTCATCTGCCATTCCTCCAGCGTGGGAAGTTCTTGTGTCTTCCAATACTTTGCGATGAGTATTCTTGCTGCTGTTGCTGACCCTCTGCCTTACCAGCCTGCTGCCTTGCTTCCATCTTCCAACTCACATAACTTCACTCTCAACTCTGACCCTCCTCTTTAACTTCCAGCCAGTGGAGGGAGGAGACCCACCCATTTGCCCTCTGGTGCTGAGCCACTTCTGTTCCATCGGTAGCCCAGTACCTAGTCTGTCACCTCACCAGGAAGCTAGCCTAGCTTTTCCAGGAATTAGAATCCTTGATTAGATTTCAACACTTGCAGGGGCCAGGGGTTAGAAGGGCCTCGGCATACAGCCTACCTCCTCCAAAACTCTTAACGCTATGCAACTTAGCAAACACAAGAGAGAGTGCCTAAGTCTGCAACAGCCAGCTGCTTCACTGCACTATATAAACTATGCCACCGTTTCCCAAGCTGAAAACACATAAAATAAATTGTGGGATTTGGGACAGTTGCAAATCAGTACTCAAAATGGTAATCAACAATTCTGAGTGTTATTGCCGTCCCTCATCAAAATCTCAAAGCTCTTTGGATCATTAAAGACTTCAGTCTGTGAGTGGAAAGAGGTTGCTGTTCATTGATCTCCCTTACTGGAGTGTAATGGCTGGAGTAGAAGTGAAATGATCTGATCCAGCCTGCAGAAGAGTGTACAGCTGAACACATTGCCAATTTGCCAGCTCTATCTATGCTGATCCTTGGAGAGGCAGGTTGGAGAGGAGGCAGAGGTGGTGATGAATAGATTGAGTCCAGTGTCCCTCTTCCCCACACAAAAATTAGAGCCAGCAGGACTGGAGGAGCACTAACCATGTCGCTGGGGGGAATGGATGTGTGTATTTTTAAGCACAGCAGCACATGCGCAACTTCCTGGTGCATGCAGAAATCTCTGATTCAGGCCCTGGTGCCTGGTTAGGGTGGAGGGGTGGCACCTCCATATGGCCTATAAAGAATTAACCAGGTATAGCAGCCATATGTAATGAATGTCTCTCTCCTTATCCATCATTATTGTGATTTTTCTTAAATAATCATTTTAGAGCTATTTTCATTGTGCAAAGTGCTTTCCAGTTCTTCTCCTCCTCTGCTGTTTCTCCCAATTCATCTAATGAATAGTGGGCTTTATTTTAAAGAGATCTATGTATTAAAATGAAAAGGTTCAGTGGTTTTATATTTTGCAGATACATGCATATATGGAAATCTTTGTTTGGTTTTTATAAAATTAAACAATTATTACATAACACATACTCTGATCCAGGCTAAGTTCTGGGGGACTAATGAAGGGACTTCAGGGTGGTGGTGATTAATGAGTACAGCTGACAGTGAAGGAGAGATTCTGGATACAAAAAACGCCAACACACACAGCCATTATGAGTCTTGAGGAACTCAGGTTCGTCTCCAGTGCTGTTGAATTCTGTACGTGGGAAGGGGGGGCACTATTTTGCCCTTTGCCTGAGGCAGCAAAATGATTTGGGCTAGCCCTGCTCTTCCCCTAGTATTAAGATCCAGCATTTTCACTCCTAAAGTAAACAAAAAATTAAAAAACACAGAGGAGATTAGAGGCAAGCAAGAAGCACCCACCTCTGGAATTAGCTGTCAGAAGCAAGTTTTCGTTCTGAAGGCCAGGACAACTCTTCCCATAATAATCCTCACTACTCCTTGCCGGCTAAGGAAGGATGAAGACCACTTCATCACCAGGCCTTTCTGCAACACACCATGCAGCATGTAACTCAGGAACTGCAACCTGCAAATACAATCCAAATTAGTTTGTCCACGCTGCGAAGAAGGCCCTAAGGCAAGTTGCAGGTCTGAGCAAACATGAAAGAAAATGCTGGACATGGGGGTGGGCAGTGCTAGATAATATAGTGCTATATTAAGTGGTGTGTTTTCAGCTGATTTTGGAAAGCAGCCCTCAGAAGTAGCATGATGTAAAATATAGCAGGGTGTGTAAGCCACTTGGACTCTGCTGCCACAAAGCACACAGGCTGATGGCATGTTGATTAAAAACAAAACACAACACAACACAACAACCAGAAAGATTTGTGGCACCTTGAAGAGTCTCCAATTTATTGTAGCATAAGACTTGGTGGACTAGAGCCCAGTTCATCAAACATATATTCAAATACATGGCTATAGAGAAAACAATTGTTAACAACTGGGCCAAAAGGTCATGAAATACAAGAGATCATGAGACAGAAATTCCTGATCTGAATACATAGGATTAAACTTGCTCATAAATTCTAATCCAGCAATTTCACACTGGAGTCCTCGTAAAAGTCTTTGCTGTTGTTAAATGCTGGTGATTTTCAGGTCAGCAGCAGTGTGTCCTGAGAAAATGAAATATCTTCCCAATAGCTTATGCTGCCTTAAAAAAAATATGAAGCATTGTGCCCATTTATTCTTAACTGTGGGTCCTTGCTTATTTGTCCTATACAGACACTAGGAAGGCATTGTTGGCAGCTGATACCATACCATATTTCAAAAAGTAAAAACCAGGACACCCCAAAAGTTATTGAGGAAACCACCAAAATTGTTGGGCTTTTTTTAAAGGAACAGTTTGGGCTGGTTCCTTTGACAAAATGTTGTGTTCAGTTGCTTTTTCTTCTGGGTCTGTCCTGTAGTAGATCACTCCAGCCTTTCCAATTCTGTCTCTTCATTCTGTGGATATTATAGTTTTTAGAACGCCTAAGGCAAATCTTTCGGATGAGATCACTGTCTGAGGAACTGGAACAAAATCTTGTTTCAGAAGGCTACAGTACAGATGGTGGATGGGGAGACTGTGGCCCTCCAGAATATCCTCATGGTGCGGAAACGGGAAAGGGCAACAGCAGGCAAGTAAAGCTGTGCAGGCCTGGCTGGTGCTCCTGTCAGTACCACTGCCAGACAGTGAGCCTGCTTGGGGATGGGGAGGGTGGGCCAGCCCGGTCTGCCAGGAGGGCCCACTAAGGGCCCCTTTGACCCAGGCAGGGTCCTGCCACCCCGGGTCGGCCCCTGCTCGAACAACTCTTTTCAGTAAAACCAGTTCACACGTTCAGTTCAGGAGGGGGGGGTATATCCGCGCACGTGTGAACCAGCCCCGTGTGTCCTCTTCTGACAGTAGCAGGCTCGCTATCAGCGCTCCGGCAGGCGGAGGGTTAACACTCCCCCCCCCCGCGGCTGAATTGCTATTAACCAGCTGCCACATGGGCGGGGGCGGGGCGGGGGCCATAAAAGCTGCCGGCGGCGCAGCCGAAGACACAATTGATCCGCGCAGCGCCAGCCTCGCCCCCCGAGAGTGACATCATCCCTTCCAAACCCCAACCGGCGCTGCCATTGGCTGGCCAGGTAATTGAGAGGGGCATTTCTGCTCTCCCTCCCGCCCCGCCCCTTTCCCCATGCCTACTTTGTGCTTCTCTGGCGCTGCTGCCGCCGCCGCCTCCTCCACTCCGCCTTCCTTCGAGCCCTCCGGCCACACACGCCCAGGGCAGGCGCCGCCGGCAGCAGCAGCACCAGCAGCAGCGACGCCCAGGCCGGCCGGCAGCGTCCCCTGCCCGGAGACAAAAGCCCCCCAGGGCTCCTTCGCTTGCTGGAGCGGCCGAGGGACGGTTGGCTCGGCTTCCCGGCGCGCCGCGAGCGAGCGAGCGAGGTAACAGCCGTCGAGGGGCGCCGGGAGTTCCGGCGGCGGGCGGCGCCTGGCCGGAGCTTTGGGAACTGCGCGCGGAGCGGAGAGGGTCTGGGCGGCTCTCCTCCCCCCCCCCCCACGGTTGGGCAGGGCGGGTTGCTTCTCTTCCCCCGGTTTCCCACGTGCTGGGGGTCAGCTTATTTGGGGGAAGCGGGGGGGGGGGCGTGTGGGGCTCCTGTGCACATGGCGCCGGCAGGTGCAAAGCGGACCGAGCGAACAGCCCTGATCTGGAGGGGCGGGGCGTTGGCTTTTTTGTTAGGCTGGGCAGTTTTTGAATGGATCCTCCCGGCCAAAGGGAAGACTGGGAGCTGGATCCCAGGCTCTTCTCTGGGCTTCGTGAAGCCTTCGGGGCAGAATCTGCTGTGTTAGCCTGTTAGCCCCGTCCGCTCTCCCCCTCCGACCAACTCGTCACCCTCGGAGAGGGGAGCTGCACACTGCATTTGCTGTACCCGTTGGTGGCTATTCTTGTTGTTGCACTTTCTCCGGGTGCAGTAAGCAGGGCATTTTTTCCTTTTTAAAAAAGGCGTGATGTGAAAGGGTTTTTTCCCAGCAAGCTGATTGAAGCGAGCTAAGGCTACAAGTGCATTAAAAGCGTCGGTACTGAAAAAGCGAGGTTTATATTATATATAAACAAACAAAAACACAAAGCCTCCATAATGTCAGGGGCCACAGGGGGAAGTAGCTCCCATCCCTAAAAAGTCTGGCATGAAACCAGGAGGGACCAATTCCTAAGATGTGCAGGCCCTTTCCTTTGTTAAGGGAGGGATTTGCAGTGGTGATGAGCTACCATCTCGTATGAACACACAGCCCCACCCTGTGCTTCTTTGTGAGAGTGAATAGGCTTTCCCTGGTATTGCTGGATGAATCCATTTAAAAGATAAAATGAAACTGAGGCTGCCTTTTTGCAGGAAAGGCAAACTGAACCAAATCTCTCTCAGCTGGTTATTGGAAGAACAAATGTCAACTATCTCACCATTCATAGGGTCCCGTGTAGTTGACAGTGGACAAAGGGGTTCCTTTCTCCGTCACAGTATACACGTAAAGGAGGCTGTCTCTAAAATGGAAAAAAAAGTTTGTATTAAGGCTTTGTACTCAACAGAAATAGCCGCCCCCCGCTTGGATTAGCTCCTCTCTAGGAAAGAGGCTACCCTTGCAGGAAAAATCCCACAGGAAATAAAGTAAAAAAAAAATGGGGGTGGGGAATCCAGGTGACCTAGTGACTTTTAGATGGATGGCTGAGAGATGCAGAAATGGGCTAGTCTAGAGCATGGGTAGGCAAACTAAGGCCCGAGGGCCGGATCCGGCCCAATTGCCTTCTAAATCCAGGCTGCAGACAGTCCAGGAATCAGTGTGTTTTTACATGAGTAGAATGTGTGATTTTATTTAAAATGCATCTCTGGGTTATTTGTGGGGCATAGGAATTCATTCATTTTTTTCCAAAATATAGTCCAGCCCCCCACAAGGTCTAAGGGACAGTGGACCGGCCCCCTGCTGAAAGCTTGCTGAACTCTGCTCTAGAGGAAAGGCAAAGCCTTTTTGGGATGGAGATGAATGAATAAAACCCTTTAGGGCAAGGTGTACGGACCATCTGCTAGTGAAAGGATGTTGCTACAGAAGTGTGCAAAGGAAGGGCAGTGCATGAACACTGAAGAATAAGGAAAATCACTGGTGAGGTAAAGTTCAATTATAAGATGGAAATAAGTTTGGGGAGTATGCATCAAATCAGGTGAGTTTTTAAATGGGAGAGATGTCTGCTAATCTAATCACCTACCTAACAGGGACGTGGGTGGCGCTGTGGGTTAAACCACAAAGCCTAGGACTTGCCGATCAGAAGGTCGGCGGTTCGAATCCCCGCAATGGGGTGAGCTCCTGTTGCTCAGTCCCTGCTCCTGCCAACCTAGCAGTTCGAAAGCATGTCATAGTGCAAGTAGATAAATAGGTACCGCTCTGGCGGGAAGGTAAACGGCGTTTCCATGCGCTGCTCTGGTTCGCCAGAAGCGGCTTAGTCATGCTGGCCACATGACCCGGAAGCTGTACACCGGCTCCCTCGGCCAATAAAGCGAGATGAGCGCCGCAACCCCAGAGTTGGCTATGACTGGACCTAATGGTCAGGCGTCCCTTTACCTTTACCTAACCTAACAGGAAGCAGAAGTCATGGATGATTGTGTTGGGGGGAAGACAATGGCTAAGCAGCTAAGCAGATGTAACTGTGTCTTTGCACACTGATGCTTCTAGATCTCTCTCCCTGGTACTTACTTTGTGTAATTAAAGCGGATCGGCAAGGTTGTAGCTGGGGAACGTAATGACCATCTCCAAAACCAGAAGAGAAATTATAGGCTTGCTAGCAGAGCTCTTCCTCCTGGGACAATAATTGGAACAAACAAAAAACCAAAAGTGAATGGGTGACTGTTGGAATGATCTAACTCTTGCTTTGGGGCAGGTGTGATGGGGGTGGAGGGGCTGCAGCTCCCTTGCACTTCTTATGGCTTCAAGGAAAGAGCAGAGGGGGGAGGGTTGAGTGTCTAATGTAGCTGGAAAGTTTAAGAGAGTGTGCAGCAGCATTCAAGGGCTAGAAAAGAAGCAGGTTTTCCCATGGGCCTGCCTCGGGCTCAGATGTGGACTGAAACATACGCTTTGCAGCTTTGGGTGATGCAGAATTATAAACATGCCAGGATGTTGGAGTGGGTTATAAACAACCGAACAAGATATTTGAGACAATTGAAAGCTACTCATGGTTGGCAGTAGAAGGGTGGGGGTAGAGTGTAAATACAATTTTGGGCAGGGTGTATGTAAGAGATTTCAAAGAGTTCGACTGTAGCATGAACAACACTTAGCTCTGCTGGCTTTTAAAATGTCAAGTTGTTTTCATTAACAAAACAATATGGAAAATAAAAATTAGAGGCTGGTTATGACTTAAAAGTTAAATGGCTAGCTTCTGTGATACTCCAAGGAACTGCATATGCAGTATATGCATATATAAGGGAATTTGGAGGGTACACACTTTTAGCAAGCAGAAAGTGAAACTGAAACTTGACCATGCAGGAGACAAGAAGGTCAGGAGAAACCAAAGTACAGTATTAAAACAAAATGACCTCTTAAGATAATAGGGTGGGAGGGCAAAAGTTCCCTATCAGAACTGTTTGGCAATAGCTGATATTGACTGGGAAGGTTATTTACATGGAGAGGTGTTGTGTCAAGTGTGACTTAAGGGGTTGGTCCCATAAAGTTCATTCTTGTTGCATTGAACAAATGTGCTTTTTGCAAATACAGTGGTGCCCCGCAAGACGAATGCCTCGCAAGACGGAAAACTCGCTAGACGAAAGAGTTTTCCGTTTTGGAGGTGCCTCGCAAAACGAATCTGCTATGGGCTTGCTTCGCAAGACGAAAATGTCTTGCGAGTTCCTGGGTTTTTTTTTTCCTTTCCCCCCTCTTTTTCTAAGTCGCTAAGCCGCTTATCTGCTTATCCGATAAGCTGATAAGCTGCTAAAAGCCGCTAATAGCGCTAATCCGCTAATCCCGTCAATGGGCTTGCTTCGCAAGACGAAAAAACCGCTAGACGAAGAGACTCCCAGAACGGATTCTTTTCGTCTTGCGAGGCACCACTGTAGGGTGCTGTTTCTGCATCTTTCTCTCCCACATCAAACAATGGGTTAAAAGTTTAGCATAGGAGTGGCTAAATGTCCTGGATGTTCAGTTAGGGCTTTAAAACAACCAGCTGAATAAGCAAATATGGGTGAAGACTCTACCCATAGCCCCCTCATTGCCTTGTGCTCTAAGAGCAGAATGGAAATGACCCTGGGAACTGCCTTCGTGATCTAATAGCTGTCAGCAGTCACTGAAGCTTTCTGCATATGGCTTCTCTAGAGTGGGCAGAAAGTAATGTGATCTGCTGGTGGACCATTGGGTGCCCTAGGATATAGGTGGAAGAGCCTCTCTAAGTCAGTGGGTGACTTGAGACCTATCTACCTAAGTCAGCTCTGTCAGTTCATGGGCAGCGGGCAAAGTATTCTATGACACTTACTGCCTGGGAAGACTGTGCAGAGGCTGCCAAGGGCCAGTTAGTCTTTCACTTCCTGCACAGGAAAATAGAGCATTGGTAGTGTCAACTTTGGACCACGTGGCTTGGCAGGCCCCCCCCCCTTGTCTTCTGCCCTCTCCCCTGGAGAGGAGTGCTATCATGTATTGTAGCCTCTGCAGCCACAATTCATCACACTTCTGCCCGGGTGCAAAATTACCACTGGCAACAAGGCTTGGTTGGTCCCAAACCTGCTGTGCAAACTGCATCAGGTGCACCCAAGGTTCTCATAAGGGGAACTCTCCTGACCTGGAACCCTCCAGTTGCTTTCGGCTGCAGCCAGCGTTCTGTGCTGGCAGGGGCTGATTTGTTGGCGGAGGCTGCTCTCGTCAAATCAACCCAAGATTCAGTGCATGGCAGTTGCATAAGGCCTTCAGCTCTTTTGTATGCTACATGCCAATCCTGGATAATCAATGTGGATAAACCTTGCATTTTAAATAGGCTCCAAGCAAGTGTGTGTAAGAGTGAGGCATTTGGCTGAAACAAATTTGCATCTTCTGTTTTGCTGTTCACCTTGTCTCAGAGGCACTTCAACTTTCCCTGTAAAGTTTTGATCCTCTCCTCAGTTTAGAGGCAGGAATTGAACTGTCTTCAACAAATCCCTTAAAAAAAAACCCCACCCTCCAAAGCTAAGACATGTTTAAAATAACTTCCTCTCTTTGGTCATACTGAAAAGGGCTTTGATAGGAGATCTAATTATCTAATAGTATGGCTCTATGAGCTGTCTTGGTTTTGCGGCGTAGGATTTATTGTTGAATATAAATTTCAGCTACAGTAGTGATTGTAAATTTTGTAGTGATCTTTTAAATGCCTTGACAGTCCATTGGATGCCATCTGGGAAGGGTCCTCCTTTCAAGTTATACTCTGTCTTGGCCTGTCAGTTGGGGAGGCATAGGGAGCAGAGCATGGTGAGGAATATCAGGTTCTCCTTCTGCTGGTGGATTTGGTTTTCTTTCTCACCACATCCCCCAAGCTTGAGTGCTCTGTGGTTTTGATGGAACACTTTTTCTTCTTTTTTGCTGGGAGTTTCAAAGTAGGCTGCTAAAATAGTTGCCAGCCATGGGCAAATACTGCTCTCTGGGCGGCAGTGTTCCTGATTTGTCACTTTGCTCTACAAAGGGGACTGTACAGTGGCAGAAATAGGGCCAATCTAATGAACAACACAACATTGGCCTTGTGGCCTTGCTAGGTGGATCCTAGCAACGCAACTGTTGCTTGACTGATCTGACTTACCAGTAAGACTCCAACATAAGGCAGCTGCCACTGTGACTTTGGCATCCCTAGACAATTAGTTTCGTACTGCGTGGATTTTCATGCTTTTCTTTGCAGTCCACCAACGTAGAATCCACCTCTCTGAAAGCTTTTGGCAACAAGCTGCAGATAGTTTCATGTGACTAGATGGCTGCATATGAATGCTTTTGTGTATATAGTCAGTGCTGGCTTTTTGCATCCGAAGCAGCTAGGTTCAGCTTGCTGAACCAACGGGATGTGAGAGTCATCTGCAATACTACACACAATCCCCGCAGAGCTTCATTGGGGTGGGGTTCCACACAAAGTGTTGGTGGTCCTCTTTTTCAGGTTGCAGGTGAAAACGGAGCCCTGCACCTGGCCTAGCGGTTCAGAGAGATACGGACAGCCTGCCCAGTGTCAGTCGGTGCAAAGATGGATGACAATGGTGCTGCTGGCGGAGACCCAGCTCCACGGCTGAATGGCGTGGCAACGGCCAGTAAAGGAGCCCGGGCTGCCTGTCCACCTGCAGCAAAACAAACACCCAGCAGGAGCCCTCGGGCTCCAGTGCAGGTCCCTGGCAGGAAGCAGCCAGGAGCCACTACAAGTCGTCCTCCTACAGTTCCTTGCAGTGCCCCCAGAATGCTCAGCAATGGAGCAGCCAGGAAGCCCCCCGTGTTGCAGACGAAGCAGCCAGTGGCCAAGGCCAGTACTGCCACCAACTTGTCTGCTAAGGGGGCAGTGAAAAAGGTCGTGGGGGACAGACCCAGCAGGCCAAAGACTTCAGAAAGGATCGGTCAGGAGAAGGAGGTGCAGCAGAAACCCACAAAAGTGGAAACGCAGGTGACGGCTTCAGGTATGGATTGCCAGCCTAACTCTTCAGCAGGGGGTTATTAAAGCTGTGCTAAGCCCCTTAAGACATTGCATGGCACCTTTGAGGTTTGTTCCTAGACATGCTTGTCTAGAGAAGGCTGTGATCTGGGCCAGGTTCTCTCAAACACAGCTTAACTCAATGGAAACTTCCCATATACCCTCCCTCCCCAAATTGTGCCAAATTTTGGGAACAACATGGAACTATGCGGCTAACTGAAGGGTCCTTCCTCCCTGCCCCCCACCTAAAACCCCCTAGTAATCCCCCCCCCCAGGTTTCCACTTGTATACCTTGCAAATATGTGCACAGGCCTGGCTGTGATAATCACTCACCATGTACTCAAACCTGGTAGAGAAATGAGGTTCCAGGAGCCTTCCCTGTTCTGCTGGCGACTTGATAGCTCTTTCATGCTTATCCAGCTAGGCTCTTCTGATAGTTTGTTCTGTGCTTTAATCAGCTGTTTACTTAAGGCAAGTATCTTCTTTGCTCTTTCTGTAGCACCAAAGGCAACTTCCACGAAAGTCAAGAAACCCGAACAGACAAAGCCCCCCAGGTATGGAACGGAGGAGCGCAGGGAGCTGTGAGTCAGACCGCTGGTCCATTCACCTCAGCATTGCCAACACTGACTGGCAGCATCAGTTCAGGCTCGCAGGGAGGGATCTTTCCCAGCCTGCCTGGAGATGCTGGGTATGGTACCTAATACAGTACATGCAAAGCATGTACGTTTGTCCCAGGAGCAGTCCTAGGAGGCAGGCCAGGCTGAGTGGGTGACTGACCTGAGTCCAGCACTGTCCACTGGCACCACAGTGGCTATTTGTCATCCTAGTGCAGGTGTGGGGAACCTTTGCCCCTCTGGACGTTGCTGAACTACAACTCCCATCATCCCTGACTGTTGGCCATGCTTGCTGGGCCTGATGGGAGTTGTAGTTCAGCAACATTGAAGGGCCCAAAGGACTCGTGTCCTAGTGAGCAGATGCAGCCCTGCTTCCGTTAGAAGGAAGTAAGAGAACAGAGGTGCAGAGGACACTGGGATGTGGGTCTGTAATGTGATGAGTGATTGGCGGGGGGGCTGCCAGCTTCTTGAACACCACCATAGCAACGACAAAAAATGTGCACCTCCCACTCAACGATGCACCCCATAGATGACCACATGTACTGTTTTTGTGGATCTGCTGCAAGTCCTACCTCTGCAGTCTCTGAATAGACTGATAGGGTGCACTTAGCAACAGTGCAGTACCTGAACCAACTCAACCAAAGTGTAGTTTCCATTCTGATTAAGGAAAATGTGGCCCACAATCGCCTTGTGTACAGTGCTTCCCCCACTGCGCATTGGAGCAGGCAGTTCTCTGCTAAAAGCGATGGTTACTGAAGCAGTATTTTGAACTGTGCTGGCAAGTACTGCAGAGACTGCCTTGCCTAGAGTAAATACAGTTTTGGTGATGTGCCACACTTTAAAAAAAAGGAATCAGTTTAATTATCTTTACTCTGCCAGCTCTTCAGAAATGAGAGGTCCTCTTAAGGCAAATCTACAGGCAGAATTTTGCCCCATCGACTTCCTTTGGGGCAGTCTGCACAGTATACCAAAAAGAAAGCAGTGGGCAGAGAAATAGCAGTTGTAGAGGTAAATTTACCTACTTTTAATTTGCTTTTATGCATTTCCTCTTTTAATCTTGAAAATGACTGGAGGCAAGGCCCGGAGAGTCGGGGGTGGGGATATTCTCCAGGAAGGTTCTGCGTTTCCCCAGGGCTCTGATTTGCATGTTGTAAACAAGTGGAGGAATGGGAAGCACAGCTAATTTTATGTTTCCTCTCACACACACACACCCCCCCGCCCCACTTGCTTTGAGGATCTGAAGCTGCTTCAGGCCCAAGGAGCGGCTAGAACGGAGGAAGTGATCTGATTTTTTAAATCTATTTTTTATAGCTTTCTCACTGGAACACTTCTCTTGACGGCTGGCATTTGTCAGGGATAACCTTGCCACTCTGGTCACAGCTAATTGCCAAAGACTTGGAAGTGCTAGCATTTGTGCCAACGCACCAGCAGGCTGGCACCAATGGCCTCTGTGTGTTCGAAAGGCTTGAGCTACAGTCTCTCTCCCCTGCATAATCTTGTTGCTTTCTGTTTCAGAACTTGGTTGCCAGGGACCAAGAATTCAACTGCATCAGCCCTAAACAGACCACCAGCCAATAGCACCGCAGCCAACGGCAAAGGTGTGGGGAAACCTAAGCAGGCAGTGCCAGCTGCTGGTCAAGCTGTAGTAGCGCAGCAGAAAAGCAGTCCGGCTACACAAAGAGGTATATGTGAAGATACGTATGTCCTATGTGGCTTATGGGAAGTTCTGAGCCTTCCACAGCATAATGCAGAAAGGGAAAAGTTCCACATTCTGTGGAATCTTGGATATGTATAGTTGGGGGGGTAACAAGGAAATGAGGAAATCTTCACAAAAGTACACAGCATACATGCATCTCATGAAGTAGGCTCAAGTCTATGGGCTTTTCCACACTTCCTCTTGTCCTGCTCTTGTCCCCTCTTTAGCTCTTTAGGTGCAAACAGCAATCAGGTTTTCTTCAGGTTGCTATTTGTTCCTATTCCAAGCTAAAGAGAGGAAACTGCTCAGACCCGTGTTTTTTAGGCATGGGACAAGTACACGTCATCACTTTTGCTGCATCAGACTAACACAGCTGCCCCTCTGGAAATTGAGACATTTATATAGCACTTCTATACGTCAAGAAAACTGCGTAACCGTATCTAGTTTCAATCCTCTGAAGATAGGTTGGCATTTCCGTGTTGCATGCCTCCAGGTGAAAGCTGCTTGCTGAAGCCCACCTAGTGAGTTCATAGTAAAAGTGAGATTTTAGTTAGGGACTTTCTGAGAGTGAGAGCTGCCACCTTAGTTGGGGGACAATACATTCCACCAGCCTTCCTCAACCTGGTGCCCTCCAGAGGTTGTTGCACTTCAACTCCCATTGGCACTAAGCAGCACGACCAGTGATCCAACATGGTGGGAGTTGCAGTTCGACATCAGATGGGGAATCCTGCATTGCATATCTGCATTAAACTATAGCTAATGGTGCCTTATTTCAAAGAGGGTTTGAGGTGACCCAAATTCTGGCTCCATAAGGCAAGTGATGCAGCAGTAGGAGATCGCTTTAGGGTAGGGGGTGGTGCATAGCGAAGCATTCCTAGTTGATGGTACTGTGGCTTTTATGTTGTTTGGTTTGAAACCAGGTGGCAGGCATAAAATGGGTAAATGTTTATGGCTTTGGAGCAGAATTGCAGCTGCCATGAGAATCAGACCTTCGGCTGCTTAAATCTTCCAGCATGCATTGACGCATGTTGCGAGAGGCTCAGCTTTGGCAATCGCTGCAATGGACTTAAAATACTATTTCTCATTCCAGATGCTTCCAGAGCTGTCACGACCTCAAAGGCCAAGCCTTCAAGATCAAACCCTGCTGTGAAGATGCCGCCTGCCCCCTCCAGGCACCCCAAACTCCCAAGCTCAAAGTCTCAGTCCGAGCAAAACCTCGGGCAAAGGAATGCGGCCGCCCTTCCGAATACCAAGCTTTCGTCGAAGAAGTTCTCGGAGTCCACTAAGCCCAGAACTCCTGCCAAGGCGGCTGGTGGGACTTCGCATCCGCCCACGCCACAAAGAGCTGCTGCCTCTGCTTCCAAGGCTTCTCCTGCAGGGGGCAGTCCAGGCAAGAAGCTCCCCAAGAAAGATGCCCTTCCTAGCCAAGAGCAGGCCCCCTCTCCAAAGAAGGTCCAGAAGGCCAAGGAAGGGCATGCCATGGTGGGCACTGGTGAAGCAGAAAGCATCTCCATAGAAGAGGCAGGGCCCATAGAACAATTAGACCCTGCAGCAGAGGTAGAGACTGTTTCCTTGCTAGACTCCCAAGAGGCAGTGTCTGAGACCTGCAGGGTGGAAGCAGCGGCGACTGAGCAGTTGGCGCCAGGGGGCTTGGAAGGGGAAGACTGGGCTGCATATCCCAGCATGAAAGTGCCAACTCCAGCCACTCTTGAGGCACCCCTGTCCTCGCTTGATCAACAAGATGTGACGTTCTCTTCCTCTCCCACCGAGATGCATCCAGCGGTCCTTGTCACACCTTTGGCTTTGTCCAGTCCAGATGATGTGAAGGACTCTTCCTCCCCTACTGAGATGCATCCAGCAGTCCTTGTGGCGCCTCTGGCTTCGTCTAGCCCACAAGATGTGACGGTTTCTTCCTCTCCCACCGAGACGCATCCAGCAGTCCTCGAGGCACCTCGGGTCTCTCTGCCTCCGCAAGATGTGAATTATGACGAGATACATGATTTGGCCGCCTCTGAGGTCCTGAACGTCCCTGGTGACGAAATACTGGGCTTGCAGGCAGCTTGCACTTACGAGCCATCTCTTCCTGTTGATTCGGGGCTTGCTTCCCAAACTTCAACGCTGGAATCTTCCCAGACTAGGCAGGCAGGCACAGACTCTGAGTACTTAGAGGAGCAAGTCTTTCCGCGCCTTGATGTTCCAGTGGCTGTAGAGCAGCCGCACTTACTGCTTGACGCGGAAGAGCCTTGTGAAGGCATAAGCCACCTCTCGTCACCCGGCACCCCGGTGTCCACTGGGGAAGATGTCCCCATGCCAAGCTGTGTAGAAGGATTTCATTCTCCCGGGTCCTTGGTTCCAGATTTTGGGTTGCTTGAAGAGGCCCAAACTGCCAAACCTCTGGCACAGGCAGCAGAGGCACCGGAGGTGTCTGTCGTCACAGCGGAGCAGCCCTCCTCGTTCAGCCAGGCAGGTCCTCCCCTGGAAAGTATGGCAGAGCCTTGGGCAGCCGAACATGAAGTGGATGAGGTCCTAAGCCTGCCTCGTAGCCCAGAGGTGGAGCAGCAGGTGGACAGGGCCCCAGTGGAGGCAGAGACTGAGAGGCTGAGGAGGAGCCCACTAGAGCTTGCAGCTGAATGTGGTGACGTAACACAGGAAGTGGTCACTTCTCCACAGGCTGAGAGGCCACAAACAGCTGCCATTTATACTGAAGATGAACTCCTGGAGCCTCTGCATGCAGCAGAACCTTCTGTAACCGGTGAGTTTGTTCAGGACCAGGCCCCAGTCTCTCTCCAGACCCCTGAAAGCTTGCTTCCCACAGAATTTGCTGGAGAGCCTTCTGTAGCCCACAGCGACCCGTGCAGTTGTTTGGGTGGACATCCCGCAATTGGAGGCCCTGTGGATGATGGTGGCGGTGATGATCCAGTGCTCCTGGAAATGTGTGGGGGTGACCTGAACCAAGAGGAGGCTCCTGCGGGGGAAGCTCCAGGCTTCCGGCCCCATCTCTCAGGGGAGCTCTCTCCGAGCGGTGTGGCTCAGGTGTTGGTGCACAAACCCCAGACCCTGCCCCTGAAGAGCCTTGAGCTGCTGCAGGAGCCTCCCGTCCAGCTCCCCGAGCTCCCAGACCTGCTGCTGAGTAGCACAGTGCTGACCACGAGCCAGTCCCCGGAGAGGGGAGGCTCCTCTTCAAAGTCCAGCACTTTAAGCGGACCCGATTTGGCAGGCAAGAGCAGCAGCGAGACCAGCACCCCCGAGGAACTGCTGGACTACGACAGCAGCTCCGGGGTAGAGTCCAAGTCGGAGGAGAAACTGGAGCAGACCTGCCACCAGCTCCTGAGCCCCCTGGAGGACCTGCCCGGCGAGCTGGACCTGGGCATCCACATGGAGAAGGGAGACGATGAGGCGGAGACCCTGCCTGCTGACGAAGTCCTTGGCGACCCGCCCACTGAGCCCACCGTGTCCTCCGAGGAGGAAGCCGAGCTGGACGCCGATCTCCTGAAGGACCCGGGCTTCGCCAAAACAGCCGTGTGCCTGTCGACATCTTTCCCGGGCAAGCCGTCCTTGCCCCACTCCGTGGAGGAGTCTGACGAGCTGGGCTCCGGCGACGCTGGCACCGAGACCCCAGCCTCCACCAACTCTGCCGCCTCTTGCGACGTCTTTGGCGCCTTCCACCTCCACTCCACCGACAGCTGTGGGAAGAGCCCCGGCCTCTCTTCCCTCGAGAGTGAAGAGGGCAGCAAGGACCAGCTCCCCAAAGAGACCGGCAGCAAGGCCCCCGTGGATTGGGAGCAGCACTCCTTGCAGGCCTCGCCAGCTCCCCAGAAGACGCCTGGAGGGCAGGGGGAAGAGTCATCCCAGCCTTTCACTGCCACTTATAGCTTGGCTGCAGGTAACGTATAGAGGAAACCTGCCTTGTCTGTGTCAAAAGTGCCAACCTGTGGTATCTCAATGTGCAATAGTACCCTGTAGGGAAGGAAGACGGCCCCTCTCCTTCCATGTGCACCTGTTCCATCTGTGTTTCTAGCCAAACAGGCATACTTTTTTTGTCTCTTTGTGTTTGATACCTCCCCCCCCCCCAATCTCGACAACCCCTTTTCTTCGCGGGAAACTGTGTGTATTTTAGCGTGTTTTCTGAGAAGGGTAAACTTCTTAGTCTTGATATGTTGAATAAAGCATCACTTTGTCTATCTGATTTGGCCTGTCTTGTTTTTCCAGGAGATCTGTTCCCTACCGTTTTGAGGTGGGGGGGTTGGGGGCTTGGAGAGAGTGGAGAGCCCTAACTGAACGTGGCTGTAAGTGGCTTTGCTTCCGAGATCTCGCCAAGGACAGTCCACGTATTTTTCAGGTGTTAGGGACGCAATGTGGAGCCCTGTCATTGAGAGCTGCCTCTTGTGTGCTGTGTTGCTCAAGTAGCCCAGAAACCTTGGTTGACTTTGCACATGAACTGGGGCAAATCTGACTGGCATATTGGCAGCAGTGAATCATGGGAATATTTTGCAGAGCTGGGTAGAATTTTAATCCATCAAGGTCAATACACTTTCGTAGCCTTGTTCAGCAGCCCTTGAGCCTAGTAGTTGCTTCTAGTGACCTTGGAGTCTCCCTGTTCCGTGAAGGTTATTTTTCTTTATGGGATCCCATCACTATTTGCTTCTCTCTCATGAACTGGATGAAGCCCTGCCAAAAAAAGGCTCTGCAGAGCATTTGGTGGGGAGGGGTTATACTTATGGCAATCTTCAGACTAGTCTTGCAGGCAGCTCCCCTAAAGTGAGTCTCGCCTTATCAAATATAAGAGGAATTGAAATTTGAACAGGCGTCTTCTAATGCAGCTAGCAGGGAGGAGAGTTTTCTAGAAATGGGACTGAATACCATGGAAGAGGGCAAAACCCACTCTGCTGCTCTAGAGGCCTGGACTAGACCTAAGGCTTAAGTAACAGGAGAAACCTGTTGATGGCAGCAAACCCTAGGGGGATGGAGGTCTTTGAGCAGAAGCTAGGCAGCCCTCTGCTGGAGATGTTTTAGCTCAGAAAATCCAGCATCAAGCAGGGGATTCTATGAGCCCCCCCACCCCCACTGTAGTCTATGAAGTTGGCTAAGGCAACTGATCTAGGCAAACCAGCTTTGTTACAGTTGTAATCTTGGAATATGATACCTTAACCTTGTGACCTTCTGTAGGGTGGTAGGAAGAGCATAGGTTGATCTCTTTAGAAGCGATAGGTGTAGTGAAATGGGGGAGTGTTCAAACTAATTGCCATTCTAGGGGGAGCAAGATATGTTGAAATCCTACTGGACTAACAAGGTCACATGCCGAAAGATACTTGGGTCCCCAGTAAGAATGATTGGGTGTTCTGTTTTGTCAAAAGAATGGCAGAGCTGACTGGCAACTTAACTACAACTTCCTTGATGGATACATCTTTCTGCTGCTGGTTGGCTTTTTAAGTAAAATGGTCAACCAGGACTCCAGAAAATATAGGTGCTGTTGAGAAGAAATAACTGATTTAAGAACTAGCTTAAGTTTTATAAAGCCATTGAAGTTCTTAAGAATTAATTGCCCTCCTGCCCAACCTGTCATCTTGAGAAACTCGGGAGTGGCTGTTTGACAGGGACCGTGAGTGAATGGGGAGTTGCTTGGGAATCCCAAAAGGCCACCCTAGCCAGGTCCCCATGCAGTTCTTACAGCTGTTGTATGTCCATTAAGCTGGCCCCATATCTGGATGGGACAACACTAGAGGGAGATAAAGTAGGCGATCTGAACAAAAGGGTTCTGCACAGCCCAGGCATTGCAGTGGTGGTGGGTTCAGTCAATAGATAACAGCAACCTTTGAAGGCAGCTTTTGCCAGGCTGAGAAGCATCTCAGGTTTTCTTTTTAAAAAGAAAGAAGTAAACCCAGGCTTTCTTCCCCTGCTCTCCTGTTGTGTTCTTCTTGTCTGTTCCTTCCTCTTTGTTCGTCACCACCCCACCCTGAGGGCCACTCTTTCCAACCCAAGCTCCTTGCCCTGTTTGTAGGTGACAATGGGGCTGGCCTGCCCTTCCCCTGGGGACCCTGTCCGTCAGAGATCCTCTCCACTATCTATGAAGTGGAAAGTGGCGCTGAGACTCCTGGCCCGGACGAAGAGGACGGGAGCCGCCATTTGCGCGCTGCGTCCCGAGACCAGGCTCTTCACCTAGGAAGCTTCCAGGCCACAATGGTGCAGCAGCTGATCAGCCGGACGCTGCTCTTCTCAGCGGAGGCCCCTTCCGGGGCAGCTGGTGGGAAGGGGGCGCTGAGCAGCGAAGCAGAGATTGGCAAGTGGACCGAACTGATCTCTCCTCTGGATGAATCGCGTGCCAGCATCACTTCTGTGACGAGCTTCTCCCCAGAGGACATGTCATCCCCGCACGGGGACTGGACTGTGGTGGAAGTGGAGACCTTCCACTGAATTTGTTTCCTTGGAAATGGAAAGTTTCCCTTGGGCATTTTGACTTGTTTCCCCCCCCCCCAACACCCTTCCCCTTAGGTACGATCCAGCCGTTCCTGTAGGGACTTCAGAATCTAGTGTTAGCCAACCGCGGGGGTGTTCCTCCTCCCCTTCTCCTGATCTCTTGGGCAGCTAATGAGAAACATTATCTGAGATGATTGCTCTGTTGGCTTTTACCATAGCTTAGCCGCTGTTTTTGCCACTTGCCAGAAAGTGCAAATTCACTTTAGAGCTGCTTTTAGCTCACTGGACCCCCTCTACATTTTGTTTGGGTTTTCAGTGATATGGGGCAGCTTCTACACTTGAGATAGTCCTGCGCAACTTCGCCTGGTTAGTGCTGGGGGGGGGGGGATGACCACACCCCTCTGCCTTTGGTTGACATACCAATACTTTCTCTACTTGGCAGGGGGCTGCCCCAGCCATAGATAAGCAACTGTCTGATACAGCTACTGATGTGGCCTTGGAATTCCACATGGATTTATTGGCAATTAATGGCTACAAAGGCTGGCAGACCTTTCCTAGGTTGGCAGAAAGTGTTCACATGCCTCATTTCTCATAGCTGACTACAGATACAGGGAACGCTTCTACAGCAAATTGCTTGCTCTTGGGAGAAAGGCGTTTCTACCTCTTTCCCCTGAAAGAGCAACACATGAAATTGCCCCTCCAATGACATAAGGGGGGGAGCATCTACAAGTGAGGAGGAACTGCTCTGTCTTTGGGCATTTCTGTATTTCTCAGGAGCGGGTCATGCCCCAGGTTTCAAAGTGTGTGTGTGTTTGGTGGGAGGGCTTGTGCTGGTATGTGGTTTGCCATCTAAGTGCCCATCAACTTGGTTTTTTTTACATAGACATCCGTACCCTGTCCAGGGAAAAGGATAATGAGAATCTCTTTGGGAATTATTCTGCTTGGGAATTGTTTGGTACAGGGCGTCTTCTTCCTGGGAGCTTGAACCCAAAGTTCAGCAGTATAGAGAAGTGGACAAGATTGCAATGCCAATGCCTGTGCTATCCTGTCTCAGTATTGGCACAACAGTAGCAACCTGCAGGTTTCCTGTGGTGCTTTGCAGGGATAGCTATGCCATGCCCAGGAACTTCCTTTCTTTGATGATGGACAAATGCAATTGACACTTTTTACTGTGGGACTCTGCTGTAACAGACTTTAATGGCGATGAAACACTGCATCTTTTTTTTCTAGTAAAGGCCTGCTAGCATTTGCTGGTATTAAGTGGGACAAAATTACCGCCTTTACCCCACATGCCAGTTGTGGGACCCCCATGTCCCATCACAGGGATTTAAAGAATAAAAAAAATTCTCCTTCACCTCCGCATACTTGGGCACGTAGCACAGGACCACTTGCTAGAGAAACTCTTGAGCAGTGCAGAGGTAGAGATGCCTTTGACGCGTTACTTTCCTCCATTTCTGCCTGCTACAATGGAGATGGCAGAATCTAGGATTCTTGAGTCAATTACCTTGAGAGATTAGTGCTGCTAGGGAAATGTTACATGAGATGGAGAAGCTTGTTTTCTAGGTAGGGACAAGGCGCCCATGTTGGTTAGCCCTGCCTTCCCTGTGTGGCTGAAAGTGCCCAGGCATTACAAATTGCTATGGCGGAAGTAGCCCAACTGTGAGACCTATCATTGCATGGCAATATGGTCCTTCTCTTCCATGCCTTCAGAAATGGTTTTCCTCTTGGTAACTCTTGTCCATGCAGCTACATGTGCCTTGAATGCAGGGTTTGGGGAGTATCTCTTACAACTCGATGGAACTGTAGCTTTGTGTAGTGGTATCATTGGAAATGGAGCCTTATTAACTGTAACAAGGTGTGTGGTTTCCCTGTGTGGTTTCCCGCCCTCCCTCCTGAAGTTTGCATGTGTGTGACTGCTTTTGTAATGTAGCACATTGTTGGTGATAAATTATGATAGATTTTTCTTAGTTTCTTAAAATAAAGATGAACTTGAGTTTCCACTGTTGTGTCCATGTTTCAAAATGGGGGGGGGGCTTATATGTTCAGGATGTAATATATTTATTTCCTCAAAATAGGTTTCAGTTCTAATACAACTTTGCGCTTGTGGTGAATTGCTTTCTTCATCTTCCCTAAAACTCTTTCCCTAGCAACTTCACCTTAATATTGGTGCCTAGACTGGTTCCTTAGATGACATGCTGCAATGCAGTTCCATGTCAGGCCTGAATCCTGTATCCAGCTCCAAATTCTACATTTGCAGTGTACATTTAAAAGACTTGCATATACTGGACAATGGTTTGGGGTCCTGCATGATGGGTGCAAATTGCTTCAAAATTAGGTACCAGTTCAGGCCTGGATAAGAGATTTAACCATTTGAACTGCTAGCTCTGTACTCTTCGCCTACCCTTATGAAGCATGGGACAGGTGGCATCTTCCTTCTGTTAATGGAACGCTCTATTATTGTAACCACAACAAAATTGGTTGTTGGTAATGATGGTTAGCCGGTTCTTCTGTGTGCTCAAGTAAAACTACAAAGTAGAAGCTGCTGGCACAGTTCTGCTGTGTCTGTTATGTCATCAAAAGGATATGGATGGGCTTTAAAAGATGCAGTCTGCACACAGTGGGCAACACCAACACATTCATCTCTAGCCCCTGTACCTTAAAGCTTGGCTGACAGGTGCAGCTGCAGTTTGCGTACTGAAAGAGACTTTTATTTAAGAGCTCGCAACTGTTCCTGCTGTAGTTCACAGAATGATTTGCTGTAGCAAAATGACGTAAAGGGATGCGTGTTTACCTTTTAAGTCCCAATGACTTAAGTGGCACCCTCAGGCTTTTACTCAGGAAATATTTGGTGAAAGTCAACATCACTCTTCCAGCTGTTTGGATAGAATCATTTCCCTCTCCTCCTGTGTACTATTATGGGAGTTCTTCTGATGTGCGCACACCTTGCCAAAATAACCAATTTTTGGGTGTGACATGGTGTGCAGGGGCAAGCTTGTGTGGTGCTTCTGCTGAGGGGCTGGTTAGGTAAATCCCGTCCACTGAAATTTATCAACCAATCTTAGTCACAGTCATTAATTCCAATGGGTGTGCTCTGAGTGACATGTTGGAATGGCACACTAAGCGGTCTCAAAAGTGTCCTAGCAGCATATATTTTCCCTTGAGTTCCTGTGCAGATTCTCCAACCTACCTACATCCAAACCAATACTATAAAAAATAAAAAATGCTATACCAAGTATGCAGTTCTATTTGTAAGGTGTCTATCATAGCCTACTTTCCATAATTTGTATTTGTGCAGCTGGGCCCCCTATACCTTACCCTAAAAAAATTGGTTGTAGCAGGATTTCCCCCAGTCTTAGTTCTATTTTATTTTTTTGCTTTTTTGCCATTCCCAAGACCCACACAAACTATTACTTTGTTCCAAGGAATACAGGCTTTGCCTGGGCAAGGAGTCCTGTTATGGTTGCTTGCCATGCAAAAAGTCCAGTTCAGCATCTTATAAACAGATGCAAACGTAGTGGATTGATCAAATGGACCCTCTTATGGGAGCCAGGAGTTATTATCCTTTAAACCAAAAGCCTCTGATCTTCCCTCACCCCATTCCCATCCTCAATATGCAGTTATGTTACTGAAGTCCAGCACAAAGCGCAGTATGCAATCACTTCTCAGGAAGAACGGAGTAATAGTTGTGAACTCGACAGTGACCTAATCTGGAACTCCCTACAGCGGCTACCAAGTTGAAAGCAATGAAGGATCAGCACAATGGGAATTCAAAGTCCTTTACTATTTTTTACTGAAGCAGAATCTTTCCTTACACAGAGTTATCAGCCACAGAGCTGTTGCTTTCATTGTAAATCTTCTTGGGGGAGGGGAGGAATCAATCCTAATTTATTATCTACTCCCAAAGGTACATTGAAGTCAGAATGAGGAACATAAAGACTTCCGTGGCCTCAGACAGAGTTCATCCACTTCAGCATCCTGTTTTTGAGAGTGGCTAGACTGCCAGCTGGCTGTCAGAGGTAGACTGCCTCTGAATCAGGTGTGTCCATTTAGTGTATCATGGCAAACAGCTAGTGCTGGACCCTGCACTGGAGCCAGTGGCCATCACATCATACAACAGCCTTCCATCAGCTATCTGACAAAGCATAGTTTTTTAAAAAATCTGTCCTTGATCTGTTTGTCAGGGGCGGAAGCATGGCCTGTATGTAGGGAAGAGATGGACTTGCCGCAACACACACAATTCATAACCTCCCCTCTTCCATTTAATTATAAAGCTTCAAGTATTTTGGCCTTTCCTCAGATGCTTCATTGCTTTGGTTGCCTTTTTGTGTGTGTATGCTGCAGGACAATGCATCAGGTCCATTAGCCACGAGGTTAGATACTCATAGCTAAACAGGAGCAGCACGTTATTGTTTTAAAAGATCAACTTCTGGCTGTAAGCACCACAAACATTGATACCTCTAGTATGCCAGTCCTGAATGAATTTGTTCTGTAGGGATGTTCATCTTTGACAACCCAGCTGCTTTTGGGTTAATCTCAATTTAAATGCCACATAGTGCTGAAAGTAACTAACAATCCTGTACTCAGCTGTAGGTTCCACTCACTTCAACTGAGCTTATCCCACGGTAAGCAGGTATAGAGCTACAGCCGAGGGATCCTCAGAGTGTAAGGGCATCTGTAGGGCCTAAGATGCTGGTGCTGCATTACGGCTTCCATCATTCCTGACCATGCTGGCTGGAAGTCCAACTTCTGGAGGGCTACAGGTCCTCCATCCATTTTAAGTCAAGGCAGTACATTTGGAAACAGAAAAGAGGACATCCGGAGGCATCCATACTCATAGCTCAACCACTTGTAGTCCCAAAGTTGGACAGTTCCATCCCATGTTCATCAGCAAATGCTAGTTGCAATCACTTATTCAGAGGGAAATCTGAAGAATTAATAGGAAAGCTGCAAAGTCTGTTAGAAGCATGTATTTTCTTAATTATCCTCCGTCCACTTCTTTCAGGTGGGTATGTGGGCTTAGATTGCATCACCATTTCCAAGGAGAAGCCCATGAAATATCAAGCATTTCCTTGATATTTCAACCACACACCCAAGGCATCACTGATCAGCAGTCTGAGGAATGACCACTTTGCCAGAGGCCTAGTTGGTTAAATGACCCCAGAATATTTCCCACTCCCTGCCCCCCGCATTCGCTTTTCACCACCTGTGACATATTGCTTCTGCAGCAACATTGGGAGCTAGACCACCTCTGCACCATGATTGAAATTAGGATTTTAAGCAAGTTTAGGGAAATGTCTGTGATCCAGTCTCTGAATAGGTTAAGTAACTGTTATGTATTCAATTCAGGTAGAGCAGAGCTTTCCAAACTCTGTGTAGTGACACCTTAGTGTGTTAGTGTGTCGCGCAAACACTCCCGCTCTCCTCCCGGTGATGGAAAGGGGTTAGTTTAACCTCTGGTTTGCTAGCAAAACTGAATTACTGTGTCACAAAATGATGCATGTCTAAAAAGTGTGTCGCCAACATGAAAAGTTTGGAAAGCTCTGAGGGCGTCAGGTGCGAAGTCTCGCACTGAATTGGGTGCATGTGATTCCTCAGCCCAGTCCATCCCAAACCTCCGGTTTCAGCTTCACATCCAAACTAGATTTCAAATAAAGGTTGAGATGAAACTTCGTTGGAACTGAGAGTCACCCAAAGTGATGGAGCACTTATTTGACCAGCTGTAGTATTAAAATACTATTTCTCCTCATTAGAATGGTCCAAATTAATTCCTAGCCTTTAAGTGTTTAACTTCCAGTCACTAGATTAGCCTAGATCAACATAAAATACTGTGCAATATTTTGTGTCCACCTTTACTAAGGAAACTTCGCCTTTGGATTTTGTAGGTGTTGAATTAGTGAACACAAGCCCGGTTCACACCTCAGCACAGCCTTAGCCAAGGCCATTCCCCGTGCACAAATTTCCAAAACCTGTATGTTACTACCTGGGCTCACTGCCAACCAGCTCAAGCCTAGATCCCAAAGCACAAATCTGTTTTTTAAAAAACCACACAACCAGCCAACACCTTATCTGTGTTTTCATCAGCACACGGTCATGTATATCAGCCCTTAAACTGTACTACAGTATATCTAGGAAGTTTGGATCCTGAAGCCCCTTTCCATCTTGTCTCTTACTTGAACTACCCTCTGCACTGACAGGCAACACAACCTTGTCCCATCCAAGCCTCACAGAGGAATTTTCAGAACACTGCGCTGCAACAGCCTTGCTTGGCTTTGTCCATTCCAATCTACACCTTCCCACTGTGGATTATTAATGTCCTCTCCTCTTTCCACCCTGGCCAGTGTCAATAACAATGAAGTAAAGGGGCAGCCCAATTCTGTAGCCCTACTCTGTTCCCAAAAGTACAGCACAAAGAGTTGGAAAAATCACTCCCACTGTTGAGTCATCTAAATTGGTTCCTAAAGCATTTCACCTCCTATGGCAGCTCTTTTGACAACTGATGGCCAATAAACAGAATACATATTAGAACCCAAAAATCTTGTTGTTTTTTTATTCCCAGCTCTGGACAAAATAGTAGGGTCTAGTGCAATAGGGGGCAACATGCAGCCGGTATGTAAGCCCCTGAGGCACTTTTGTGCTACAACATTGAGAACCTCTGCTTTCAAAGTTCAAACAATAGGTTTCTAGCCCTCATGGTTCCAAATAAAATTTTGAGAACATAAATTCAGTGTGCTCCTGTCTAGCTGTGTATTCCTCTAGGCATGCATGTTGGGTTGTGTCTCGAGCTACGTACGCTTCTTTGTTTCTGAGTCACAACTAAACAGGGTAGCTACTGTCTATCCACTGATCCTCAAACTGTACTAAGGGCCTGTCTACATTCCAAATTTAAACCAGTTTCAACCCTCATCTGCCACGGCTCTAAAACAACAAATTCTAGGAAGTGTCGTTCTGTAAAAGGGTCTAAGATACTACAAAAGAGTTCTCAGCAGCCTCACCAAAAGGTTTCCATTCCTGCAGTTCTTTACAGAAAGCCGTGACAGTGAAACGAGTTTCAAACTGTTTTGTGAAACAGATACTTACTAAGCAACTGGGGTACTCAAGAGGTGTGCCCTGAAAAATCACCAAGAAAGCTCAGATTTTGTGTTGTGTGCCATAGCTAGATCCTCTCCATTTGATGTGCACAAAGAGCCAATTTCACTGTAGTCTTTTTTACCACCACCTCTTGCCTTTACAGTATACCTTTGCGGGCTTGGCCTGCTTTAACAAGAGGAGATCCTTTCTTAAGGCAACAAAAACCACCACCCCATTTTTCGTAACTGAGAACAGGGCTGCGGACCATTTCCTTTCCTTGCTCTTTTCAGTCCCCAAAGTGTTTGCTCCACTTATATTATCTGCTATAGAAGCACCAGCTAAACCACCTGGTTGTGAATATATGCAGACAACGAGTCATCTGCCTCTGCCACTGCAAAGAGACCTTCCCTAAACCCTAAGTGTTTCATTTTAGACTTCCTGGTGATGTGCAAATATTACCGCACTTTTTTACCCCAGTTGACGATAGCATTGAAAATTGAGCCAGAACTCCAGAGTTCTGCTCCCATCCCTGGACTAGTCAGAATACATCCCATAAACCGATTAGCAACACCACTAGGTGACATCACCACCCTCAAATAAAAAAGGAGAGAAAAAGAGAGCAGAACTTAGGACTTCCACCTCTTTTTACACATACTTTTGTTCTTTAGACACGTGTTCATTTTAGGTGATCCAATACCCCTTCCAGAAGGCTAACAAGTCTGGGAATACTAAACCAATTGGGTTTTTTTCCAGTTTAAATATTTATATTTTTTAAAAAAATGGGAAGAAAGAAATAATAAAAAGCAGTTGACTCTGGGCAACGACCATGAAAACTGGAAGAAAAGCCTACCCAAACAGAAAAGAGAATAAAAAGATATTTGATTAAAACCTCCTGACACCTTCAGCAGGCTCTATCTTTGTCTTCTTGAGAACAGCAACAAAGGGAGGGGGAGCAGGTAGGACCATCAAGTGCTACTGTGGTTGCTGTTGTTGTGGTGGTAAAGGGGAAGGGGAAAGGGGGGATGCTGAAGCACAAATTATCTCAATTAAACTGCGGCTGGGAAGAGGGACAAAAACCACATCTTTCCACCCTTTCCCAAGAACAGACAATGCACTATGGTAAGTAAAATGCTGGGGTAAGTAACACAGACAGGTTGGGAGAAGGATGGGATTTTTTTTTTTGCAGCCCTCCCTCCCTGTCTTTCCTATCTCTGGACAATCAGGGTAGAGAAGCCGCAAAGCCTGGGTCATCATTTCTGTCCTCCCCACCATTTTCACAAAAATCTGGCCAAAGTCCTTCTTCCCCTTCCCACACAGCTGCTTCTCTTTGTTTTCATGGAGGCAGAGAAAGGCTGAAATGACTTGAGACAGTAGCGGCTGGCAGAGTCCCCGTTCACTTCTCCCCACCCAAGCTCTCCACACCCTTCGTGAGCTGCGCCCGTCCTCCTCAGCCCATGAAGGAGTCGCCCTCGTCCTCCTCAAAGTGGCACTGCTGCAGCACCTTGATGTGGTACTCGTAGATCTTGAGAGCAGGCCCCAGGCGGATGGAGAGGCCGGTCAGGACATCGGTGCGCTGCATCAGCAGAAGAGACTTCCCATCGATCTCCTGCAGCGGCAGCAACAGAGGCAAAAAACAAGAGGGCATTTAGGGAACAGGGACTCCCCCCATTAAGAGACAGAATATAGACTACACACGCACACACGCGCACACACACACACACTTCTTTTAAGAAAGCAATAGCAGAGATCTATATTAAGAAGGAATCCCCCTCCTCAGTGAACCAGAGGGAAGAAGGAAAGTGTTCTATAAATCTAGACGAGTTTCCAGGTTGAGGAATGGATATGATTGAATTTATGCACATTTTTTTTTTCTATCTTGAATGCTTAGTCCTTCCCCATCCTTTTAACACATATTTAATCGTTATCAATTACGATTCATGCCACTGGTTTAACACCCGGCCATCAGCCCATTAGGCCTCCAACACAAGTCACCAGGAAATGCCCATCCTAAGCAGAATTTCATATTTTGAAAGAGTCCCAAGAGTATTTTTCAGTCTTTTCTATCTGAGCACAGCGCATAGGAAGCATGACCACACCACCCTCTGTTGAGCTTAGGTTACAACAGGGCCTATGGAAAAGTGGCTTGAAGGCGCAGGTGTCCATAGACAGCATCCAGCTGACAAGGTGGGATGCTTCTAGGTGCAGATCCCTGAAGAAGGAAGCCTGACTTTGGCCTTGGTTGGTGCCACTGACAGCTATAGCTGGACCAGGCAGAGAGCCTTGCTTATAAGAGGAGAGAGGGCTGAAGGAGCCAAATCCCGTACTAAGGGGAAGAGGCCCATGATGCAACATGCAGAGAGGGATGGGGAAGACATATGTGGGAGAACACTCCGGACCCTTCCTATGAACATAAGCACACATTAAAATAGGATTGCTGAGCTCTAGTAACTTTATTTTTCCTTAAGCGAATAGCCAGTTGGAAGCAATGGTGGGGGGTGGGGGTGGGGAGTAGCAATATGGATAACTGAAACAGATCTCTAATCATTGGTGAGCACCTCTGTTATTTGCAAGGCAGGTTTTTTAGCACGCAAGAAAACCCCATGGTGACTGCTGCTTTGATGTACAATTATATGCACTCTGGCTCGTGTTTTACATTTGACAAAGAGCCCCTAAGCAACTAGGAACTGAGCGTGCACACATGCCAATCCCTACTTTGTTAAACATTCAGTGCCCGTGCCATTCAGGGCCTTTCACTAAGAGTTCCGCTTGAGCATTAATCCCCAAATCTTTCACTTGGTATCCCAAGGTTCTCACCTGTTCTTGAAAGGCAGATGCTTGCTCAGCAAAACCAGCTTCTGTGAAATAATCCACAACATCACTCACAGTCCATTCCACTGGGTCAGAAGGCTTCTCCTTCACTGAGCTACAAGGAGGAGAGAGAGAGAGAAAAGAGAATTCATACCCCAGGCATCCAATGGCCTCCTGATCCACAATGTGAAGTGGACTTCTCACCAGTTAAAAAGAAGAGAGTGCATGCATGGATCCAGAATGGGCAGGGGGTGGCAGATCATAAAAAGAACCCAACTTGAGCAAGAGACAAGTTTTTCTGTACGGGGCCACCAAACCCCACCCCAGTAATTTATTATGTGTATTTTTAAACCACCCTTCAAATATATTGCGGGAAGGGGAAGGGTTGCAAGAATAAAACAAAATGTGAATAATAAAGTCAAATGCTGCAAAATGACAGAGAGCAAGAACTTCATCTCAAAAGCTTGGATAAAAAAAAACAAAAAAAAAACCTGCTTGGAGCTGAAAGGAAAAATAGCATCTTGTCAGGGAAACATCTTTGGACAGAAGATGTTCCATCACTTGCTGGGGATCCACCAGCAAAAAGAAACTTTCTCTGGTTGCCACCCACCTCACCTCAGTGAGGCATATCTGGAGACAGATGGCCCTTCAAGTTCCCTTTGAACAGGACCCACTAATGGAATGGAAGCCAGTGCAGCCACATAGCACAGGCAAAACATGATCCTAACCCCCAGTCCCAGGCAGCAATCAAGCAGCTGTATTCTATAGGAACTGCAGCTTCTGAACAGTTTCCCAAGGCAGCTCTATAGACAGTGCATTCCAGCAGTCTATCTTGGAGGTTCCCAGAACATGGGCGACAGAGGCCAGGCTAACAGGAAGCCTATCCCAGCAAACAGGAAGGGAAGGCCCCCATTGAGAGGCACCAATATGGCATCACAGTCACACGAATATGGCAAAGTGCAAAGCAGCCTAATGAGGATGTCTAAGTATTTCAACCCCACTGTGTCTGCTTTGGAATCTGTAGGGCAGCAACAACTCATTTCCTCCAATGAAGGAGGGAGGCAGCTGAAAAAACTTGCAGAACTAACTTACTGCTTCCTCCTCTACTGCCACCACCTCGTAAGGCTCGCCTTGGGCAGCAGCCCCCTCATTCACTCTGACATGAGCTTCATTTCCCAGAGTGTGCAAAAGATAAGTGGTGCTGCTGCTCCTTCTCTTAAGAACCAGCTGGGGTGAGGCAGCAGCTACAGCTCCTCCCTCATTCCTATAAGCACCAGGGTAGAATGAGGGACAAGCTTACCTAGATGAAAGCCCTTCTAGATGCAGTCAGCCTTTACTCACTGCTGAAGACGTCTTGTCTGTTCCTTTTCTAGATTCCCCTAAATAGGCAGTGGCACTGATGGCAGGGGACTCAAGTGTTCTCTCCTTACAGAGGGTCATAGGTGAACTAGCTGTCATTAAACAAATGGGTTTTCGGTGCCCACTCAAAACTTACGTGCAGCTGAAGGGTCTCCCATCTGCCTGGATGCCAGGTCTCCCAGGGGATGAGGGCACAGAGGGCTCAGTACCTGCAACAGCTGGTGACACTGGGAGAAAGTAAGAGAGAGGGAGAAAAAAAACACACAAATGGGAATGGGCCTGGTTCTCTTACAAAGCAACGAGGCTTTAACTAGCTGGTGAATGAATTTGTGTGTGTGCCTGGAGCCCTTTCGAGGCAGAGAACAAGAAGCCAGTTTTAATTCCCATGGCACAAACACCTGAGAGCCAAAGCCACCTTCCCACAATCCGAGCCCCGCTCCTCATCCACCCATAATACCACTGACCTGGCCTAGGGCTCCTAGGCATAATTCTCAATAGTGAGTTGCACAATGACGCCAGGGGTCTATTTACACTTGAAAAACCTGTGCAATAATCTTATCACCATCTCCAATGGTTCCTCCATTAGGATCTTTTACCATATCCCTCTAGGGCCTGGGTCTCCCAAGAAAAGTCAAGCTTAGCCACCCTATGTCCTATACCTGCTCTGTCTGGCTGCTGATAGGCACTGCCATCTTTCTTGCTGCCCCCCAGATGGTGACAGGCACTTTCTCCAGGCCAAGAGGCCTTTGTATGACATTGCTCATTTCCTTCATGGTGGGGACGCTCTGATCCTTTGTTCAAGGGCTGCTCCTCGAGGGAGCGCAGGTCTCTGGTGAGGGCACTGCTGGGTGGGATCTCTTTCCCACCATGCTTGCTGTCCTTACAGTCCCCGTTCACCTGGCCTATCCCAGGTCTGCTGTAGTTGCTGGCCTCATAATCTTGTGCCACCTCTGAACCTTCAGACATGGTGGAGGCTTCATCCTCTTCTTCTTCCTCCTCCTCTTCTTCTTCTTCACCTTTGACCTCCTCACCTGCCTTCTGCAAACATAAAAAGAATACATATATATTTACAAATCCAGGCCCTGCTTCCACAGCACCCCAGACTAATCACCCCCGTGTCTAACTCCCCAGGCTTACTCAATGTTGGTGCCTCAAGTTCCTTGTTTCACTTTTATTGACTTTACAGTACTGTCCTGCACGCAATTGTTGTTAATGTTGCTTACTGCCAGGCTAAGGGTGTATGGGATTGTGGACTTTTGCTAAATCCTATGCCAACTTTCCTGGGAGTTAAGTACCACTGACCTCTGTGGCTGTTGCTTCTGTCTAGACATAAACAGGACTGCACACTTTGACAACTAACCCAATCTACTTCCAGGTTACAATGTAATTTTACTCAGAGCCCTTTCTTGTAATCCTGCTTTGGTTTCCCCTATTTCTTCAAAATGAGTTACTGTACAGTGGTACCTCGGCTTACATACGCTTCAGGTTACAGACTCTGCTAACCCAGAAATAGTGCTTCAGGTTAAGAACTTTGCTTCAGGATGAGAACAGAAATTGTGCTCCGGCGGCGCAGCAGGCCCCATTAACTAAAGTGGTGCTTCAGGTTAAGAACAGTTTCAAGTTAAGTACGGACCTCCGGAACGAATTAAGTACTTAACCCGAGGTACCACTGTACTTGGAACCAGTGGTGTTGCTCCAATACTACCGCAAAATGCTCAGAGGCTCTTTGAAACACAGCAGGAGCCTTCTAATCCAAGAAGAGATGGAATCAAACTTCAGCCACACCATCCCTCCACTTGGCTTTGTTGGGCGGATCCACCTAGATTTATGGAAATCTATTGCCATCCTTGTAACAGAAAACTTGCCAAAAATAAGAGAGAACCAAAAGGGGCTTCTTTTTACTGGACTGTAATTGTATTCTACCCTTGATAATTGCTCTGATCCTTACTGGATTGGGTTACATTCCAGAGCTGGTCACCCTCCTGACCAGCACCACATGATTTCTCCTTTTCTGCTCCCCCCTCCGCTCCCCGTTTGCATTCGCTGCCTTACTACTCCCACCACCTCCCGACCTTATTGGAGGTTACAGAACCCTTTAGGTCAAGCACAAACTGACTCTTTGTTCTGTGTTTATACGGAGCCTGGCACGGCCTGAGTTTGGCGGGGGGGGGGCGAGGTCGGAGAAGGGGCCACTGTCCAGGGCCCGTCGTGCATCCTCAACGCCGCACAAATGTCACCGGAGGGCCACGCGCGCAGGTGAGCGGAGCCCCTCCGCACGCCCGGGGGTGGTTCTTACCCGCTCCCCAACTCGGCCCCGCAAGTTCCCCGCGGACCAGGCGGAGTTGTGCCATCCAGCGGCGGCCTTTCCGCTCACCTTCCCACAATACTTCGGAACTGCACGGGAGAATGTCGCCCCGTCGAAGCCCAGGCACCAATCGTGGCGCCCCCTCCCGTGCCAAAGCGATTTGATTGGGCGCTGCCCATAACTCTTCCTCCCAGACACACGCACACCTGCGCGAGCGCCCGCTGACAACATTCGGGGGGCTGGGCGCCGTCTGCCCTCCCCGAAAGCGGCTCCTCTCCGGCGCCCGCCCCTCCGCTCCCCCCCCCCCGCGCCCAGTATTCGGGCGCCCCTGCGCGCGCACTCCTCCGCTAGGTCCGTTTCCGTCCTGGGGAAGCTCACCTGTTCCCCTCAGCCCGTGCGCCCCCGCCGCCCCGCCCCCACCCCTCCCCCCGCGCGCGCCGCGGCAGCCCCTCACCTTGTTCCTGTAAGCCCTGGCGCTGGGCGCCCGGGCCTGCGCGCCTCTCTCCGCCCTGGGCAAGGCGACGCTGTTGCCGCTGCCGCCCCCGCCCCCGCCGCCACCCAAGCGGGTCCTCTCCAGCCGCTCCTCTTGGAGCAGCCCCTGCGCTCGGCCTCGAGTCACTCGGCCGCCCCCCGGCGCGGCGCCGTCGCCGCCCAAGTAGCGCACAATCTCTCGCAGGCTGACGGGGGAGGGCTCCTCCGGGGCGGGGGCAGGCGGCGGCGGTCGCTCCCGGCCGGTCCGACGAGGAGGCGGCGGCTGCGGCGGCGGCGGCGGAGGTGGCGGCGGCGGCGGCGCGGCTGGCTCCGCGCGGGGCGCTGCACGCTGGGAGGACCGGGGCGTCGCGGTGGCGGCGGCGGCGGCGGCGGCGGGAGCGCTGGGCGGGGAAGTGCGGGCCGGCCGCTGCGGGGCCGCGGGGCTGGCGGCGGGCGTTCCGCCTCGCCGAGGCGGCTGGACCCGCGCAGCGTTGCGGTACGAGATGCTTCCCTTGTAGCTGACGCGGAGCACGGCGCGCTGCTGGATGAGCTTCTCCAGCTCGGCGCGGGTGCGCTCCGGCTCCGGGCCGTGCCGCCGGCGCACCATGCGGCAGATGCGCTCCAGGTCCGGGCGCGCCTTGCGCGAGCGCAGCGAGTCGATGGTGTCCAAGATCCACTCCTGGTAGCGCGGCGCCTCCTGGCCCGGGGGCGGCGGCGGGGGCCCGGCCATGGTGTTGCCGCCTCCCCCGGGGCTTCGCTGCCCCCGTGCGCCGCTCCGCCTTGGCCTCAGCTCTTGCCCGCGCGGCGCCAACTAGACCCTCCGCCCGGCAGGCGCTGCTGCTGCTGGAAGCGGCGGCGCGCGGGCTGGTCCGGGCAGCGCGAGCTCCTCCCTCCCCTTCCCCCAGCCGCACGCGCCGCCGCCTCCACCACCGCCCGAGCGGGACCCGCAGCCGCTTAAGGAGGCGCTGTTGCCTCCCGTAGCCTCCCTACACTTGGCGGCTTAAGGTGGAGCAGGAGAATTCGCGGCGTCCCCTTAGCGGCCGCGCCGGCTGGAAAGGGCGCTCTCTGGCCGCCTCAGGCAGAAGTCAACAGCAGGAATCCGGCGACTACATAATTCTTAAAAAAAAAAAACAAAAAAAACCACTCGCTGGCTGTTCCATTTATAGCAGCAGGAGTTTCAGCGGTGGATTTCAGCGGAAAGTGGAATAGAAGTTTTCCTCTCAGCCTGCAACGCTTAGCTTTCCTCTCAAACGCCCGTCTTCATTTGCCCAGTTTACGAACCTGACCTCCTCCTAGTCCACATTTATTCACTCAAAACTACAGCGGTCAGCGTCCACGCCCTTGCTTAATCCCGATCGCTGAAGGTTTGTCCTGCCTGCCCCTGTACACTTGTATTTCCTGACTACAGCAGATAAATGTGAGCGCTCAAATATGGAAGGAGATCAGAACCACTATGTTTTGCTTTGTGTGTTTTTTTTAAAGGCGGCTGTAAAGAGAGGAAAAATGTCCCTCCCAGCCACCACTCCTTCACTTCCTATGACATTTGCTTTTGCAGCCCTAGGCTACACCATTAAGGTTTCAGTTCTGTGCACAGAGAAGCAAGCTCCACTGAGCATAGTGAGACTTGCATCCAAGTAAATACGCAGAGGTCAGACTGAACTGAACTCTTGCAGTTGTCACAACCAGTTGGCCTCTGGTCACACTAGGATGTCCTGCTGTAAACTCTCACAGTCTTGGGTACCCTCCTCTGACTCTTGTTCTCATACACTAGAAATGTTAGAAAGGAGGCCCTTAGATTTCACAATATGTTGCATTTTGATTACTGTACTCTTCTTTTTGGCCAGGACCCCAGAGTTTATGATGCGATGACATAACAAAACATAAGCTGCTAAAACATAGTTTAAAAGGATAAGTAGGATCAGAAAGGGGAAGCTTGTACCTGTTTCTATTATGGTTAAGCAATTAATTGTAACAGTTGGATTCCCCCCCCCCCGCAGCCCCAGAAGTCAGAATCTAAGCAATGCTAGGAATATTGACTATTGAATTTCAAAGAGATGAGACAGGAAATCTGCAGTAGAGTGACTGAGGCCTTGAGTATATTTTCTCCGTACTGATGTACTGTAGAGCTGTGAAATTTTCACAAGATGCCAAAGGCTAGCACACCACACTCTTCATTTATTTGTGAACACGTGTTGCACTAAGGCATATCCATAGTAAATACAGTGTGGTAGTTATTGTTCACGTAAAAGTCAGCAGTGCACATCAGCACCACCAACTTAAGCTATGTCTGGTTGAAGTCAGTGCTATTGTCCATCTTCTCTACCTGCTAATTACTCAAGTCCTGACCAAGCTAGACCAATCTTCATCACAGTCACTCTGCAGCTAAGCTACTACCACCCCTTGGGTAGTGCTAGCTTGCAGAGGAAGGGCAGCGCTGCAAAATGTTGTGTACACAGATGCTGCTCCACTTTCAAGCTGTAGGTCCTTGCACAAAAGGGGAGCTACTACCAGGCATAGGGGAACCCCAGGATTTGTAGCAATACAAAAAAATGGTGGAAAAAAGCCAATGGAAGGAAATCTCAAAGCAGACCAATGAGAACAGCATGCTCAGGAGCCAGAGACTGACTAACTGGTTTGAGGGAGGGAGTGGTTGGAATCTTTAATAGCAGCACTCAGCAGTGCATCATATTATTGCAGCTCCAACTTCTATATATATTTCCAACAACACATTACAATAGCATGGCCAAGAATTAGAATACAGAGGCTACGTAAATAGGAGCAGGCTCGGTTCTCGGTGAGAGATGCGTTGAATGTCTATGCAGAGTGCAGCAACCTACTGAACTATATAGTAGATTAGTTCCTGAAGTACACTGACCATCATAAGAGAAATACAGTAGTGATCTGCTTTATGCCTGGGGCAGGAGCAAGAAGAGGGGGAAAGTGAATAAGGGATCCTACAGAACAGAATCCCTTCCTTGCTGATTCTGGGGGAGAACAAAAGCATCTGCTTTGTATGTAGGTCCCAGATGCAATCCTTGGTGGCTTAAGGTAGGACTGGGGGGAAACCTTGCATCAAAAACCCGAGAGCCACTGCCAGCCAGTGCAGACTAAGCTGGATAGACCAATGATCTGACACAGAATCAGGTAGCTTTCTATGGCCCCAAAAGCAAAATGGATAGTATAAATTGAACAGCCATGCTAAGTTACCATGAGTTTTAACATTGCACTATGGACTACTTCTATAAGTTGAGGACAGCTGATAAGGATATGTTAAGATCAAGTGGGTAGCTTTCATGAGTTATATTCCCAGTTCCCACATATTGCAATTAGGGCAGAATAACAGGGTTTTGTGTCTTCATAGGCTGTACCTGTTTAACTCAATACTTTCCCCAATGCTAATCCTGTGAAAATTTCCAGTCCACCTCAAATCATAGTTTTTCCAGTTATGGCACACGTAGCACGATTAAGCAGTGATGTGGACTGTGGGAAGCAGTGGCTTTGATCCACCCCCATTACTGATGGGAAAGAGGCACTGGAAAGGGAAGCAATATGCCCATGTTCACAAGCTGAGTCAGTGAGAGGAAGTGGTCAGGAATGAACTGCCTTCATGCTATCTCTTTTTCAAGCCCTCCTCCCTTCCAGAGGTGGGAATAAAGCACTGTAGCTTTCAGTATGTTTTGAAACTACCAGTCCACTTGTTTTACTTTAAAACTCCCAGTGTGTCAAACGAATGATCTTTTCCAAACCGAAGCATTTGTGCCCTCCAGAGAGATTTCAAGAGCAACCGCCTTGAAAAATTGCAGTAGCATTTTTGTTACTCTTAACATCTCTCATTTGTGGTTTTCCTTAAAACACCAAGGTTCAAGAATTCCAGTATTTGCTGGCAAGCAAATGCAAGGTTTCCAGGCATCCTGAACAGAGACAAGAGTATGCCAAATGTAGCATTCCTCTTGAGTATACAACTTTAACATATATACACATCAGTTATCTAAATCTTATGTAAAAAGGATATTATGCAAGTCAAATGGCCAGAAGACTGCACACATACAGATTAATCCAACTTGAAGATACCTAAACAGCTGATACATTGAAATTGGGGTATGATTCCTTACATAGGGCAACGGAGCCTGTCTTACGTGACAGGAAAAGGGGCAAGTTGCGTTAACAAGCCTGTGTTTGAGAGATTTAACTTTGTGCTTCTGGGTTTTCAACATTCTCTAGTGTTATAGTGTCTTTTGTACCAACTTTCTTGCATAGCAGCCATGAGTTGTATGTGGACCTATTGAGAGGCCGCATGGTGTCAGACTGCTCCGAGAAGCTGCAAGAATTGTAGGCAGGCTCACTGGCCTACAACTTCTGCACCCTGTTAGCTTCAGAACGCTGGGGATCACTGTTAACCAAGTGCTACCCTCCTGAGCAAGACTTTGCTCATCACCAGATGTGGCCTCCTTGCCTGACCACATCATGAAGAGAAGAAAGTGCTCAAACAATGGGGACCAGATAGGGTATCAGAAGGCAATTTAAGAGGGAGACAGGTACGTTTGAGAGATGAAAAGTGGTTTGAGAAGGGCTTCAGTTCCCATGTGTACACACACACATTTTCGTCCCACTGCCATCTCTGGTCAAAAAGATTTTGCAGTTTTTGAAAGTAATACCACAGCTATTAACCGGAGGAGAAAGTGGAATTCCTCTTCCAAACTGTCGTCAACATTGGGGGAATGTGAAGTGAACAAACTACAGTGTATCTGGGTTTAGCTAAGAAAATTAAAAAGGGAACCAAAAAGGATCTCATAGCTGTTTTCATCTCCAAGAAGTCTTACCTCTATATGAACTGGGAAAGCAGCTAGCATGCTTCAAATCAAGTTGCATCCCTTTGCTGTTCAGTCCCTAATGCTTGTTATTCTCAGAATGACCCATTCACTTTTAGAACAGTTCACCCTAGTTTTCCAGTGCACCTCATTCCATCACTTCACTTGAGCAGACATCTCTTTAGAAGCCAACTTCAGTCGAACTAGAACAAGAAAGGAGTCTTGTAGCAGCATGAAAAACTGCTCTAGCATCCTAGCTAGCTAATGCAACACAAATAAGTTAGTTTGTAATGTGCCACAAGCTACTGGTAGGCTGTCACTTTTTCAAGCCAAGCCTGAAAATATGTACATAGAAAAAGCAAAATTTAGATTAAAGAAAAGAGTGACATTATAGCCAACTACAGTTGCCATACATCTTGCTGAAAAAGTTATTTTAACTATGGCCATAAGCAGAGACCCCAAAAGCAAAACACAAATGTCCAGAGACCTTGCAGTACCTCTGGAGATTAATACAATTAGTTTTCTCACAGACTGTTGATAATGGTTGATCTCTTACAAGAACGGGAATGTCTGTGTACCATTAAAGTGGTTTATATTTTGTCTGCCCAACTTTCAATGGCCTTGAATGGATGGACTTTGTACAACACTATAGTTCATTACGTAACTCAACATGTGACATTTATTTTATATACAAATAGTGTATTCTTTTGTAATCAGCAGGGTAGGAGCTTTCTATGAATATCCACATTCTATGGCTACATATCTATCTATCTATCTATCTATCTATCTATCTATCATCTATCTATATATATTAACACACAGGTCCAGTGAATCTGGCAAATGTGGAATGCTGGTGTAAACTTTAGGTAACAGACACATGATCCCATTTTCACAGCTATTTGATAATCTTAACTTTCCATCTTTATGATGCTAGCAGAATTCCCACAAACTAAAAATTAAATAGACTCAAAATATCACTTATATTGCTATTGCATTATTGATTGGCTAGTAAGTTAAAACTAGCTAATCCATTTTGTTAGCTGACCTCCTTAAAGTTGATCAGGACAGACAATACCCTCAATCTATGTACCTTCAGGCATGGCAATTAAACCGTAGGTAAAGAATCTCACTGTGTCAGTGGCAAATGTGAGCACACATACTGCTCTCTAAGAAGATATATTCCATAACTTCCCATCCAGTGCCATCATTTAGGCCCAAGTACTGTCTCCTGTATTAGCGTTCAAACGTCTCAATGTCATCACAGCCCCTTGCTTTTTCCTCTTCTCCACACCACCCTGTCTTAAGTCATGCTTCAGAAATAAAAGTTCAGGGTTTTTTTAAACAAAACTTTATTGGTAATAGTTTCAAATATGTTTACAACAAAGCACACTGTTAAAGAGGAAGTAGGGTTTGTTTTTTTCTCAGTGAAACAAGTTTTGTTGGATTACATAGAAGTGTTTTTTTCTGAGGCAGGGAGCTGGTGGGTATTTTAACTCCCGCTGTCTCCCCAACCCAACATAGAAGAGGCCAATGAGCTATTGGTGGGAAGAGGACGACGAGGAGTTGGAGGGGCAAGCAAAGCTTGCCTGCTCCTGACAGCGCTTCTGTATGTGTTATATGTCATCTATCAATCTAAAGAAGACTGCTTTGCTCCCCAGCCACAGAAAGAAAACAAAAGAAAACTAAACTGGTGAATATAGAGTGTGTTTGGAGTGGGGTAGGTGAAGACAGAACACAAAGAGGCATTGCATTGGAAAGGGAGGGGGAGGAAAGAGTCGGAACAAATTAAATGGAGAGAAATGGGCTCCCCCTCCTCATCTTTGAGTCACAGCTCCCTCCGCATCCATGAGAAAAGACTCTAATAAAACAGATGCCACCTCTCATTCCCTGTCAGAACTGCAGGTCAAAATGGAATGGGCCTTCCCAACACTTTCGTTTCTAAGCCCCTACCCCACCTCCGTTTACACCGGGATTTACATTTTCCACTCCCTCCTTAGCGTCTTAACATAAAAAAACCCCCACATAGCAGGCTGATGGAGCCCTTAAGGACCGGTGCGATGGAGTTTCCACCAACAGACTGGAAACATCCTTGTATTACAAAAACAGATGTCGGAGGTTTGAGTTGGGAAGGGTAGGATCCCAGTAGCCAATGCATTTTGCCTGCGACGGTCAAGCTCTATCTACATGGACTTTCTCCCACCCTGATGGCTCACCAAATGGGAGAAGCCCCTTTGAACCATGGCAACTAGCTAGAGTCTATCTGATGTTTCACAGGGTGGACTAGATCCTGCTTGTTTCTCTTCCGTTCAGGCAGGTGCTCCAAGAGTTGCCTGAAGTGGGGAAACTCATGTTGGGACATTTGGATTGGAGGGTGGTGGTGATGGGGAGACTAGGGGAGGGGGAGAAAGAGAGAGAGAGAGAGAGAGAGAGAGAGAGAGAGAGAGAAGGGGTGTGTGCACATTTAAGAAAGACAAATTGAGACAAGCTTCTTTCTCTCAGTATGCCTTTGCCAGCTGGCAACCAGTCACTGCTCCCTCCTACAGGTGTGAAAACTATTGCCCCCTTCTTTCCCCCAAAATAGGGAGACAAAGATTGGAAATAAAGTGTTTTTCTATCCAAAAAACACACACAAATTCTTCATGCTAAAACTCAGTTGTTTTTACAGAGTTAAAATTCCGGTTGAATTTAATTTAACGGTGCGGGAGACAGAGCGTATAAAAAAGCACTGTGCCCTGCCTAGACTTTTAAAACCCTTTTTTATAAAGCCAGTCAACTATTTCTTTAAACTTTTTATTTAAAGATAATAAAAGGGGCCTGGAAAGGGGGGGAAACTGATAAAAGGACAGGAGTTGTCCCATAGGGGAAGGCGAGAGGGTGGGGCCATTAACCTGTTCAGTGCTGGTCTAAACACCAAAGTGCTGTGTGGATGTGGTTTTTTCTTGCCCTAACCCCCCCTTCCAGAAATTCTTGCAATGCCCCATGAACCAGACCTTTCATAGGGGGTGATGAATGGCAAATATATCCCCTTTCCCCTAAAAAAAATAATAAAATAAAGCCACCAATAAACCAGGGACTGTCCAATTAGGGTTTGTGTGTGGTAGTGGTGGGGAGGGGGGTTGGAGTCAATATGAGGAGGAAGGGAATTTGTTTAAAACCTGCCTGAGAGTGGCTGGGAGCCACCTTACAGCTTTCAGTGGGAGGTGGATGGATGGCACTCCGACTGCTGCCTTTTCCACAGCTTCAAAATGAACTCCCCTTTTCTCTCTTCTGCCCAAACAGATTCAGGTGAACCCCAACACTCTCCCACCTCCCCAAATTAACATATAGGCAAGGAACTCTGGCCCTTGGGGCTGATCAAATCCAGCCCTTCCTTTTCCTGGGCACACAAAGCAAGGGGGACTGGCCCTAAAATTCTGCAAACTCCTTGGCGCACTTCTCACTGATGGACACCCGGATCTCCTCTTCCTCGTAGTCGTCAAAGTTACTTGTGTCGCCGGGGCCTTTGCACTTTGGTATAAAGGGAGCTTCCACCTGTGGAGGGGAGGGGACAAAGCGAGGAGTTATTACGGGTCGTGTCTGCATGGGTTTAGGAGAGATAAATGATACCATTCGCTGTGAAATTGGGCTCCCTGCGGGGTTACTGGTTTAAGCCTTCTCAGTTTAACCAGAAACAAAAATAGGTGGGCAGGGGAGAGAGAGAGAGCACATGTCATACAGGGGAACCTCAGGGTTGGGGGGCAAATGTACTCCTCTCTGACCTGTGGGACCCTCCCCAGACCACACACACCTCCCTGGCCCCACTTGCCTGACTGGAATAGGTCCTTGGGCTCTGGTAATACCTCTTGCTTGCCTGGATGGAAGGCAGAGGGTGTGGGTGTGTGCAAGCATCTGTAGAAAGGAGCCTATTGCACGATAAAATTCACATCCACTGCTTTGCTCACTTTGGCCTCTGGCTTCACCCACCATCAGCATGTGGTCCCTGGAAGGCTGCCCAAAAGGGAATGTGGCCCTTGGATACAGCTAAGCCTATTCCACAGGCAAGGAGAGCAACATGAGCTCTTCCTCACTCGTAGCTTGAGCCCGCTAAAGGGCAAGCCAGACATGCCTGTGCTTTTTAATCAGGTCCTTGACTGCTTATTTCTCAGGTGGGGCTGAAATCTACTTTCTGAGTATCAAAAATGAGTTGGCAGGAGAGGGGAACAAAACTTTCCCCTTCTTTACCTTGCCACACTTAGGTTACCTTAATCTCCTTTCCCTTTAGCCCACTCTACTTCCAATACTGGAACTGGTTTGGGGGGAAATAATCTCAAAGCAGCATTATACACCTTTAGGCGCAGGGCAAAAATGTTCCTTTTTAACCAGGGCTTTGGTTGGTTTGATTGACATCCTATGCCCTTTTAAAATGTGGTATTTTTTTGTTTCATTGGGGTGTGTTTATTGGGTTGTTGTTTTTATTTTGCTAATGTGTTTTGTGGTTTTTTATTTTTATTTTGTTTTGTGAACCACCCTGAGACCTCCGGATATAGGGCGGTATATAAATTCAATAAATAATAAAAAATTATAATTATAATAAAACAAAAAGGAAAAGGGTGGATGGAGTAGCCCTTGATTCCCTTCCTTGTGTGCCCACCCTGACATAAAACATGGCTCTCCCCACACCTGCACGTTACAGGCAAATGAGCAGGCACAGACTGAACAAAAACGCACGTCTTGTTTGGCCCTGAATCAGGCCCAGCCAAAATGGAAGCTGTACCTACTGACCCCTGCCTTGCTGCTCAGCTTCCTCCTCACGGCAGAGATGCATTTAATTGGGCCTGCTATTTCCCCCCCAGTTTAGGAGGAACTGAAACTTATAACCTTCATCTCCAGAATATTTGCAAATTAGGTAGGCAGCAGAACTAAGAGTGAACACGGTCAACGACACCATCCTATCCTGCCTCCCTTCAGCTTTTTCATACAAAGGGGTTTCTCAGCCTTGCCCGCTCCTCATGTTCTATGGGCAATTACTTTCATTTGGCCATTAGCAGATCCTATACCAGGAATGGCACTCCAAACTGTGCTGGATTCAAACTCCTGACCAGCAAGGTGGGAACTGGAGTCTGACAACATCTGGAAGGCTGCAGGCTTATACCATGGAAAGCAGCAAGTGACCAGAGAAGGTTTTTAGCATCCAGATGCCATTAGCAGCTGTGGGGCTGAAGCTTTCAATCAAATTCACAAAGGGAAGGTCTAAGAGAAGACATGATGATTTCCAACACAGCTGCAACAGTGGATTTAACTAGATCCTGGGATCTTTTCACAGATAACTAATAATCACAATATGTCCCAAGATCCCATATCATTAATAGTGGGCCTGCAAGTTCCACTGAAGTGTAAGAGCTGCTTCACATGCTGGTTTTCTCAACACAGAGATAAGCTTTGTGGGTGGGTGGGGGGGCTCTCTTGTTCGTGAGCTATACACTTCCAAAAGGTGATACATGTGTTTGGATGGCTTTGTGTACCAGCACTACACACCCACAGTGAGTTGGCATTACTTCCCTGGCAGTGTGATAGTGGAAACCTTTGCTTTGGAAATAAGGCTGTGGGCTGCTACCACAAACCACCCCCTCTTCTGACTGCACCCTCCTACTTCTCCTTACCTTCCGTTGGTAGATGGCAATCCAATCAGTAGTAGCAAACCACTTGTGGTTCTTGATGTCATTGACTCCATTTTTGAGGTTGCCAAAGCGTTTGGTGAGGTCTACCTGGAGTAAGTTACGCAACAGGTCCTTCAGGTCTGAGCTGAAGTGAGACGGGAAGCGAACCTGGGTGCAAGGAAGCAGAAGCCAAGAACAGGTTAATCTCTCTGCCTTCCAGGAGAAATCTGACAGCCGCAGGGAAAGGGCAGGAAGTGAGATTCATTATGCTCTGTAGCCAAAGCACTAATTCACCATATGTCTGCAATTGCAACATCTACCACAAAACTGGGGCTTTGGGAAGTTGCACCCATGCCCTGCTTGAGGACTTCCCATATGAATCTGGTTGGCCACTGTGAGAACAGAATCTAGCAGGCTCTTCTTCTGTCCTTAAATGTTAACACTGCACATTCCCACAAATCCTAGAATTTATTCTAACAAGAACTTCTAGCTGCCACAGAGACAGAGATGTGCATATCCCTCTGGAAACACTCTAAACACAAGAGGGACAGAAGGAGGGCTTTTACTAACACACTTGGAACGCTTGCCTCTCTCTCTTTAAACTGATTTATAACTTCTGAATTTAAAAAAAATGGTCTGACTGGCTTGGCACAGGAACTGCTGAAAGAGAGAAATTCACATGCACACACAAATGTACAACTGATGCAATGTCCCCTGGACTACTTTTTAAAAACTGAAAACAATTTAAGAAGCAGTTTGGCAAAAGAAGTTGACAGCAAGAAAACCCTTAAATATAATACAGGTGCTCTTTGCGCTTGCTTCTCAGCAATGTATCTCACCTAAATGAAATTCAGGGTGGCTAGCGGGTTTGAAGATCTTCAATCAGAAGCCCTAGGAGCAAACGCCCTAAGAAAAAAGCACTGGCAAAGTGGCTATATTTATTTTATTTGTGTATTAAATTTGTATACCACCCTTCATCCAAAGATTTCAAGGCAGTTCACGTATATGTGCTTCCTGTAACCTACATTTTGTTCTACCACAGAAAGATATTAGATAGATAAAAAGATAGAATGTTATCAGGCAGATTAGTAGGGATGTGGCGCTAGGTTATGCACATATTTACACCATAGTTTTTAAAGGGGCTTAAGGCATTAGGCAATGTGATTCTATGAAGCAATGAGGATCCCCAAGCAATGTTCTTAGGTTACCTTGGCAGGGTGGTGGAAACAGATGCATCAGTTTGAAAAAATCTGGCTCCAATCTGTAGTGTAGACATGCCCTATATTTAAGTACATTTAGTGTACCAGTTTAAATGTAAGACTGGAATTTTATACAAGCTTCACCAAGATCAAATGTAAGTATCACAGAGTCTGGCTTAGCCTTTTCTCTTAGTATTGTGAAAGGAGCTACTTCTACCCAGATTCCCCTTCTCTTTTAAGCAGAGCACCTAATCTTGATTAATGGTTACTTGCTATTCATTCTGCTGAGATCTGTGCTAGACTGTCATCATGACCAACCGTGTTTAACCCTCAGTCATTATTACTTGGATGACTTATCTAAGTAAAAGCCCACCTCACAGAGGTGCACAAGTATCATCAGTTTCTTTTGCAGAGAACCAAACCTGATCAAGCGCATAACATTTTGACTATGTTTTTTATATGCAACCTTAGCTGAGCTGTCCTGATGCAAGAACCTATCACAAACAAGGTTCTGGGAGCTTTTATATTAATTCAACTAGTTAATAGTAATGCCTCATGCCCAACTGTGATACTAAGTGCTAATAATAGTAATAGTAATAATAATAATAATAATAATAATAATAATAATAATAATGGTAGTAGTATCACAGCAATCTTAACAAGGACAAATCCTTTGCTGAAGGACATTGTGGGGATCCATAACACACCTGCACAAATTTCAAATCCAAAGTAAACTGTGGTCAGTGCCATAGAATAACTGTTATCCACAATGCATGTTTATTCGTCAACAATTAGTTGACTCAATAGAAGATCTTAGGTGTTACTGAGAAAGGCCGGGTCAGTACAGCTCCTGGCCTAACAGCCTGACTCAAACGGCAACTTAATACTGATTATTTTAGCATTAACCACCTGAGAAATCAAAGTTGGCAAGTAGGGCCCAGTGAAAATTCATAGGATAAATGGCAGGGAAGGGATAAAAGGACAGCTGGACTCAAAGAGAGCATGCATGTTCTGGAGCAGCAGAACAAGAGCGAGCCCCAGCCATCTGAAAGCTAGCATGCACATATATCCACTGATCTCCATTACTTTCGTTTAGTTTTCTTGGGTGGGGGAGATGTTCCTTTGACATCACACATTTTCCTGCAAAGCTCTTCCAACACTGCCCTGCCACACCTCACTCCTTTAGGCCATGTTACAAATTCTAAGAGCAATATTCTGAAAACTCACAGCGTTGCAGTTACAGAGAGCTTGAGTTGCATGTCTCCCCCTTTCCGCAGTTTTACTCTGTTTAACTTATAAAACTCCACTTTGTGCTTTTCTGATCTTTTTTGTGCTGCTTGGCCTCACATTACTCTAGGAGTCTCATCTGGGAGAACTGCCAAGTATTACAGACACTAGAATTCTAGACTCAGAAAATCCATATTCCACTTAGCCTGTAGAATTCTTCAATTAATTTCTTCTTCACACTGAAGACTAGAGCCTTAAGTTTGTTTAAAGTATACGAAATTTGAGACTCAGTATTCAAATGAAGCCAACAGATCTGCCCCTTTCCTCAAAATAAGGTCAGACTATGAATATAACTGCAGCCATCTAGATTTCCAGACATTTGTTCCTGTGGTGAAAGCTGCAAGCAGCACCAAAAAATAGCTGGAAGATTTGCCAAGAAAATACAGAGGGGGTTTCCGTTCACAGTCTGCTGAATTCCACCTACTCCAACATTTATCTGGCAGGTAAACACAGCAGGTCCATGCTTCACCGAACATTATAAATGTATGCACTGTATACTGTGAGCTATTTGGAAATTTCTAACACGCCTTCTAGGGAAGTACTGCATTCCCTCCATGGGCAAGATGGTCTACATATTGTAATATATATTTGTAATATCCTGTACCCAGCATGCAAGCCTCTATGCTGAAATATTACCTTCCCAGAGACAATCTTCTCATATATCTGAATGGGCTGGTCTGCAAAAAATGGGGGGTAGCCGGCTGCCATTTCATAGATGAGGACACCCAGGGCCCACCAGTCCACAGCTTTGTTATAACCCTGAAACAGGAAAGCAGGCTCAGATCACAAACACCAAGGATGATCAACACTTAATTGCAGTGTACTGCAAGATATCGAGATGAACACAGTCTTCTTTCTGGGCTGAACGAGGCCCAAAACACTGTTCCTGAGTACAGGTGTCTCACCTTGCTCAGAATGATTTCAGGAGCCAGGTATTCTGGAGTCCCACAAAGGGTCCATGTTCGGCCTTTCACTCGTTTGGCAAAGCCAAAATCTGTCACCTGGAGGTAAGAGAAAATTAACAAAGCTGAGTTCTCCACACCAATAGGGTCAGCAGCACAAAGGAAGTGACGGTGGCTTGCACAAACCCCAGCACACGGAGAGGTGATGTTTCGGGTGGAATAAGAGAGAAGATTTTGTTTCCAAAGGTAAGTATCACTTTCTAAACAGCAACTGCTCGTAATGAATGTTTTCCAACATGCTCCCCACTTGCCACCAAAATAGGAAAAGTGCATCTGGTGGTTTGGAGCACATTTGGTTGAGCAGGTACCACTGGGGGGGGGGTGGACTTCCTGATATTCAAAGAACAAATAATAGAAAGAGGTGCACCTTTAGATTTTATGTCAACTCCAAAATTTCCTAAGAAGTTACTTATGCTTGTCAAAATTCAGTCCTTTCTTAAAAAAACTAATTGTTACAGATATTTGGGGAAAGAAACAGTATTCCTAGACATACTGACAAGGAGAGGAATTCTCAAAATGCTGTGCGGCAGAATCTCACAGAATGGATGGAAGCAGCATTACCTCAATGTAGCCCTGCTGGTCGATGAGGAGGTTCTCAGGCTTCAAGTCTCGATAGATGAGATCTAGTGAGTGCAGGTACTCAAAAGTCAGCACTATCTGAGCGGCATAAAACCGGGCATGAGGTTCACTGCAACAAAAGGGGCAAGAGCTTTTTCATAGGCCACCTCCAATGCATGCCAGCTGAGTCTTCACCTTCACTGATCCCCATAAACCAGGGATGGAGAACCTGTGGCCCTCCAACTCCCATCAGCCCCAACCAGCTCAGTCAGGGATGATGGGAGCTGTACTCTCAGCAAAAGGGCTCAGGTTTCCACCCCCTGTCACAAACCAATACTATAAGACCAGATCTCTCCCCTGTTCCCCGTTCAACAGGACCTTGAGTCTTCAGCTGGAAGTTATCTCACACATTTCACTCATGCTCTCCCTGCCCCACCTATGGCTGAACACATGCAGAATCTCTTCCCTTATTCTGACCATGTTCTTATGTAAGTGTAATCATTGCAACAATCCTGGAAGGTAAGTCATTACTATTTACTCTCCGTGTTGCAGATGGTGGGGCTGAGGCTGTGAGACAGAACTTTGCGTAATGCCATGTAGTTGAGTTCATGGCAGAGGCACCATTCGGACTGGGGGCTTCCTGGTCCGTCGCTCAGTCTCAGTGCTATGCCAGTTCTAGACTGTTCTACAAGATGGCAGCTTATCTGAAGCACACATAACTACACAGTTAAATGAGAGCATGTTAACAAGCATCCCGCTTTCCATACAGTAAATGGATACAAAGCAAGATGGAAGCATGTTCTATGGTGGTAGCTTCTATACTGAAGTCTCCGCTAACAATCCTCTGATGAAAAGCACTCTGCTCATATGGGCCTGTCAAGCCAGGTCACCCCTTGCCCCTTAGTGTTAAAGAGAATAATCAGGAACTCAGTGTCATTGCCACCACACTGATAGGAATGATCTGCTCTTTGCAAGTCACCAGCTTCACATCCAGGAGGATGGGAATTAATGTCAAAGCAAATGCAGCTTCTGTCCTATCATTAGACTTTTTTTCTAAACTGCATATTCTTTACCCCAGAAGTTAGGGCTTGCTGGAAGGGGAAGATATCCTCCACTCAACTTTAAAGTGCAGAACAAGAGAAACCTAGTTCTTTCCTGGTTCCTTTCCCCTGTTCTAACCCAGGAAGCCCAACTCTCAGCTCTTCTGTTCCCACAACTGAGAGCATCATCCCAACCTTACAATGACAGGGGAGCACACTCACCTGAACCTGCCAATCCGTCGTAGGTGGGAGAACATCTCGCCACCTGGGATGTATTCCATCACCATGTACAGATTTGAGTTATCCTGTAATCAAGGGCAGAAACAACTCAGGGTCCTGGCCAGCACTGCTTTGCACCCACCCCAACCTTCTATGTTCAGGGCCACAGCTCTCCAATTTATTTACTTCTATTGCCTTTCTGCAGTGACACTTGCACCAGCGTACTCACACATCCATAGGAGCACTCTAGAACAGAAACTGGGTTTGCTGTTGGGCTGGGAGAAAGGACTATAGACACCACAGAATTCAAGTTCCTGCCAATTTCCTTTAAAAAAATGAAGTATCTTGCCCTTGCAGTTGCAGATAAAAAACCAAAATGTTGATACAGTGCCTACAGACTAGGTGGTGGTGAAGGAACAGGTCACAGCATTTCAGATCAGTACTTCATTCCTTCACATGGCTACACTTTCCTAACTGCCCCCAATTCCAATCTTCACGTTTGTTCCCTAGTCCATCGCTCTCTACCACCATTGCCTTGCTTCCCGCTCAATAAATGCAAGTTCTTTAAAATCTGAATGTATACAAGTTCCTTGTCCTCTAGTCCCCATTCATTTGCACAACTTATTTGCACAACGATCATATAGTTTTGCTTGGTGCAAAACTGTTTCTATAGCAGAGTGTTTTGGTTTTAGTGCTATGTTCTGTTCAGAGTCTTTTCCTGCCATGACCTTAAAAAAAAAGGCAACAACTTCAAAAGTAGCTGTTACTAAGGTGAACTCATACCTCTTAGTACCTCGTCATGTAGGATAAGACTAATAATGACCGTTAGTCATGATAACTATAGTAACTCCACTATGGGGAAGCAGGCCTCTCAATACCAGTTCATAAACAAAAGAGTGTTGTGCTCAGATCCTGTTTGTGGCTCCCCAAAGGCACCTGGTTGGCTAGTATGGACTGTTGGGCAGAATGCTGGACTAGATGGGCTTTTGGGCTGATCCAGCAAGGATCTTCTTGTAGACTTACAGAATTACTCTCACTACCAAGGGAATGAATTATACACACAGTCTAACACCAACCAACTTGGAAGCAAGTCCCACTAACATCAATGGGACTTACTGCCGAGGAAATAGTATTTAGAATTAAGATACTTTTTTTTTTTTAACCCCCAAAGTCTGCAACTGAAACAATCTCTGCAAGGTAGCATGAATGTATTTGTTCAGGCTTTATTCTGATTGAGAGGTAAGCCTTTGACACGGCATTGTCAAGGACTGCTATAGCAGAGGGGAAATGGCAAGGAACCTATGAGACAGCAGTAGAGGCCTCCTCTTCTTGACAGCCACTGTGTCCATGGTTTTAGGTTACAGCCACAAAGGGTATATAAACATGCATATTTCCTTCAAAGCAGATTTTTAAAAAATGGTTCTGCCCTTTGTGGCAATAGGTAGGACTCAATGGCTTTTTATATCCTTTCTATGTAGCTGAGGTGAACGGAAGCCTGCAAAACCTTGATTTAGAGCTGCATTAATAGACAAGGCACAGTTGCCTTGTCACATAGTCCAGACTTACATGCTCCTATAGCACTTTCACATTGACTTAAAAGTAAATCCTACTGAATTCAACGAGGCTTACTTCTAGGTAAGTGGTGTTAGGATTGCAGCCTTACTTACTGTATTTATATAAGGCAACCCAGTAAGATTGTTCTCTGGGTAACTCAAACACAAAATGATAAAATACTGTTGGCTTTATTAAACATTTTGTATGCTTATAGTGCCCACTTGTTTACTTGCCCAAAACTCCACCAACACCAGAAAGAGCTAGGACAAAACAAAATATTGAAGGCCTATCATAAGGAAGAGTTTTGATGGCCTATCATGACAACGTGTGCTCTAGCCCAGGAGATCCACCTACCCAGGCTGCTCCCAAAGGGGAAGCACACTGTACCTACTATACCGGCACAGAAAGTATCCAGCCAGCTGGGCTTGCCTGCAATGGTGGATGCTCAGCTAGCCACAAGCCCAGACAGGGGCAAAAAGATTAGCTGGGTGCTATGGTAAAGTGGTTAGCTTCCCTTAAGTATCTGGTTGGCCACTGTGTGCCTTTGATCTGCTGCAGCAGAGCAGGTATCCAGAGGACCAGAAAGCCAGAGAATGAATATTTAGGCAGGGGGTGGGGAGAGAGAGTGCAAAGACATCCTTTACCTTAAAAGAATACTCTAGCCTGACAAGGAATGGGAAGTTCACAGCCTGGAGAATGCGCTTTTCATTGAGGGTGTGCTCAATCTGCTTCAGCTTAACAACCTGCAAGACAGAAAGGAAGTCAACCAGAGTCAGTTGGGCCTCCCTCTTGCCAACCTCAGGCACCAACTCCCAGAACTCAACGACAGGCTCAAACTCACTTTCTGCTTGTCAAGGATCTTCATGGCAAAGTAATTCCCGGTCTCCTTGTGCTTCACGAGCATCACCCGCCCAAAAGAGCCTGTACCCAGGGTCTTGAGCCGGTCGAAGTGATCCAGGCTGGACGTATTCTGAAAAAGGATTTTGAAAATAATAATATAAAAAACAGAGGAAGACAATCTGTCAAGGACACCAGGCTCTAATCATCAGATTTTGGGGACCCTTAAGTGGCCGTAAGAGTTCAAAATGCCGGCTTACTAGTTTCATTTTAAAGATAACCCTTCAGGCAGTACCATGTCTTCCCATGCCATATTAAAGCAGCAACTGTTATTGAAGAGGATCATCCCTGTGGAGTGCCAACTCTTCTCCCTGAAACTTGCAGCATTCTTGGGGTTTGAGACACAGATAGCTTTTTACCACGAGAGGGCGCAAAAGGCAAGAGTTTTTAGAGAGAAAGACATACAATCCTCCTGCATACTGAACAGCAAGAAAATCAAACTCAATCCACAAAAAGGACTGTACATACACCCAACACTCACTACACTATCTGTAATAACCTAGAAACTAGCAGCAACAGGTTAAGCCTTAGAGCCTGACAAAAAAACAGTAATATCCCCAAATATCACACTTATTGCAAAATACAACCAGATGTAATGACACCTTTATGTAGGGGGCAGCAAATGGAACAAGCCAAAACAGCGAGAGCATCCAAATTTCCGGGCCAATTTACACAGTCATTTTATTGCCATGAAGCAGTTATTTTGGCAGTCACCTTCTGGGAGTTATTTGCTGAAAAGCTAAAGCATCGGACCTGTTAGTTGAGCAGTGAGGTATTCATCAGATATTGCAGGGAAGAAAATACCTTATTCAGCTAGAGGGAGATTGCATTCCCCTTTCTGTAATATGGTCTGCTAACACCAAAGAGTATATGTGATAGGTGAAGGGCTTCTGAGCCTTGCTTAGTAATTTGGAAAGATCTTGACTATTTGTTCCTTGTCATGCAAGCAACCCGGGCACTGGCAAACCTTATTGTCAGACACATCTTCCAAAGTGTCTTAGAACTGCAAAAGGTAAACTAATCCAAAGCTGACTCTCTTCCTGTGTTTCCATCTTGGACACCTCACTCTCCTCCTGTATTGTACCCCTGCAAAATTATTCCTAGAAAAGGGGCAATTCCAGAATAACCTGGGGACTGAAACACCTGTCTCAGCGCCTATTTCTTCAGCAGGATAATTTAGGATGTCCACCAGCATCAAGACTTTTGCCTTTGGTGTAACTAGCAATAACAAAGGTTTGGCAAGATCCTTCCAAAGCCTTGTTTTAAAAAGTTACACTGGTCACATTTTATACACATAAAAAACAAGTGAATGCAGACCCAAATGGGCTTCCACACAGCCAGTACAGGAGAGCCAGAGTGATCAGAGTGTCAGACCTGGACCCAGGACACCAGGGTTCATATCACCACTCAGCCATGAAGCTCAATGGGCCAGTTGCAGTTTCTTGGCCTAACCTACCTCACAAGACTGCTGTGAGGGTAAAATGGGGAGAACTATGTACTAATGAATTTAATATCAAAGCAGTCGTTTCAATGCACACAGCACACTATAGCATTCAAGTTAGGCAGTGTATCCCTTACTTAAATGCAACACCAGTTGTGTGAAACGGTACACACATATTCTGAGCTTAAACTGTACACATGTATTGTGTGAAACTGTACACATGTATTCTTGGCACCCTGGTCTGTTTTCTTTCCAGCACATCAAAAGGAGGCAGGGTACACGGGAGCGATTTAAACCGTGTGCACCAACACACATGAACATTCCTGCGAAGCCATAAGTTGTCTAACTCTGGATGATGGTTGCATCCAAACCAGGTCAGTGTCACTTTCAAATCAGGCCTAAGAGCTTAGAAGCAACAAGACCCAGGCTGCTATGGCTAGATAAAGGAAGGAAGGCAAAACATCAAGACGAGAAGAGAGGTGTCATACCTGCAACGGGTTCTCCCATTTCTTGAGGAACTCTTCTTTGGCTTTGGCAAGAAACTCCTTCACTGTAAGTAAGCAGAGGCAGAGAAAGAGCATTGACAAGAGAGCATGTTGCCTGAAGGCCTGAGCTGCTGAACACTCCTTAGGAGTCAAAGAGGCTATGTTGGGAAACAGGAGTCCCCTTCAAGTCTGCCAGCTCTCATTTCTTTGACGGGCCTATTTGCTGAATCACCAGGAACGGAGGATGCATTCCCAGCAGGAAGGCCAGAAAGGGGAAGACAACACCTTTCAACAAGTCGGATTCCCAAGGAGCAAACATTCCCTGGAGGGCAGAGAGCAGACACACAGCCCCCTCTTTTAGGCTCAGCCATGAGACTCTAGATGAGAAATGGCCAACTGCTGGCCTGTGGAAATATGCACAATCAATATCTGAGAAGTCTGTGTTACCACTGGAGCCCTAAATCCAGCCTGGAGAATACAGTGGCAACCGGTCACCTCTGCTAAAGATCACGGCTGCTCAGCTTTAGGTCTGTCACCATGTTGCTTATTTTGGGGGCCAACCTGTGCCCAATCCTTGCAAGTCACAGACAACTTTGGGCCACATTGGGACCTCCAGCCTTTTAAAGCAAGAGCAGGGAATAAGTAAACCCATGAAAAAGGAAGGCAGGCCCCACTCTCTCCACATCCATGCCACTCATTTGCAAGGCTTTTGAGGAGTCATACAGATGTGAAATTCAATGCTGCACCATGACAAACACTCTGCCTATGCAAGGATTTCCACTTGCCAGATGGAACCATCTCCCTCCCTCCCCTCCATGCTGTTCTGGGGGTACCCCAACCCCTTCGAGACAATTTCAGGGTGCATGTGGGAGAGGGGGAAGCCCTGTTGCACATATAGAAGCCCTTGTGCAGAAATAATACCTTGGGCTAAGAACAGAAATCGTGCTCCGGTGGTGCAGTGGCAGCAGGAGGCCCCATTAGCTAAAGTGGTGCTTCAGGTTAAGGACAGTTTCAGGTTAAGAACGGACCTCCGGAACGAATTAAGTACTTAACCCGAGGTACCACTGTATGTCCCATCTGTTTGCATGCACACATTTTCTCCTCAGTTTCCAACTCAGAAGGTGCTCTGCAAGTTTCAAAAATACACACACACAACTAGAGACTTTTAAGACTGGCAGTTCCATGTACTGGCAGCTTCTCCCCTTCTTAGCAGCTTCTCCCCTTCAAAAAGGTTCTCATGCCACAACCCCCAAACTTATTTTTGAAAGAGACATTTAGGAGCTGTGGAATGAAATTCTGAGAAGAATCTGGGGAAGAATGGGCCCTTCTGGATTTCAGCCAATAATGTCAATCATGAGAGGTAAAGTGGAATCATTCAAGACTCAGAGACTCTAAAGTTTCCCAGTCACAGGTGAGCTACTCATGGTTAAAGCACCTGCCATGTGCTGAGACAGTGACTGAAACATGGGGGAGAGGGGACCTGTGGCCCTTCAGATGCTGCTGGACTGCAATTCCCACCTTCCCCAACCACTAGCTTAAGCTGGAATAGACATTTACACACATCCACCAGCACTGAACTAAGGGCTCCCAATATCATCCTGACTGCAAACCAACTGACGACCTGTATGCAGACACCAGCAGCCATGGCATGGCCACTGCATACCTTGTGTTCTATAATGTACAAAAGATCAGATCCAACCTGGAAGGTAGTCTTGTGTCTAAGAGAAACTACCTGGTGCTCCAACACACTCCATGTATCCAAAGCAAGAAGGCTACCACGTAGATAGTTGTACACTCTCTAAATTGCATAATCAGGTTTTTTGAAGCTACAAGTATGTAATGGCACCAAGCACAATGACAAAGAGGGTTCTTGAGAGCAGAAAATTCACAGAACCAAGGAAATGCTCCATGTCCAAACAGGTTTGGGGCTGAAAAACCCATCTACTGCCGACAGAAACATGTCAAATATAGCTGCAGATGAGAACACCCAACTGGGCGTGACTGCCTCAAATTAGACAGTTTCTAGCAGTCATGGCCACAAAGGAAAGATAAAGCTTAGGAAGGTGGATTCAATGTCTTCTAAAGGATCTAGAGGTAAACAGGTAAATGAGAGAGAGAATTACCCTTAACTCATCCTAATCATTCACCTGTATCCCATGAACCCCATCCTTTTCTCTCTACTCCAGCTGCACAATAGAAATAATACCCCATGCTGTTACCACTTGTGCGGGTTCTGAAGACAATTGGAGTCATAATCTAATCAGTTAATTAAATAAATTTGGCTGATTAAAAGTGATCAAATAATTATATGCTAATTCTGTGTATTATGCAAGCTGAACATCATCCAAGTTTAGTTTAGTTTTGTTTTTTGTCATGATATAAACTAGAGTTTTGGGGACTCTGGCAGAGGCTATTTCCAGAAGTAGCTGAGGGCTGGGCTTTAGAAAGCAGAATTGGCATACTAAACTCCCTCTTCCAGCTTCTCCATCTATGTAACACAGCGTTCTGCCAACACCAAAAGGTTGTGTTCACTAGCAAAGCAGTACTGCTTGATTAACTAGGAAGGGGCTGGATGCATTCTTAGACTGGTACCCCTTGCTGAGCTGGGAAGGAACCCCAAGCAATTTTCACACCCCCACTTTCTAAAGGGTTGCCTCGCTCCTGGAATGTTTTCTGAGAGGGGCAACCATGATGATGAAGAGCCTGGAAACCAAACTCTTTGGGGGAAGGTTGAAGGAGTCAGTGAATTTTACATCCTGGAGAAAAGACTACCAAGAGGCAATGCAATAGCCCTCTGTTACATAGATGGAGCAACTTTGTTTTCTGTTGTTCCAGAAGATAGCACCTAAATTAATGGGTTTAGATTACAAGAAAAAGGATTTGATTTAGACCAAACATCAGGAAGAACTTCCTGACGGCATAACATGTTCAACAGTAAAGCAGACTGCTTTGGAAGGGGTAGATGACTCTCTTTCATTAAGGCCCTTTCAGTGGTGGCTCCCTGTTGTGAAATGCTCTCCCCAGGGAGGCATGCATGGTGCCATCTTTATCTATATTTAGACTTTTCTCTTCACCCAGGCTTTGGGTCCTTAAAATGGGGGAGGGGGGAATTGTGGCCTCTTTTCGTGTTGGCTGGGAATCTATCAGACCTGCCTTTTAATTGTATTGCCGTGTTTTTTGTTATTGTTTTCAATGGAAGTTTCTTCGGGTCACTCTGTGAGAAAAACAACTAAATATCAGCATCAAGAACAGTAGGCTGGCTAGCCACCTATCAACAATACTGCAGTTGGCAGTTGCCACCTCTATGAGTCTATGAAACAACAACCTTACAAACTAAGCCCTCAAGATCCCATCATCCCCTGGGGCCAAGCACAGCATATACAGTCATACATTGGAAGCCAAACGGAATCCATTCTGGAAGTCCGTTCAACTTCCAAAACACTCAACAACCAAGGCGCGGCTTCTGATTAGCTGCAGGAGCTTCCTGCACGCAATCGGAACCCGCAGAACCTACGTCAGATGTTCGGCTTCCTAAGAACATTCGCAAACCAGAAGACTCACTTCCGGCTTTGCAGGGTTCGGGAGCCAAAAGATTCGAGTTTCAAGGCATTTGGGATCCAAGGTACGACTGTATCTGCATAAAGCAAAGAGAAGCAGAAAAGGCCGAGCAAGCACTCCTCAGCCAGGGTAAATTTGCTGAACAGTTCGCTACCATCTAAAGAAATGGAGCCTGACTACAGATTCCAGGGATCCTGGCTCCCAGTTCAGAATGTGAAGTCTGCCCCTGCATTCACCAGAAAAAGCTCATTTTCAGTTCCCCCCTCCCATCATGGAGATGCAGCTTCTCCTGGCATGAGATCAGAAGACCGTAAAATGGAGGAGCCCCTGAAATAAGGTTGCTTTGCACCAGCCTCTTATTTCCTACAGGAGAGGTACCTGACACAAAGGGAACATGGCCAGGCGCAGTCTGGGGATGCTTTCATAGCATCCTCCCACTCCAAACCTTCACAGCAATCCTCCCACCCAATTCCTTCATGCTGCAGCAGAGCGGCTGGATTTCCCCGAGACACGCACACAAACAGACGTGGAGCTGCAGCTCAGCCTGTCTGACCTACTTTCCCTTTGTCTCCTGCTTTATCCACATTACTTACAGAGCGCCACCAGCTTACACCTTCCTGCACAGATCCCAGCCCCCTCCCCATTCCTCAAGGAGATTTCTTTTGCCACGCAAGAAAATTCTGGCAGCTCTTCCCCCCTTCCTAGGGCCATCTCAGCATTATATTTTAGCTCCATGGGCCCCCCTCCAAAAAGGGGCAGCAATCACCCCTCCCCATCTCCAGAACACTGACCTCTTCCATAAGCCATGAGGGACCCCCGACAGCGACAGAGCACCACAGGCCTTAAGGCCAGGCTGAGCACTATGATCTCATCTAACCTCAGGCCGTCAGTCGCTCCTGCATCATGCCCAAGAGCCTCCAACTGCACTCTAAACCATCAACCCTGTCTTGAGGTCTAGGCAAAGGGAGGGAACAATTCTGCCTTCTTGATGGCTGCTCTGTTCTCCAGACAGAGGCCTGGTTCACACAGAACACTAAACCACGGTTTGTTAAAACAAGCCATGAGTTGTCTCACAGATGAGCAAGCAAACCATGGCTTGTTTTTCTCCAAAGTTTGGTTCAATTTTCAGCTGCTCTCAACTCATGCCTTTGTAGTTCAGTGAGCATCTGGGGTGGGGAGGCCAAACAAACCATGGTTAAGGAAGGGTGTTTGGCTTGGTGAGAGTTGCAAAACTTAATTACAACAAACTAAGGGTCATAAACCAGCAACGAACCACAGCTTCAGATCATGGTTTGTTAGCAGTAAACAAACCATAGTCAAGCCACTAGGCAGGCTTTGCACAAAACACTAAGCCGTGGTTTCATACACCATAGTTTAATAAACCTTGGTTTAGTGTTAGGTTCAGAGTGTGGTTTAGGGGCTGGGAGTTTATTTTGCCTGAAAGTGAGCCCTGAACATTCGCCTGGCTCCATAATGAAGCTGATATCCCCTAGCAATATGGGCTTCCAAGTTATGGCACACAAAACTCAAGACATTGCATTGCAATCCAAACATGTGCATTTACATGCCAAATCAGAGAAAGATGCAATACTGTCTCATCAATATGTATATTTCAAATAAGAGAAACTGTGGTTTAAAAAACCACTTTGGCTAAAATTTTAGATAGGCCACCAGGAACAGGAAAAAATTTCCTTAAGACAACCTCTCTCATTCTTGGGTTACCAGATGGTGTTGGACCACATGTCTCATCATTACTGACTGCTGTACAATTCCTTGCCCAGTGAACTTGCATCATTCCTCAAGGGCCTCAAGGGCCATGCGTAGGCAAACTAAGGCCCGGAGGCCGGATCCGGCCCAATCGCCTTCTCAATCCGGCCCATGGACGGTCCAGGAATCAGCGTGTTTTTACATGAGTAGAATGTGTCCTTTTATTTAAAATGCATCTCTGGGTTATTTGTGGGGCATAGGAATTCATTCATTTCCCCCCCCCAAAAATATAGTCCAGCCCCCCACAAGGTCTGAGGGACAGTGGACCAGCCCCCTGCTGACCCCTGCTCAAGGCTATAATTGTGATGTGCTAATCTCCTGTTCTCCCAGCTTTCAAATGGCACTGTAAGAGTCATTGTGGTGTAGTGGCTAGATAACTGAATTTGAACCATGAAGCTCAATGGTTTTGGAGGGGTCTTTTTGCGGGGTGGGGCGGGGCGGGGGAAATCACACAAGCAACATAACTTAATTCACAAGGCTGCTGGGAGGAAAAAACTGATAATCCCACATACGTTACCTTGAGTTCCTTGGAAACACGTAATACAAGTGTGAAAGTGCAAGTAATTTCCTCTTGTTGGATGTTGGCAACAATAATCTTGCAGGATCAGAATTCTAGGTTCATCAAGTATAGTATATGCTCTCTAACCAGGACCAACCACATACCCCTGGAAAATTGATAACTAGGACATGATTTCAATAATCATCCTCTGTCTGTTCGCTGCCTCTGGTAAGGAAAGATATAGTGCATCTGCAAACCATGACCTACAGCCATTGATAGACCCATCTATGGGAGCTAAACCTATTCCAGTTGACAGTGACAATGACAGTGTTAGTGGCCTTCCAAACTGTGGGATGAATTCCATAAGTTGAAAACAGTGCTTGCTTTAATTTGTCCTGAACTTGCTGTCAAAGTATTAGAGAACTTCAAACTCCAATATTTTGGTCTCTTTCACACCATTCCTGAGTTTGTGAACTAAATAAGTGTGCGGCCTAAACTTCTCTTCGAAGGAAGTCCCATCCACCTGAATATCTTTAGCCACCCATTTCTTTACTTTCCTCCCCTTCTGTGATCTCTTTTTCAAAACCAGGCCACTAGAACTCCATTGGCATTCCAAGCACAGCCATACCAGAGTCTCATCCTGGCGTACTTGCCATTTCATTTTCAGCCCCTTTTTATAGTAATTCCCAGTATCAGATTTGCTTTTCCTCCACTGTGCCAGCACACTGAGATGACGTCACTGCGCTTTCTACCATGACCCCAAGACCTCGCTGGCAGTAGTGACAGCTCATTTAGATCCCATCAGTGTCTGTGCAGGAGTTTGTGTGTCCCAATGTGGAACATGAGGCGCTCACTCACTCTGAAGCTCACCTGCCATTCTGCAGTGCTTCTGAATCATCCAGCTTGAAGAGTGCCTTTGAAGAAATGCTCACACCATTTTGTAGATTTCTTTTTTTAAGAAACAAAAAGTTATTGGGAGTCTGAGCACTCCCCTACAGTACAAGGCAGGCATGGGCATGTTCAGCTAGCCCTATTTTTAACCCAACAAGCTCTACCCACATTTTCTTCATCTCCCACACTAATGGCCCCTATCATTTCATGAAATTTCGTCTAGCGGCTTATTTGATAGATTTGCTTTAAACCATTATTTGAACTCCGTGCAGCGGAGGCCTTCTGTGCTGGAACGCACATCTAATAAATGTTTTCTAAGTAGTAGAAGCTGTCTTGTGCCAAAATCAGCCCGCTGGCCCATCTTGCTCAGCACTGCCTGCAACACTTGACTGCCAGCAACTCCACAGGGTGGCAGGTGAGACACTTTTTCAACCTTGCTAGCGGTACAAGCAATTGAATTTGGGACCTTCAATGCACACAGAAGTATATGCTCTGCCACTGAGCTATGGCCCTTTCCAAAGACAGCTGTTCCCTCCCCCTCTATTACAGACCCAACACGAAGAGCTGTATTCTGTGGCCATGGTACCCAAAGCCTGAGTTGAGAAGGCTGGGGAAGAGCAGATTCAGCTTTCCTTTCTGAAGCACTCTCACTGACCAGAATGCTTTGAAGCAGGTTTGCAAAAGGCAGCAGCATTCTGCTAAGTTTTGTGGCCCTCCAGGTGTCACTAGGCTCCAATTCCCATCAGCCTGAGCCAGAATGGTCAGGAACAGTCAAGAATGATGGGAGCTGTAGGTCAGCATTTTACAATCTTTTTGCTAGATCTGAAAAACAAAGGAATGGGCTTCACCTTTTCTCAATTTTAATGTATCTGGCACGCCTTTGGATTTAATTCAGCTACTTGGGCATCCAGAAAAAATAATTCTAAATGTTCAGGGTTCCACATAGCCTGAAACAGGAGGCCAGCAATACTATTCAAGATTCACATATTTTTGCTTTCCCACATGTTATAAACATTCCCTGAGCCTGCTATAAAATGCTAACTTGCCCAGGGTTCAGGGCTGGTTGCCAGTCCTGAATCCAAGCGTTTTATTGAGATCTATGTATGCATGTGTGTATATATTGCTTCTGGGAGGACAGCACTCACCAATATGGAGTGCAGGCACCTTTTGCTGCCAAGGCAGCCATTTGGTGCTGGTACCCACAGCACTTTTATCAAGACATGAGTACGAGCACCTTTTTTTTTTTTTAATTACCAAAATAGAGGAATATATAGGGTGAAAATATTTTAGCCTCATGGCATGCATCCCCCAACCTCCCCCTCTGTTTGCCACTTTTAACTGACACCATCATTCTATGGCTCAACAGCCTGCAGCCATAGACATAATTGTTAGACTAACACAGCATGCCCAACTTCCAATCTGACCCACTTTTTCCATCCTCCAGGGCAGAACTAAGAGCTGCTCACATAAAACAATGAAGGAAACCCAGGATTTTAACATTGCTATAAATGGACAGCAACAGCAGCATGGACCCCATCCTGGCTCCCAACCCCCTCCCAGAAGAGGCTAGCAGCAAAAAGACAGCACCTCTTACTTTTGGGGTGCAACATGAACCTAGAATTTCCCTCTTCAGACAGAGATGAACTGCACCAGTAAATAGTCTATTTTTCTGTATGTCACTGACATTCCAAAGGTCTTAAAATGCCCACAATGCTTTTTTTCTCTTTTCAAAAAGTTGTTCTCTCTTTCAGCTCACAAACTTACATACTTCTGCATGTCTCCCAGAGAGTCCTCTGAGTATGCAGAAATCATTACTTTATTTTTGGGTGCCCCTTGCTTCCTTTAAGAGGGTTCCCTTCATGAGATCTGGAGTGCATACGGAGGGGCTGCAGAATCAGTTAAAGTGGGCCATTCATAAGCCTCAGCCAATATGGTTAATGGTCTGGGATTATGGGAGTTATAGTCCAGCAACTTCTGGGGGACACAGGCTCCCCAGCCCAGCTTTAGGGCTTCAGAAAATTTCTGTTGTAGATTAAGATACGCAATATATGTGTGAAAACATCCTTTCTATGACCACTAGAGGGCTCTTCTACCTTTCTTGTAATAGGTTTCTTACGCTAACTGCTGTGAGAGACAGTATACTGTATACAAGACTGGGTTGGCCCAAGGGGGTTGGATTCTCCAGCCATTTCCCTTCCTAATTATACTCCCCTCCCCACACATCTTCAACCACTGCTGCAGCCAGAATTGCAGATGACAACCGAACAAGAAATTGGTTGGCTGAATAGAAGCAACAAGGGGGAAAGAGCAGAAACACACCATTTGCCTCATTACGACAAAGCCCCAGGTGTTAAAAGCATCTCTTGCCACAGAAATAACTCTCCATTACACCATTTGAGCTGAGAGCACCCCTTAAACAGTGAACCCGATGAAGGCATTTTCTATTCACATTGGCTTGGTCAGACTCCATGAATCCAGCTTATGGAACTAATCGACCATGTCCAATTGCACAAGAGCCTCACAGACTGACCTGTGCCAAGATAAACACCAGAGCATAGGGGACTAATAGAGATGCAGCCCTAGTAATCTTTCAAAGATTACTCCTTCTTCTCCCACTGTATCCAAAACACAACTACTAGGCTGCATTGCTGGCAGCTAAACTGAGCACAGGGCACTCAAGCAACATAGGCAGGCACTCTCTTTAACAGCGCCGATCTCCACCATGCACGCTTTCGTCCTCAAAGAGTTTTCCCATCAGGCTTATTCACCACGCAGAAGCTGCTCTCACCAGACACACAAATTCACCTCTTTTCTCTCTGCACTTTGGAGATCAGCAAAGCAACAGCCAAGGTGGAGCACCTTCTTCGACAGAGGGGCACCTCGAGAAAAGCTGCAGGAGCTGAAAGTTCAGTGCTAATCCACATGAAATACAATTTGCATATGATTTTCATGAGCATGGCAAATTAGAGCATCGTATGATGGACGTGCTGTATTTTTTTTAAAAAAAAAACTTATTTTGTGCTTCCTATGGAGAAGGCCACCTCCAAATGCTATTTTAGCTGCTCTGCAGCTTAGGTCGCAGTCCTCTCACAAAATACTTGGTGGAAATGCTTATGATTAAGCTGCATATAAACGCCTTAAGAATAAACAAATGGAAGGGAATACAAAAGAAAATCTGCACTAGGGAATAAAAGCCCCAGTGTTATTTACGGAACGCATTTTGTGGAACCACACATGCTTCAAATAATTGTTGGTATGGCACCATTTGCATTCCCAGGCAGATGGTATCTTCTGCATGGAGTAAAAACAAGGTCCAGGCTGCTCAAGGAGATGAACTGCACTCCCTATCAGAAGGGAAGCTGAAGTAACTGTAGGTTACTAGGCATTCTGGCCATACAAGGGGGAAAGACTACAGGCAATAAACGTGTGCACAAATGCATATACATGCAGTGCCAGGAAATAAATAAAAAAATTCAAAGCAGGGAATAGTGGGAGAGAGCTGAACAGTCCTTGTTGCTTGTGAGGAGACCCTCCCCAGAGCCTGAAAAAGACATCAGTGACGGCGGAGGAAGCCCCAAAGAGACCCGAGCACACAGCCTCCCTCCCTAACAGCTGATGGGCGGGGTACTGCAGCCGCCACCACCACCACTACTTGCCTGCGTGTCCTCCAGCCTCCAACCAGCCCCAGAGCTGATATTTCAGTCTGCATTGTAGAGAGAGCTGGAGAGCAGGGGAAAGCAGGCGTTCAGAGGCTTTTTAGAGGGTGCTCCCCACTTACACGATTTTTGCTTATGTCTGTGGGCCCTGAAACATAATCCCTGCCTAAGGGGGGGACGGGACACCTGTATAGCAAGAGGGCACATGCGACTGAGAAACCTCTGGGCCTCCAGATATTGCTCACCTCCAGCTCCCATTGTCCCTTACCATTGGCCATGCTGGCTGGGGCTGATGCGAGTCAAAAGTCCAAGAACAGCTGGAGGGCCCCAGGTTCCCCACCCCTGCTTTACATGCAGAAGGCTCCAGGCTCAATCTCTAGTATCTCCAAGTAGGTTGAGAAAGACCTGTCTGAAATCCTGGAAAGGTGCTCCCAGTCAGTATAGACTAGAGATGGGAACCTGTGGCCATCCATGTTGTTGGGCTACAACTCTCATCATCCCTGGTCATTGGTCATGCCAGCTGGGACTGATGGAAGATGGAGTCCAACATCTGGAGGGCCAGAGGGACTCCATCCCTAAATTAGATTGACCAATTGTCTGCTTTGGTGGAAGGTAGCTTCCTGTGTTCCTGACACTCATACACTAGCCTCCCATTAGGAACTTCTGGTTGGGCCCAGATAAAAATCCCCATCTTCCAGAAGTTAAACTTCAATTGGAAGGGGTAGGACCTTTCCAGCAGGTTTGGAATGAGTTCCCAGAAGAAGTGTGGCAATGATTTTCACGGTTACATTTTAGAAATGCAAGGAAAACATATTTTTGCAGGACTGTTGGGAAGCAGTCTGCGTGGGATTCTTATTTGTACTGATCTGCTGCATCTGAACATTGCCACCTCAATGTTCCTCATTTAATGTTTTACTGGTTTTGTTTCACCACTTTATCACTCTGGGTCTTTTCAGCATTAATTTAGATATGAAATTAGAATTTAATCTCGCTCCTGCACTGCTAGCAACTGGAGACGGAAACCAATATATTCTCCAACACAAGGGGCCTCCCTCCTCACAAGGTTTCCAAAACAACAATGAAAAAGCATCATCATTTGGCTAACAAGTCTCTTGAGGGGCAAGTGTTGGCTTTGGTGCGTAACTTGTATGTTATCTCAGAGGGATCTTAAACATCCTAAGAGCCTTGGCCATAGGCAAGCACAGACCAGCCAGATGTTATCAATACACTGCCTTGCATTCTCCTGTCTTTTTCAGTGGCTATACAGGAACAGACGCCATTGTAATCTCTCTAGTATAGAAAACAAGTCAGAAAAAGGATGGGATACAGACTAGCAGATTTAGGGCAGATCCATGCCATACCCTTGAAGAACAACCAACACACAGTTAAAGCACATAACTTCCTCCGAGGAATCCTGGAATATGTAGTTGAAGGTACTGGGGGGGGGGGGGGAGAAACAGAGTTCCCAGGATTCTTTCGGGAAAGTCATGCGCTTTAAATATGTGTTGGGATGTATGGTGTGCATGTGCCCTTAATTTCTAGGCCAAGTACAGGTAATCTGGTTCTATAACCTCACCCCCTCAACCCTTCTAAGAAATATCCTATGACCAGTAAACCAATGCCTGCAATTGGAATCAACCATGGGACAGATTTATGCAAATTTCATTTTGGTTGTGATACTCCTGAGGATATGAAATATTTATTTTTTTATTTCTTATTACATTTATATCTCGCTCTTCTTCCAAGGAGCTCAGGGCACCATACGCAATTCTATTATCCCCCTTCCTCCAATTATACTAACATAAGTTGTGAGCAGATTAGGCCAAGAGTCACTGATCCAAGGGCACCCAGTGGGTTTCATAGCTGAGTGGGGATTAGAACCCAGGGTCTGCCCAGTCAAAGTTCAATACAGTAACACTACATCACAATGACTCTATTTTTTATTGGGGGCTGAAACCGGAAGTCTCATGACATCTCAGCTCAGCCATGACATCTGTGAACATGGTCCTAATAAGTGACAGGACAGTGTTTCTGAGAAAAAGCATGGTGCAGTTTATTCACCAATAGGCTGCCCCTCACCCTATAACTGAGACTGTAGTGACCAGGTCAGAAGGTGTAACAACAGATATTAATAGGGGGAGAAAGAAAGGCCTCTAGAGAAGACCAGTGGTCAAAGTGAGCAGGCATAGGTTTCCAGGGGAAAATGTTTTCACCTGCCATTTGTCACTGAAAGCCAAATTAGATGTAACACTTAAATGCACCATTAGGAAGCCAGTCAGTTAAAAAAAAAGATAGAGGGAAGTTTAACCTTTTCCTCCTACCCCACAAATGATGAGCCTTCTTCACCCTTGCCATTCCCATGAGTTTGGAATACTGATAAAATGTTAGAATTCCAGGAAACAAGAAAATCTGCTTCATGACAGCAGAAGACTCATCCATATCCTTAGTGTTTAGCATAATCTAAATAGCTATTTCTGATACTTCATCACAACCTTGAGGGCTAGACATTTTATTTAAATACAATCATGCCCAATGGACTGGGTGAAAGTTATCAGAATGTGCTTTAGATGGCTTGTCAGCAAGGAGACATTCTTGAGCATGTTGATCCTTAGATTTCTCCTAATTGACCCTCCTTACTCTTTATGATGCCAACACCTTTGATTTTTGAGGCTTTGAATCTACTACTTAGAATAAACTGGCAGATTCTTCCTTCATATAAGCATTTAAAACAGCAATTAGGATGGTAATAGCAGCAAGAAAGCTCAGCTCAAACTACGACGTGCTGCAAATTCATAAAGCAAAAATGGTACCCTTAGAGAGAAAACAGCAGCTCTGAGCATCTTTTGTTCAATGCTCAAGGTTCTTTAACTGGAAATAAAAGGGGATAAATTCTGGAGTTAGTGGAAACATAATTCATCAGGAATAACTCCCCCAAGGCTAACCATTTAAATAGTTTCTACATATGTCTATGACAGTCAGAGCTGATTTGTTGTAGGGGCTGCATGTGAGTACAAACCCATCTGCTCAAAAATTTACTGTGCCACATTCAGCGTCACAGATAGATCCATGTGTGTCTTTGTCTTTAGAGCCCTTTTCTCACCATACATTCCTTGAAAGAAGCAGCTGTCTAATAAACACAGGGAGCGAGGGAGAAAGCAGACAGCAGTCCGTTCAGCCACCCAGGACCCCGTGGTTCCTTACCATCCATTCGGTGGCCCTCAACCCCAAGGGTCCACCTGGTGACCCGGCTGTTTCCGCAGCTGCAACCATACAGTTAAAAGGTCAAAACGGGTGGCGGGGAAGGGCTGACCCGACGGCTCATGGGGGACTTTGCCCCCGGTGGCAAAAGCAAACACGGCCCCCGCCTGGAGCTCAACTTCTCCTGGAAGCGAAAGAGAGTCCCCAGCCAGCAAAGGGCTGAGCGCAGCTCCAGGGCACGCCTGTTTCGCCTTCTCTCCCTTTCCTTCGACTGCATCAGTGTAGGCCACCGTTATAGCCAGCAGGAGTGATCTACCATAGCACCTGGAAAGGCTCCTCTGGAACACCTGCTGCTTATTCAGACACAGCAGGCTCCGCCTTGAAGATCCACAATACACGGAGCTCCTGAGATTCCAAGTGGAGCAGCGAGGCTTGAACTAGACCATGCCAACGTGGCCTCTGCCTAGAGATGAGGTCGAGAGAGTCATCGCAGATGCTGTGCAAACCATTTCCCCCCCAGTGTAACACTTCCCCGAAGTCCAGAAACAACTGTTCTGTAAGTGGGACAGCTGGTTACGAAACAATGCTGGGGGGGGGGGAGAAGGGGGGCAGGGGATCACATGATGGCAATGCAAAGAGAAAGAGAGGAGGAGGTGGCGAGAAAGATACTGCCAGTCACCAAAGGCAGCTCATTCACAAGCCTATCACAAAAGGCTGCCGTAGATCCTCCCCCCATGCCCTGCAAACTGACCCAAGCCAAGACCAGCCTGCATTATTAGGCAACTTGTGTTTTTGCTTGTTTTCAAGTGGTGCCTAGACATCTCTTTTCTATTCCTCAAGAGGGGCAAGGAAGCAGAGAAAGTAAAAGCCCAGGTCTCCAGCTGGTGCCGAGAGAAACCCTTTCTTTTGTTCCCTCGGAATGAAAACATTTTATCAGCCCAGCCGTAAGATTTTCATTCTGCCATTAGTGATCTCAGTTCCACCTTGAGCTCCTGCTTCACTCACCCTCATTACGTTAGGTTTTTACTTTGATGTGTGTGAGTGAAGTGCCATGCGGCTGCTGAAAAAGAGAGGAAGCCCCAAAGATTGAAAAGGAATCGCCTCTTAACCCAGCCACCCCAGAGCAGATCCTAAAAACAAACAAACACCAGAACAGAAAGCAAGTTCAAGCACATGCTTGCCAAGAACAGATAGCCCTGTGTCTCTTTTCATTAACAGAAACAGGTTAACACAGGCTTAAAGTAACCTATACAAGAGCAGTTCCTAATCCAAAAGAAAATACCAAGGGATGAGAGGAGAGTGGCTTGTTTACATGGCCTGCAGGTGATGACCAGTGAGATAATAAGGCATGACAGCTACACCGCAATTGCCAATTTACTAGAAGATTAAGCATATGCAGCTATCCAGCACAGGACTCTCTCGAGGTGGTGGCCCAACAGAAGTAGCTAGAGATAAGTAGCAGGACTCACATGGAAATACGAAGTAGAATGAAATCGACAACATAGACACACACATGTATATATTTGAGGGGATAAAAGGAGTCCTATCCAGCACAAGTACAATGAAATGCCAGAAGGCCCAAGGCTTCACATTGCTCCCTCAAGTCAGAGCTGGACTAATTTCTCAAGAGAAAAGCAGTACAGTGATTTCAGAAGGAATGACTGCTCGGTAGCTGAGCTAAAGATAACCTCCATACAGAGGATGCTCAAAGATCAGCCCAACCTTCTCAGAGCGTCTCATAAGCAAGAATGGATCAAAAGCAAACCCCCCCCCCCCAGCTTTTGCTTTTCGGGCATCAGCTGGCTGAGTCTGCCTCAGAATTTTGTAATAGCCCCTGTGAAGAGCATCCAATGGTTTCTGGCAGCATATGGGAGGCTCTGTCTGAAAGTGCCAGGTTCTGAATGTGTCTGAAGGAATGATGGTCAGCAGGCTCCGAGAATACTGGAAGGGAGGGAGATACCGTCAAACAACTGATGGCGTCAGTCCTTGGTTTTCTTCATTTCAGGAGCACTTCTTACTGAAGTCTGTTCAATGGGAAGGTGACTACCCAACTGGACAATTTTAAATTTATATATTTCTACTGCATCAGACCAACACTTACCTGAATCTAGAACCATGGAAGGCACCACATTAAGCCGCATGAAATGCAAATCCATCAACCTCACAAGGTATCTGAAGAAGTCTGCATGCACATGAAAGCTCATACCAAGAACAAACTTAGTTGGTCTCTAAGGTGCTACTGGACAATTTTTTTATTTTTTAAATATATTTCTACCCCACTTTCGGACATGGCAAACATCCTTCCAACCTTCAGACGCACATGGAAATGTTTCACCTGTAAAGTAGTGCAAAGGACTATAGTTGGAGGCAAAACAGCATGGTATACTTCTTGATGGATCAGACTACCCTAGAAGGCCAATTACCAACAGGTTCCAAGGTGAGTAATGGTTTCCTTTAGTGCTGCAGGCACAGTTACATATTTTTTAAATCTATTTGGTCTGAAATTGTTTGAGCCCTACATGCCATCTTTTTTAGATTTTATGATCTCCCAAAAAAAGGGGGGGGGGGAATCATGACCATGCCTACCATGTAACAAGGTAGAGTTCTGCTGTATGTGGCACCAAAGGGGCAGTGATGAAGAGATGGATGAAGGCAAGAATCTGTGCCTGAATAGGTGGCAAAGGCATTTTAAAATGCTGACCCTAGTAGACATAATTCGGGCTCTACTTGAGGCAGCAAAATGCCTAGGGGTGGCACAAAAGAGATTCCCAGAAGACCCCAAGAATGCCACACCAAATGATGACTTGCAATCATGGAGAACACAGGTGTTCCAGGCAGCTGCATATCTCATAACAGAACTCCCTTTCTCTAAGGGTCAGACAGTAGAAGCAATGCAAGATGTCCCCATTTGCACCATCAGTCAGAGGCAGATATTAAGGTAGGTTGACTTCCTTTCAACTTTGTTTTGGAGGTCCCATTTCCTGCCCTGATCATATTAGGAAAGAACATCAGGCTTTGATTGCTATCATAGATTCTCCTTTCAAAACATTTTTCCAGCCAACACTTTTCAAAAAGCTAATGCTCTTTTTGAAGCTTTCAGCTGTTAAACATTCATTGCTATTCTGCTGCCCTTCCTCTTCCTATTTCAGGATCATGGACTTCAGCAGTTCATAGTTACTTTCTTTTACATAGCCAACTGTTTTCACAGACTCAAACATTTCCTTCCTATTAGTCAGATTCTGATCTAAAAATAGCATGTCCCTCATTGTTTCCTCAACTTTCTGAAGGAGAAGTTTGTTGAGAACAAGTAGGAACCCTGTTTATGTATTCCATTTAAAATATGGCAAAAGTGCTTTTGTACTTCTACTTGATATGGAATTTTTTTGCTAGTGCAGTCCAGTCCTGGGAGCAGCCAACGTGAAAGCTTACATGCTCAGTGGAGGAATCTGGAGTTTTGCTGTGGCTCTCGCTGTCTTGATTCTCTCCTCTCAGCAGCCACCAAACCCTTTCTATCATAATACTGCTCCCTTTCTCACTTAAGATTGGACACTGTTTTTTCCTCGCGAATTTCATTCTCTTGCATTTCCAAAATCTATGGCTCTTGGGCAGGTGTATCAATAAGAAACAATGACACCATTCAACACTGGCATTCAAGCTGCCAGTCCCTGGCTCACTTCCAGAATAGTCACCAGTTGGCGTTCTATGCACACAGATCCCATTCTGTGCTTGTGGGCAGTGGCAGGGGGCAGAGTCTCCACAAAGTACATTCACTGCTTTAGCACTGGCTATGATCATCTGCTTGTATGCAGCTAATTTAAAAAAAAAAAAAATAGAGCCCATAGAGCACAAGTCTCTTGTTAGGGCCCTTCAATTTTTTTTTTTATGCAACGAGTATGCAGTTGCAACTCATGTCATGTGCAGTTGAGATGCCTTTCTCAGAAGCTGCGCTTCTGTTCCAAGAGTTACTGCACTTTGCCAGTGATGGCACTTACTATTTATGCCTGGGAAAAGCAATTCTTCCTGTGCGTAGGAGTCTTTGGTGCTATTACTACTGTGTGCAATGGGGCTGAGCAAATGCTACCAGCACCTGCCACTGGATAGGTGCAGTGTTATAAGTGACCATTCCATTCCTACCTCCCACCCAGTCCCGCTATAATATTCCTTCCTTTATGGCTGAAAGATTCCTGCCATACAGTTGCTTTTAAATTATACTCCATTTTTCAAGGAAGGCCAGGGAGTAGCATATATGGTTCTCCCTGCTCCCTCAGCTTTTATCCTCCTAAGTACCCTGTAAGGTAAGTTAAGCAGGAAGAGCTACTGTCTCAGGACAACCCAATGAGCTTCATGGTTGAGCAGTGACTTGAACCTGGGTCTTGTTCCCTCCTGAGCAGCTTTCCAAGATCTGTATTCCAGAGAGGAAGCAGGACCAGAAGCAATAAGTAGGTGGAGCGACAGATGCAGCCCTTACTACCTTTGTATAGTAGGATGCATTCTGACCATGCAGAAGCCACATCATGCAGAAGCTGACCATGCAAAAGTACACATCGCTCCATCCCAACGAGGAAGTGGGATCATCACAGTTCAAGGATGCATTCCAGCCAGCAAAAGCACTTGAGGAAGGCGTGAAGCAGGGCTGGTGAGATGTGTGGACTGAGGAGGAGAGGCAAGGGGTTTGAGAGGGTGGTGGCTTCTCAAATCTAGCTAATCAATCTTTCTTCTGGCCAAGTTTTGCTACCAATGCTGCTTTGGTCACCATAAAGAATTTGTGTGTGAGAGAGGAGGGAGGTGTGGGGTAGCTTTGATGATATATTTTTATAGTAATATACTTAATTATATCCCACCCTTTTTCCTGACAGGACTCAAGGTGGCTTACAGGTTAAAAACAAGAACCACTGATACTCCTGGACATCTCACTGGCTCTTCATACCATCTCTCTTGGTATACTTCTAGATCTGTTATCGGACATGTGATAAGAGATACCACTCTCTTCTAGTTCTTTTTCCACTTGACTGGCTGATTCCAGAAGATGTTGGAGGATCCTTCTTGTTTCTCGTGCTGTTTAACATCTAAATGGCATAGCTGAGGAAAATCATCCAGGAATTTGGAGTCAGGTGCCATCAAAATGCTGAAAACACCTAGTTATTTTTCTCCTTTTAAATCTATTCCAGTGAAGTAGTAGATGTTGTGAGCAGCTGCCCGACGGACCAATAAAATGTAGCCCAATTCAAAAAAGACAAAAGTTTTGTTGGTAGGTGGTACGATGATCAAAGAGTTTGTAATTTGCCCTTTTGCAATACTACCTGAAAGATGAGGTTCAAAGACAGGCAATGTTAAGTGCTCAAGTCCTCAACTAGGCAGGCAAAAATTACTGACAGTAGCAAATGCAGTCCAGGGAAGTTGCTTTGGGAAGTAGGTGACAAAAGTGGATGGCAACAGACTGCCCCTCTATTGCTGTGCTTATAAGACCCTAAAGCAAAGCATCAAAATTACAAAATTAAGGCAAGAAGCTCATTGGGAACATCTTCCACTAAGTTATATGTGCAGAATGAAGACATTTTAGATACTGGAGGAGGTACCTTGAGACATATTGCAAGAACACAAAGTATCAAAGCAGAAAGGAGCGAGCACAATTTCTGCTGAATTCTTCAGTGCCTTCAAAACAGAATTATGTAATAATTATGAGTGTACAGGTGCAGTCAGAATAATTTAACACAGCACCCAGAGAAAAAAGGTTGAGCACTCATCTTCTCTTTAATTCTGAAGCCTTTATCTCAGCTACAGGTTGCTTTAATACCAGTCTGTCATGTTCTGTAAGAGGCCCACCTACAGGAGAGAGACACTGGTTTTCTACCCTTCAACCACAATGCCCCAGTGGTCTAGAAGATGAAGGACAAAGTAGCTTTGCCAGAGGCCCAGAACACAGTGACCCTAATCAATTTCCCTGGGAATAGATTGAATAGCCAGTCATGTCCCTAACACGGCTGCGCTCAATAGGAAACTGCAGCCGATTCAGGCCAAGAACCAAAATTAGCAGGCAAGCAGTGAGTCAAACAGCACCTCCCACCAGCTATTGTTTAGCGCTTGCCCATCAGCTATTGCAGAGCCGAGGGTGCCAGCCCAACTTAGGCTTCAAAGTGGCATTCTATTCCACAGTGTTGTGAACTTGCCATAGCATAAGATAGGGAAGGTACAAAGGAAAGGGGGCGGGGAGAGGGAGAGAAAAAGCAGCAATGCCTTCTTGCACTGTGATTTTACGAGATAACCATTCAATGAATGTACCAATCACATGTCTCCTGCAACACTAGATGCACAATTGCCATGAGAATAATATGCAGTCCTTGCATCAACCAGGCCACATGGAGAAGTGGGGTTGCTGCTGCTTTATGCCTTGTCTTCAAGAGAGGCGAACTAATCTTTCAAGTTGTCCTAGGGCCTAAAGCACAGTGGGAGAAATCAATATTCTTAAATCAACAGTACCAAGACCTAGGAAGCAAAGGACCAGACCACTTGAACATATTTACACTTGGGAACATAATTCATCTCACTGAATGCGTACATCACAAATCTTGCAGGAATTTCTCATAAACAGCTCTACCTAGCTGCCAACCTTTCCAAGTCTGCACTGGTTTTAACTATGCATCTGACTGTTACTGAGGGAAGGGAATCCCTGGGAATAGAGACAACATGTGTTGCCCAAATTACAAGTCCCTTTGACATCTGTTCTATATAACTGGCATGGGAAGGCTTTGGTGGGCTTTAGGAGACCTGGAGAAGCCACTGGTCCTGCTAACACTAAGCTTGCAGGAGTGATCAACATAGGAAGTCTGCCACGTTTCAGCCAGGAGTACCAATAACTCATAGTCGATCCTTGTTTAAATGAAATTGGCCAGCCAACCTAGCTCTAAGGGCACAGATGCTTAAGGCCTAAAATTTCACTGACAGATGCACTCTATGCATCTTCCCCAGTGGGTGGATGCCAGGTGGTTGACAAGTAACATACTTGTTTATTGTTGCTTAGGCATTTAGGGTTGCCAAGCTAATATAAGCTCAAAGACAGTCACATTTAAACCTGGATTTGGACAGGGCAAGGTAGGCAAGCAAATCCAGTCAACAGTTCTGGAGAAGATGACACAAATCTAGAGAACACCTTGTTTGAAAGGACATCTCTGAAAAACAGAAACAAATTTTTCAGTGCTTAGCAGGGTAGACAAAACCCACCCTGATTTAACTAGCATGCTTTCTTTATGAGGATTTAATAAACATGAAATACAGGGATCACTGAGAGATCCAGAGAAATCTAATCCTACTGCAGTTGCTTAATTAGTTAATTCAAATGAAACTATGCAGGAAGCTAAATAGCCACCAATCATTCATGACGTTACCCTGTATTTTTATGCTCTAGGCCAGGGGTGGGCTGAAGATACTCTACTAACAGATCCCCAAGGGATTTATAGTAGATTATTAAAAAACTAAGGATTAGAAATCCTTGCCAATGGCAGCAACAAAATGACCCCCTACTGTCTTACATTATACTGTTGAAATGAGCTGCTCCAATTGGCTTGTCAATTTTGGAAACATCGGAGGAGATCGGAAGCACTTCACATTTCCCAAGTGCTCTGATCTTGAAATAAATAAAAAACCAAAAGAAGACAGAGCTGATGGCAGATGCGCATTACAGGTAATGGCCTTGCTGTGTGTTAGATTGGGTGGATTGGCTGATGCAAAGGGACCAGCCCTGCAGTGACCTTCTGGTCTTCAGGAACCCAGAGAGTTGTGCAGTGTTAGCTGGAGTTCTGATTTATTATCTGCCTGGCTAAGAAGAGGCAGGGTGTTGTGTGGTGAGCACCCTCTCTGGAGCAGGCCGAACTCTGGCAAAAGCCTGGGGTTCCTCACAAGAGGGTTCAAGGCAACTGAACATGAAAACTAATCAGCAGCTAGTGAAAATCATGTAGAATCAGCATTCATATACATTCATTACAGATTCAAAGTGCCTTGCATTCTGGCAGCAACTAATTGAGGTTTCCAAACATTTTTGAAAGGCAGCCCCACATAAACAGTTACAGCACTGTCATCTGAAGGTCACTAGAGAAGGATGAATGACTGTGGCAAGATTCCCCTGTGTCAGGGAGGATGGTAGCTGTTGCACCTGGTGATACCGGGAAAAGGCACCCCTCACCACCTGCAGAAACAGGACCCAGATCAAGGAGCATCCCCAAACTAAGCACCTGCACTTTCACACTTTCCACTCATAACAGGCTGCAAAACCAATCTCATATCACATGGTCCAACTACCAACAGTACCTCTTCTGTCTGAATTATGTTTCCCCTCATTGCACCCTATCCAGTCCATCACAGATATCAGACAGCGATTCAGCCTTTCAACTATCTTACAGGAACAAATGAAAATGAGAGACAGGTGGCTGTCATCTGCATACTGATGACTCCACAGCCAAAATCTACAAATGACCTCTGTCAGCAGTTTCATGTAAATGTTGAACAGAATCTACATGTGTATTGTATATGCTAAATAGTTCCAAAATGTGCTGGTGGTGGTTTTGAACACTCTCCTTCATGTGCAACACACTCAGATGCAGCATGGAGGAGGTGTCAATGCCAAAAGATTAAAGGGGCCAAAGAAGAATCTGGCATCAGATGTTCTACAAGCTTCTATTTTAGACTAAGCAGCATTGCCAAAACATTGTGACAGTTTTGTTTAAACATACTTGAGGATCCAAGAAAAGACTGCATTCACTCCCTTTTGCCTTAGATGAAGGAGTAATGTGTGGTCCAGACAGAACAATAGAAGACCTACCATCTATTTACAACCCATCACCCTAGAGGTAGACAACACCATGAATTAAGATACAGCCAGTGACAGAAATAGAATATGACATCACATCAAGTCAACAACAAAAGCTACAATCCTGACTGGTAGTGGCAGCAAAGAGGAAAAAGCAACAATCATCAGCCCATGACTTTCACTCACAACTCTGTCAACCTCAGACTGAAATTCCCTATGTCAACAACTCTGACCACACATTTTAACCAAAACAGCTAAAGTGACAACATCAGTTGGAGAGGCCGGAGGAAAAACTGTCAAAATGGGAAGAAAGTTTTGAAACACACACAGGCAAAGAGAATTTGCTTCTTAATAATGACCTTTGCCAACAACTTCCCAAAAAGTTGCAATTCTTCCCCCAAAATGTGGGAGAACATCCAGGAACGCTCCAGCTATCCTTTCTCTAGGTCAGGGATGGGGAACTTGTGCCCCGCCAATGTTACTAGGCTACAACTCACATCATCCCTTCCTATTGGCTATTTGGGCCAGGGTTGATAGAAGCAGAAGCCCAACGACTTTGGGAGAGTTACAGGCTCCCCACCTCTACTCTGTGCAATAGACACTTGCAGAGTTAGAGCTTGTAAAGATGATAACAAATAGTAAGAAGTTGCAGTGGGCTTTTGAGAACCGATGGGGCTTCTCTAAGGCCAAAATCAAAGCCACACACCAAGCAGCTGTGGCCTCATTAAAGTTGAGCACCCTAAACTTTAGCTTAGCTTGAGGAAAGAGGTAGTCAACAGTCATAGCCAGAATGGCTGTCAGAGCTAAGGCTATAGCCACTTGTGGGCTTCTCTGAAAAATATCAGAGCCCTATTACAGATTCCAGTTACACACTTAACCATAAGCATACGCATGCACCAAGAGGCACAGAACAGCAGCAGTTCTGGAGCAGAGCCTCGGGGGAACCCACCGATTCTGGCACCCCTGGAAACCGTGCTCCCTTGTCAACTCACTCTGCTCATTCCAGGCTGCCGTGTGCTCAGATTCATAGGCTGCCTCCCCAACGTTCGGTGCCCCAGCATCACTCCGTGGCCCCCAGTAAAAGATCCGCCCTGCCAGACTCTCCAGTTTCTGTAGCGCCGACATCTTACACCCTTTGTCCTTGCTGGAGTTTTGAGAGTTCACCTCAGCTCCATGGCTCATGTTTCTCTTTTATTTTATCACCGGTTCTTTTCCTCTGCCCCAGCTCTGCTCTCGGAGCAAACACAGCCAAGCAGCTCAATCAGGATCCAGGAGGGCACTCTCTTCAGTCATTGCTATTTGCCAACAGGTCGAGGCAGCGGCACTGCTTTTCCTGTCCCGCCACAGGAAGAGAGGGGTAAAGGCAGCAACTGGAGAACAGACACAGTCCCAGATTCAGCAGAGCTCTTAACATTCCCCTCCAACTGATTCACACAGGCACTTGGCTTGAGCCGACTGCTCTCGACTTCCATCAAACCCACCTCCCTGGACTATAGCATTCATGTCAGTTCAGCAACAAGTCTGGGGCAGCCATCCATATCAGGTTTTCCCAAGCCCCCACGCTAAGGCTCAGAAAAGCTCCAAGACAGTTCATTCCATATTCTCTCTGTTTAGAAAGAAATACAGGGAGCCTGGTCACTTACACAGCTGATCAGAGGGTGAACAGCAGGCAGATTTGATTAATACAGAGGGAGGAAGGCCTGCCAGATCAGCAGTAGCAAGGACTATGCAATGAGGCTTAAAATAGCTCACAAATTCTCCGAATCTCTTTTGCCCTCAGGGCTGAAGGTAGGGCAAATAAGGAAATTGTCAGGTAGGGGAGCCCTATTATCTTCCAAAACGAGGTGATTCTTTAACAGAAAGAAGAAACAATTGAAGGAGAGAGGGAGACTGAGATAGAATCATAGAATTGTAGAGTTGGAAGGGACCAAGATGTTCAGATAACTTGATGAAACTAGAGCACACCAAAGCAAACCTCTGATGCTGTAGATGGAATATGACAAGGTGTGGCCCCCCAAAACTCAAAGTAGGATCTCATTCAAGCCCATATCCCCTTGGATGTTCCATGTTCTGGAGATAGAAATCACTCTTTCTAAGCACTAATACAACATTCCAAGGGTGAACATTCATTTGCAGAATGGCAGTCCTCATAACTTCTGGATTCTATTGCTAAGCAGCCCCCAAAAGCTCATATTCTCTGAATGAAGCAAAAGATTACTGCACAGTCCAGAGTGTGTGGATAAACATGGGAAGAGAAACCAGAAATCTTGCTTCTAAAACTTTGTCCTTCTCTCAAGGTTAAGAAGCCTTTCTTAGGCAAGGCCATCCAGAACAGAGAAGAATGGAGGTAAGGAAAAGGAAAGAAGAAAAAATACAGGGCGATGTCTCTTCCTCATAGGACTGCTTGCCAAAGAGCTCTAAAAATATTAGATGTCACAGTGGACCTCCAAAGAACAACCAAGTCATAAGGGACAGGAAGGAGTTATTGCTTTAGCCCCCCAAAGCTACGCAGGACGTAAGTGACCAACCGGCCAACCAAGTGCATCCACAGAAAAAGCTGGGTCCAAAACTGGAAGCTGAATTCGGAGTCGCCTTCCCACATACTCTGAGGACTACGGGGTTCAGTTTCCATATCGCTGTTTCCAGACGACAGCCTTGTTCTCTACGCCTTCAGCACAGATCCAGACTCAGGCTGCATAGTTCATTCTGCCTGTGCTGCAACTCTCCATTGTCCCTCAAAGCAGAGCTGGCTCTTGATTCAGAGACTGTCTGCAGGGCAAGCAGAGCAAGCAGAGTGGCAGGGTAGCTTGCGGTATTGTTTCAGGAAAAGCCCCAAAGGAACAGCCTTGAAGTGGGAAGAAGAAGAGAAGAGGCTGGGCATGGTGCCAGCTTTGTACAAAGTCCTTAAAGGAACAGGCTACCAACTTTGCATCTTCTGCACTAATGTTCAGCAAAACATGCACACAAAGGTTGTCCATGAGGAAACTACCCTCCACCATTGTCCATTCTCTTTGCTGAAACTGCTGAGATGCACCAGCTTAAGAACTGAAACTCTGAACTATTAACTAAGAATGCAAAGAGGATCTGCATTTCATAAAGTTCAGAAAGCCTCTCTGCAGGCCAACACTTTATCATCATTCAGATCACAAAGCAAGAACATAGTCACTTCCTCTGAGAGCAGTCAGATTTGACTACTGCCAAAGACAGCTTACTGAACTAGGTAGACGAATGATGCACCCAGGAAGAACAACATCTCACATGGCTGGAAAATGCTTCAAACTGAGTATTAAGCATGCCATTTCTGTAAATCCAAACAATTATTCTAGACCCGACTTACAGAAAAGACAAAAGTTCACAACAACTACTGTTCATACTGCAAATCCATTGGGTGCATGTTAACACATTTCTAGCAGAAAAACAAAGGAAATAATGAGACTCTTCTTCACAGTACAACAATTCAGCTGAATCAGTCCAAATCAAATACATCAATGTGATATGTAGCAGAAGTAGAGCAAACAATTTCCTTCCTAGACTGACTTGTAGGCAGTAGTAGAAACCAAGTACTTAGAGCAGGGTAGACCTACTAACTGCAGACAAGTTGCCAGGTTTCCAAGCTCTCAAGAAGTTAGGAATCTTAATTTGTGGCATTAAAAAACAAACAGGTTCTCACCTTTGAAGACACAGAAAGGGTTAAACATTGTGCAGGTGAGGCTTCATTAGATCAGGTGATTTTTTTTTTTGTCATCCCAGGAGGCAAATCTCTGACGGGTTCAGCACAAAAGCTTAAAATATTTTTTAATGAGCATGCTGGAATAAATGCAACCAGCCACAGCGGCAGAAAGCAATGGTTGTGTAAGACACGGAATGGCACACCAAGAGGACAGGTGGAAGAGTCCTTGAGGTGCTCTGCCCTCCTCAGCAATTTCCGTGCCTCTGACTTAGCAGGGTTACCCTTCAACACTACAAGCAGATATGCAACCAGATGAAGAAGACCTACTTATTTTTCCATGTATAAGACTAGGTTTCCCCCCCTAAAAAATGTCAAAAATTAGGGGGCGTCTTATACTGTACACAAGATACATCTCCCCCCATTTTATTAAATCTGAGTCCCCCAAAATAGGGGGCGTCTTATACATGGGGGTGTCTTATAGACGGAAAAATACTGTAACTGGAAAGGCTAAGTGAATGGACAGTTTAGGATGACAGCAAGTGGTCTGTACAAGTAAATTCTGTACCCATAATACTGCTACATCAAAGTTCTCATCAGTTTTTGTCAATTGTGCGAAGGGGAGAAAGGTGCTGTATCCTACCTCCAGGATCAGAGGTGGCACACCTCTGTATACCAGTTGCTGGAGTGCACATATCCAACCTCCTCCCAATATCTGGTTGGCCATGGTGGGAAACAAGATGCTAAATCATATCAGCTTTTGATTGGATCCAGCAGGGCTCTTCTTATATCATTAACTACTTGGGGGTCAACCCCTGCCTCCCCCCAATTTGGCAGAGCTATTGTAGCGTAACATAAACTACCAACTAAAGGACAATTAATGCCTTCTTAATTACACACATTTTGAAGCCCAAAGAGAACATTTAGATGCTGGTACAGATAGATGTGCCATTAAAATTAGGGCTGTACAAGATGCCTTTCACACAGTTAGCAATTGCATTAATGGTCTTTTTAAAAAAGGAACTTAGTAGGCACAGGGATTCAGTATGAATTGGCAGGAGAACAGGGAGCTTTAACCTCTTACTGCTGCTGCAATCCTTATCTGGATTGGGAGTTCCACACCTGCCATTTGCAGTGGAAGAAATGCTTCCAGATTACACATGGACAAGTCTTCAGTTGCTCAGAGGTGGCCACTGGCAAGCAAAATTCAGGATACTACTTCATAGACTCTGAACAGGGGGTCAACTTGTCCTGGAGCAATGCACCTTGGGAACAAGCAAAATCAAACTGTGCTACCATCAGCTTTGTTTCTTAGAAATGGAGCACATCTTTCTTTTGAAGTCTGAATATATCACCTCATCACTGTATATCTTTCAAATGTACCAAACTGATAGGTAATGGAACCAATTTTCTCATTATGTAAACTCAATACCAGAATGTACTTAGTGGCATCCTCTTCCAACTGCACCTATTGGACTGTCACAACACTCTTTAGAACTGGATCTCAGAACTTGCGAGTAAGATACAGAAGCCCCCCCCCCCCCTTTTCAGAAAGGAAAGTGAGTATTTGGGACTTGAGGATATTTCAGACTTTTCTTTCTTGGCACACTCTGCCAGCAGATTCTTTTGACAGAGCTCTTTCTGTTCTTTGCTACCTTACAATGAACCCAATTTCATATGTCAGATATTGGGAGTGTATAATCGGTTAAGCTGACTCCCTGGGAACTTGGGTCACCCTAATTGGCTGAAAGAATCATCTGGTACGATACGACTCCCTGCCATTCCAAGCAGCCTGGAATACCTCACTAAGAATGAAAGTGGTTAGAAACATGAAGCTCCGACACAGAAGCTACAAACGAAACACTGAGGAATGCTTCTCAGTTAAAACATGCCAGGCAATATTATTTAATTTGACATATTTAACACTGCGTCTTAACCAGAATGATTCATAAGAGGGCTCACAATGTGCAAAAGTCATGCATTAAAGCCACAGTAAAGAGCAATAGGTAGCAAATAAAAATCAGATAATGACCTGCATCAGAATTAGTTAAAACAAAGAAGGTTGGGGAAGCTGAATCTTTTAATTTCTGCTAACAGACTGTGGTTAACTACTGGCCATTCCTTTCCCTACATTTCAGTAATTGCTGGTGGTGTAAACTGATGTACAGTGGTGCCCCGCAAGACGAATGCCTCGCAAGACGAAAAACTCGCTAGACGAAAGGGTTTTGCGTTTTTTGAGTCGTTCCGCAAGACGAATTTCCCTATGGGCTTGCTTCGCAAGACGAAACGTCTTGCGAGTTCTTGCGAGTTTGTTTCCTTTTTCTTAAAGCCGCTAAGCCGTTAATAGCTGCTAAGCCACTAATAGCCGTGCTTCGCAAGACGAAAAAACCGCAAGACGAAGAGACTCGCGGAACGGATTAATTTCGTCTTGCGAGGCACCACTGTAAATCAATTAGGTAGCACTGACCACCTAAATTTTGATGTGGGAGTTGTACCACTCACCAGATAGAGTGAGATATGCAACAATTAGTGCTTTTAGAGGGCGGGCTTCTGCACATTTGTTATTATTTATAAAATACTAGTAGATGGAGTCCTCCATTAATTGGCAAGCACAAAATATAAGTGGTTACCAATGGAGGTTGCAGAAATGGCAAGAGCGGAAACATGCTTATACATGCTGTGCACATTATTATACTTAACTAAAATGTGAAAGTCAGCTATGTCCCTTTAGTTCATTATCCATTCCCAGCACTTTAACAAGTTTGCTGCCAAGAGCCACAGTTTTCACCGTAAAATCCTCCAGTTATGTTTGTCTGCATATTTTCTGTCTTATGTATTTTCATAAACAAGTCTTAAATCACACCTGAAAACTTTAATGAGAGAAAGGAAGGAGAATTGGTGAATAGTCTTTGTTTTTAAAACAAATGCAATAAAGCATTGCAATAATGTTTTAAAAATGGCTTCTGAATTCAAAATTCCAAACCACTACCAAATAATGAGTTATGCTCACTGGAAAATATTGTTTAGAAACTATTGGCAGAGTTTTATCCTGATGTTTGCAGCATCAGCGTATCAATGTTTAGAATGAGACATCAAGAGATATACCATCCAGCCAAAGAGCAACACTTTAGAATTGGAGCACCACACTTACAGAGTTCCATACCCGCTAATGTAACATGATATCAGGGTTTGCATAGTTAATGCAAGCTTGCCAGTAAGCCCAAGCTACTCAGGAAAGCTAGGGCTTTGTCTGTGTGAAGTCTCCAAACAGCTTTTTTTAAAAAATAAATGTCAGAATTTTAATTCCCCCCCTCCTCCATTTGCTGACAGCAATGTAATCAAGAGGTATTCTGTGAAAAATAAGGGCCTCTCAGACTCATCCAACACAAGGTACAGAGCAATATTGAACTACAACTATCCTGATAGGAGATCACAAAGGGTGGTGATCCCATTACACAGCTTCCCCACAAAAAAAGGCAAAACTTCACAGCAACATCATTTTTTTCTTCCACAAATCTGAACCCCACAATGAGGATATCACACATTCTCACGCACATTTTCCACAGCCAGGCTGGACAAGTTGGTTTCATTCTCAATACACCTGGCAGGTATAAAGCATAAAATAGTAGTATTGTCAACCAGCAGCTAAATTCACCAATGCTGTCCATCCTTCTGACTGTCCCCTGTTCCAAAATGCTGAACCCAGCATACCAGTCTAAAGCAGGACTACAACTCCCATCTTAGCCGACCACGGGTCATGCTGACTGCAGCAGATGGGAGTCCAACAAAAGCTGGTAGACCAGAAATCAACTTGACCTAAAGGCTTTGTATAACAAAACAGTATGGCTCAGTGCAATATGGTGACTTCTACACAATAAGTACAAGTCAGAATAAGCTGCACCTTAGGTACTCACACCGGGTGATGCTGAGGGTAAAACCTCAGTGCCTAGGACTTGCCGATCGCATGGTCGGCGGTTCGAATCCCCGCGGCGGGGTGAGCTCCCGTCTTCTGGTCCCAGCTCCTGCCCACCTAGCAGTTCGAAAGCATGCCTAAGTGCAAGTAGATACAGTGGTGCCCCGCAAGACGAATGCCTCGCAAGACGGAAAACCCGCTAGACGAAAGGGTTTTCCGTTTTCAATGCGCTTCGCAGGACGAATTTCCCTATGGGCTTGCTTCGCAAGACGAAAATGTCTTGCGAGTCTAGAGATTTTTTTTCCGCTTCCCCCCCCCCCTTTATCTAATCTGCTAAGCCTTTAATAGCCTTTAATAGCCTTTTAGCAGCTAATCCCCTAAGCCTTTAAGCCTTTAATAGCCGCTAAACCGCTAATAGCGCTAATCCGTTAAGCCGCTAATAGGGTTGCTTCGCAAGACGAAAAAACCGCTAGACGAAGACTCTCGCGGAGGGATTAATTTCGTCTTGCGAGGCACCACTGTAAATAGGTACCGCTTTATAGCGGAAAGGTAAACGGCGTTTCCGTGTGCTGCGCTGGTGCTGGCTCGCCAGAGCAGCTTCGTCACGCTGGCCACGTGACCCGGAAGTGTCTCCGGACAGCGCTGGCCCCCGGCCTCTTAAGTGAGATGGGCGCACAACCCTAGAGTCGGACATGACTGGCCCGTACGGGCAGGGGTACCTTTACCTTTACCTTTTACCTTAGGTACTCACACATCTACATGTAATGGGGCCTGGATGTATATTGTTTTCACAATGTGTATACACACACATATGTGTCCCCCCCCCCCCACTTCCTATAGATAGTGCTTTAGGTATGAAGAAGAGCAAGAAAAGACATGGCCGTTATGTTTGCTGGCTGATCAGCTGAAATCCATTCCTCTCTCAAAGTGGCTCCTTGCTCTGTGAACAGGATTGCAAAGGAGAGAATGAAGATACCAATATAGCTCTTGCAACAATCAGTTGGGATTTGAAAGTGATCCTTCTTTGCAGCCTCAACCTTACATGGCTTTGTAAAGTTTATCTAGATGTAAACTGGAAGATTTATCTACATGTTAAGGATTTCTCATTGCATCAAGCAGGCTTACTTCCAAAGTACACATTGTTAGGATCTGACTGTTTGCGATATTTTAGCACCTCGCTACACATAATGCATTGCTAATGAGTGTTCCACTTTCTGAAACCTTATTCCCTTATATGTACTTCACACCCTCTCTCACCATATACCGTAGCTCTAAAGCCACAGGTTTGCTCTCAAGAGGCACATGTATGTGCTAAGAGCTTTGCAAAAGGAGATCTCCGACAACATGACTATTTTCTGGCATAGTAACACTTATTACAACTCCAACATTAGCACTTCCACACATTCTAGCACACGGAGGCAACTTCTGAGATTACCCGCATCGCTTATGCTCGTGTCTTTTGTGATTAATGCAGAAACAGATAATCTTATCTGCAAAAGGTATCATCAACCATTTTCTCCTTCCCAAACCAAGTAATAACTGAACAAAGAGCACAGAGCACAAACGGTACACTTTGCCAACAATTACAAGTGACATACACACCCCATGGTTCTTCTCATTAATTGGTAACAAGAGATGCTCGAATCATACATTCTGAAACTGGCAAACCAATCAGCATTATACTGTCTTTAGAAACCATGTGCAACACCCCCCTCTGGTGGCTGGACCACAGGGAATGGTGCTGGGCCACATCTCTCTCTCAAAACTCTTTTCTGTGGCCAAGTGTCCCTTGAACTTTTCCATTCATCTGAAGTACTTCGCAGATGGTGGATCAGATCACGAACTGGAAGCAGCACAGTTGGAATTAAGTAATGCTTCTCAACCTGTTACCTCTCAACCTATGTTAAAAAGAATAAAGAGTAAGCACTGAAGGGTGCATAAAGCCTTCCACTCAGCACTCTATTCATACGTTGGCTGTTGGAAGCTGAATGCACACCAAGCCAAGCAATACAGCTGCATCACAAGGTACCCATTCATTTGAAGTGAACCCCGATGAGTCTGCTTCTGAAAGCAAACAAGTACATCACATGGAAAGTTACATGAGTGGGTCACATATACTCTACTGCAGTTAAGCCTGTAAAAGCAAAATTCAGTTAGCTGGTGACTCTTCCATGTAATGATCATCTGCTACAAACAATACAAGTATGACTGACTGGTGACCCTAGTTAAAGATTTTCAGTATGGCCCTGATGCTGAACAAAATCAAGAATTTTGGGTTCTCTCCTGGCCATTAAAAAATAAATAAATCTCCACACTGCACAACCATAGCAAAGGAGTTGAGATTAAGATGTATAACAAAAAGAAAAAAACTTATGAAAGTCTGACTTTCCAGAAGTATTCCACCTTTATATAATTTTGTTTGCTTTGTTTTTTCTTTGCACACATCCTAAACAAAAGTCACTAGAAGATAAAATGGATTCCTTTTTCAAGAGTAACAGCACTTTCCCTATTTTCACTGCTTGCATCTTAAACGATCTATTCCTTCATTTATATAACCTTCATGCCTTCCCAAGATTCCCATTCCAGTCTGCCAAAGACACCACTAACATTATTTTCCATTCTAGAAAAGCCTAATTCTACATTACACACATCATCGGAAGAGAGCTCAAACTTCACAGCCTACTTCTGCATAGCACCAGAGTACTACTTTCCCTATATGGAGAATTAGCAAAGTATTCCATGCTTAACGTAAGAAACACTGAACTTCTCCAGTTCCCCCCAATTCTTAGAAAAGGCATCCCTCTCAACAGCATTTTAACTATAACACACCTACCTCTTTGTAGCATCTCAACATGAAGTTTGGGTTTCAATCAGAACATTTATGTACAATCATAATTTAATCAATAAGCTCTGGGACCATCAACCAGCCCTAACAAATAATGCTCTCTCTTAATAATTCAACATAGGAATCCAAAGTGTGGACATTCCCTCTGTTAGCCACTTGCCACGCTCCACTCTAAATAACTCAGTCCCACAGTAACCACAGATTTTTAGGGCCTTGTACAAACTGTCCCAACAGAAATAAAAATCCTCTCCCTCAAGGAACGTAAACCTGAATTACTACCAGTTCTGACCTGCTGCAGTGCAAACCTTCAAGAGGCCAAGACAGGGAAAGGTAACCAGATGGGATTATGTTAAGACCTAACAGCATGTTATAATCAAAGGGCCTACCTTTTCTTAAATTATCAGCCTGCAGAAGCCAGACGGTACAGCTAAGGACATCAAAGCCATTCTTCACCTTCCCAAGTCCCTCAATCGGGCCCAAACAGAAGCCACCTCACATTAAGAGTGGGAAATCTCTCTACTTCTCAGCTCCACCGATCCTGTCACATTCCCCTCCCTCTGCCCGGGGCTGCCTGTCCCTAGACAAAACCACAACACCTCCTCCTTGGACCCCCAAGAGGGCTGGCATCATAGACTCAGAGCCTCTTCTTCTCCCCGGGCTACCCAGCCTATTACTCCCCCTCACCTCCGACCTCCATCTTGCCAGTCTGGAGTGTGGCTTCTCTTCCCCTACGGCTCCCCAGAAGGCCCAATCCAAACTACAGCTTTGCCAGCTCTCTGGGAGACCGGCTCCAAGGGGCAGAGAGAGAGAGGAGTGGAGTGAAACAGCCCGCTTAAAAGACCTAAAGCCAGACCCTGTAAAGAACAAGAGTAAGGATCAAACCCTTGCGAGGCCCAGGAGCCTGCCTTTGGCACATACTTTTAAGAAACGCAAGCGGAGCACATCAGGCCCCGGGCCTGCCTGGTCTGATCTCCAGTGATCTCCTGTAGAACTGGGAGGGCGTGGCCAGAGCAGAACCCTCAGCACACAGGCCTGCTGCCCCGCGCCCGATTGGCTGTTTCGCTTCGTTCAAGTTTGTATAACAAATCAAAACTAGGTGACTGAACGCAGTTATAATAATAATACTTTATTATTCATACCCTGTCTGTCTGGCTGGGTTTCCCCAGCCACTCTGGGATGCTCCCAACAGAATATTAAAAACACGATAAAAGATCAAACACCGAAAACTTCCCTAAACAGGGCTGCCTTCAGATGTCTTCTAAACGTCAGAGAATTGTTTATTCCCTTGACATTTTGATGAGAGAGTGTTCCACAGGGCGGGCGCCACTACCGAGAAGGCGCTCTGCCTGGTTCCCTGTAACCTTACTTGCAGTGAGGAAACTTCCAGAAGGTCCTTGGAGCTGGACCTCAGTGTCCGGGCTGAACAATGGGGGTGGAGACGCTCCTTCAGGTATACTTCAGTTATAATGGTCCTCTGTCCTCCCCAACCTCACCAGCTTCCGGGCAGTGGACTAGTGGGACTAGGCTAGTCCCCTAAATGTTCCTGGTAAATTAGAGTATTAAAGCATTACCGCCTGGCACCTCCTCCTCAAAGCCCAGGAGGCTTCTGCCCCGCTGCCGGCAACCATCCTACAAGCTGCTGCTTCTGACCCAAAGTGTTCCCCTACCAAAAAAATCACTGCATGTCACTGCTTCCACGTTTAGAATTCATGTCTTTATAAAACTAATTCTTCTTTTAGTTTTTCTCTACAGGATTCTCTTACGTTGTTCCATCAGGGTAGTGTGGGAGCATCCATCCACAGCAAGGTCATCTTCTCCAGCTGAAGTACAAAGAAGTATGCATGGCCACAACACCCAGTTTTGTAGAGATGCAGTGGATAACATTATTTTGTAGACCCTTTTCACTAGTGTAGGAAATAAATGGCCACCAGATGGCACAAAAAGCATCCATTTTTTCCCTTTTCGTTCAGCACTGTTAAACTACAGTATACGTTATTGTGTCAGCTATAGCTAAACTCCACACACTGTTTGGGCAATGGACAGTGTAGTGTAATGGTTAGAATGTCCAGGCTACAGAAACCTAAGTTCAAACCCCCATTCAGCCATGAAGCTTGATGAGTAACCTTGGGCTAGTGACCAAGTTGTTGTGAAGATAACAGGGAGGGCTGGGTAAAGAAAGGAGGACCATGTACATTGTTTTGAGCTCCTTAGAGAAGTAGAATATAAATATAATAAATAAATACAACAGCAAAGCTCTTAATGGGGGTAGATTGCTGACAATATATTACATCCGTTTTCAAACATTTGCATGCATTGCCAGTGTGCTTCTAAGCACACATCAAAGTATATTTTTGATATTTAAAGCCCTGAACCAAAGTTATCAGAGGCATACCACCACTATTATGTCCTTGGGGACACGGGAAAAGCAATGCTTAACAGTCCCCTTGTTTGTTGCAGTAGGATGAGGGGTACTCTTTGGAACACTATTCCTAGGGAATGCATTTAACGAACTCTTGCATCAGCTTTCAAAAGCATAAAGTTTAAGATCCTTTTAGGAGGGTGTTTGGGTTAGAGGCATGTCCAATGGTTGCATTTTCCTCTTTGCTCTTAATGATTTGTGTTTTCTTTTTCTTTTTTTTTTAAATTCTGTCAACTGAAATGACTTTTGAAGTCTAATCAAGCAAGGCTAAAAGCTGCTAAATAAATAGTGAACACACAAGACCACGTACTGTATTTGTAGTTTCCAATCTTCCATGTACAAGAAATTCATCAGGAAAGAGCCAAAACCCAATCACTGTATCGTGCTACAATAAGGGTCTGGCCTGTAAGTCTTATCTAACCTGATCAATACAATTATTAGCCATTACTCCTTTGCAAAAATGTTACAAGTGGAATGGCTCACAACACAATCCCACACTTGAACCATAGGGCAACATAAGGTTAAACTTCAAGTTTGTTCTCCTAACTAGAATTGCCAGAAAACATTCCACAGGCCAGGCGCTGATAGTCTTAAATGCATCATGGCTGAAGAACGTGCCTGATCTGGTCTGTGGATGCCCAAACCACTCTCCTATTCCTGCCAAAACTACAAATGCACTAATTTGTAATACTCCCTCACTTATCCACCAAGGTTTACAGCATGCTACAAGTTAGCAAGAGGCAGTAGTCACTCAAGCCAGCTTGTCATTGTCATTTAGACAGCTTCTGTCTCCATTTAAACATAATAGGGTTCTCTTGAGCAATATGTCCAATGTTTTTTCCCCTTTTTTGTAATTTAGTAGACAGACCCCTTTACAGTCTTTGGTCTGAAATCACCTCTTGATTAACCTACTAACAAACAGAACAGGTTGATCAGGAAACGAATCATTCTGGTCAAGGATTTCAGTACTCAGGGTCAATGCTCAGTTTTACACATTAAAACTGGAAGGGAAGGGAAGTTGCTACTGCAACCACCAGGTTTAAAACAATCATGAGAATATAATTAAGTAACATCATATACCGGTACATTTGTCTTCCTCTGCATCCTAAAGAAGCTAGGAACAAGCATTTCTCACCTCCATTAGACCCCTTTCAAAGAAACCTAACAAAAATCAAACTGGTAGATGTTTGCTACCAGAAAATATAACAGTTAACAGTTATTGGGTGCTCTTGCCTGCAGTGCAATTTAAGCTGGTCCAAAAATTTGACCAGAATGTTTTAGGGGTGTCCTGGACCACTTTGGGGGTATCCATAGAGCCTGGTATGGGCCTCAAACCTTATGCTTGACCCCTCTGCTTTAGTTGGCACTGTGAATCAAACAGTTATAGAGAAAGGCTCACAGAGTCACTAAGTCAAGGCATTGCTAATTGTACATGAACCTCTACAGTGACCCACAGCAGCATATGAGAAAATAAGCAAGCTGGATCTTCTTGAAATTTCAGTTTATTTTGCTGCCTTCCCAATTCAAAAGCCAGCAACAAGGGCAGGGGCTAAGAGATATAGAAAGCAACTCCAGGAAATGTTCCGTGTTTCTGTTCCATAATAATAAAATGCATTTTAAAAGATAATCTAAAATACTTGGAGCAAGTAACAAATCAGGATAAGATCTAGGTGATATAAGAATAAGAAGAGTTCTGCTGGATCAGACCAAAGACCTATCTAGTCCAGCATCCTATTCTCAAAGGGGCCACTCAGACCTACGGGAAGTCAACAACCAGGTCACGATCACAACAGCACTTGCTTCCCGACAAACAGTATTCAGAAGCACATCACCTCTGACACGTTAGATTATACACAGCCACCATGACCAGGAGCCTTAAAGATGGTGACCATCACAACATTTGTGACAGCATGTAGTTTAACTATGCCCTGCATGAAGATATACTTCCTTTTGTGTGCCCTGGCACTTCCCACATTCAACATCTAGTTCTATTTTTATGAAGGGGAGGAAAACTTCTCTATCAACTTTCTCCACATCGTACTGCTAGATCAGTCTACAGATAGATACAGATTGTGGAAATTTGATGGACGCTCCCTCTGCACCAAGACCACAAGGCAACAGGATGAGGTCCATGCCTGAGAAAAAAAGAGAAAAGGAGCTTGGCATGGAGGCAGTGGAAGAGTCAAGCGTGCCTTTTTTGGCGGTCAACCCAGGAGAAAGGGAGCATGAAGCTAGTAGCACAAAGACCAAAAACATTTCCCAAATCAGAAGCAGGACTTATATGCCAACTCTCCCATTTTACACCTCTCCCACACCCAACCCCTCACAACTGGCTCAACCCACACCCACAAGATTGCCAAAAAACGCCAAAGAAACTTCCCCCTATCTCCCTACTTCTGCTTCATTTGCAGATTTCCTTCCGGCAGCAGCAGGGAGAGGGCCTCTTCATTCTCCTGCCCCGCCGCCTTTGAAGATGGTAACAGAGGGAGCTCAGCAAGGCCTGCCTGGGTGGCCAACTCTGCCAAGTTTACCTGCCTGGGCCGCTGACCTGTTTCCTCTACACACACCCATATTGTGGTAGCAATGACAGAGAGTGTGTAGGAAGCCTTGCCTGGGCTGCCCACCTGCCCATTTCACTGGTCTGCTTGCTCGTGCTGAAGGCCTGAGCTGCTGGCTTTCTTCCTTCCCTCCACCCCAGGATGGCAGTGGCAACAACAGTGGGAGCACAGGAAGGCCTGCCTGTGGTTTGTGAATGCCTGTACACTTGTCTGTGTGATAAGGGATGAGTGCAAATATAGTACAGAGAGATGTGGCAGGTTGTTGCATTTACTGATCCTCGGAAATTACCCACCTGGTGACTAACCTGTCTGCAACACTTGAGAAAGCAACACAGAATCTTGGAGGAAGTGACAAGGAGAACAGCACTTAAGGGTTTGGGCTATCAAATCTTTTTCCCAGAAGGAGCTCCTACGCCCCTTAACGGCAGCAATCCAAACAGAAATTAAGCAGGTGACTCCAGCAAGATTCTGTTGTTGGATACCCGCTTGTCACAGTCATTAAAGACATAGGAATCCTGCCAGAAACACGTGCTGACTATCCTACACAGGAGAATGAAATGGGCAGCACTTTGCTTTTAAGACGCTTCAAGCAACTTAAGAGCTGGCTAATATCTAAATGCTATGTATTATGAAGTATTCACACACTAAAAAAAAAAACCAATTAAGTGTGAAATCATCCCCGGATTCTACAAAGGAATGTACAAAAGGTTGCTCAGCGTTCATACTCCAGTTTGTTAAGGCAGTAAATTACTCTTTAAACACATTTTAAACCAGCCATCTTGATTGCAAAAAGAGTGGATTTTTACACTGATCAATGAGTGCTTACAGGTGCAGCAGGGACCCAATTCATTTCAGCAATTTGAATTCTGACTTACGGGGTTGTAGTAATTTATTGAAGATCATTCATGATCTACACATGGTGGACACATTGAAACAGCTACATGCACCTATGCACATGGCAAGGAACGGCTTTGGTTGACTCCCCAGATGTGTACATGCTATGAAACAGATGCTTAAGACACTTCAAAATTATGTAGCAAAAGTACTACCACTTGAACCTTTACTCTGTGAAGTATGAAGCGTTCCCAGCACTGTGCTACTCATACAAATGAACAGTTGTTGCTTCCTTATTAGCCTTTACCTACCATACCACCTCTTCACAGAAAATAAACACCCTTGACATATTTGCCACCCCACCCTTCAGCTCCAAAGCGCACAAAACTTTCAAAGTCCATTATTGGCTTTGTAAGCTCAGGTTTGACCTCATTTTACCAAAAGTTCCTGCTAGTTTACTCTGATCTTTAATAAGAGTTCCAATTTCTCATCTTAATCATCAGTGCGAGCTCACACTTTTAACCTACCAAGAACCCTAAAACATCTGGGATACCATGCACATCAAACTCTTCCTTGAAGACAGCTTCAGTCACATAACTGGGAGAACCTAATGAGGAGAGCAAGAACTGCTGGGGCCTGTTCGGAACCTTGGAAGAACGGAGTGCCAATTACATGGGCAAGGAAACAGTTTCATATTTTTATAGTGTACACAGATAAAGGTTTCTTACATTTTCCTCTCCTGTCTGCATCTTCTGAAGAAACTTCTTACAGTAATCACAGCTTACTCCTAACACCTTTCCCCAACTCCAGGGAGTTCTTTTGCTACTTGCTGCGGTTACAGCCAGCAGTGGATTTGATTTGTTGGCTGATGTGAAATTATCTCTGGTTTTATAATTTGTTTTATTGTCACTTGAAGGTTGCAGCAGGCCTCGGAGGCCCTTTTGAGGGTGAGAAGACATATAAGTAAACAAAATTTAACCACAAAACCAATGAATATTCTCTAAGTTTTAGTATGTTTTCTTCACCTAAACTGCAGGCTTCCTAGAAGCAAAAGAAGTTTTTGGTGTTGCTGTTTTTTTAAATCAAATTAACACATGCTAATAGGGGTTTTTTTCACTGGGTCGGAAGCCCCAACTCCCTCCACTTTATATATGGTAGAGAGATCACAGGCAAATCATATCACTTTCACAAAAGCCAAGTCACAAATCTGCAGAGTGAGATGAACCAACTCAATTTCTAATACCAGTTAGATTTTAAGCCTTTGCCAACCTGGTGCCCTCCAGATGTTTGGGGCTACAATTCACAACAGCTTCTGCCAGTATAGCCAATGCTGGAAGCTATAGTTTGAAATATCTGGAGGGCACCAGGTTGGAAAAAAGCTGCTTTAAACAACTAAGCTGTCAATCAGCAGTTCTGCCTTTGGTGTAGTTAAGCAGAATGAACAGGAAAGCGCAGCTTTTAAAAGGGGGCTTAGATTTCCCCAGACTAGAAGTTAAGGAACCTACTTTTAATATAGTCCCATCAGTGTTGATGGCAATGAACAGAATAATGAGCAGAAAACAGATCCCAGCCCCAAGGAACTTACAGCCTAACAGAAAGATGAGAGAGAGACGGAAGAGGAAACCTACCTTTAACTGTGGACATACCTCATGGCTGCTTGTACTGCCCTCTGCAGTCCCCAGTGCCTGCCCTGGAGGCCCCTTGGAACAGCATAGCAGATGCAGGAGGAAGTAGGAATTTACAAAAATAAATAAATAATCACCTCACCCGCTTTCTGATCAAATAAAGCAGACTCCTCCATTGCCCCAGAGGCTGAACTGGATACAACCCTGTTTATTGGAAGCCCAGATGATCTACGTCTGCCACTGTCCGCCAGCAGAAATGTTTCTGAATCACAATTACCATTATCTGTACTGTAGTAACAGACTGCACCAAAAACATATGGCTTTGTGTTTGGAGAAACTAAGATGCAACTAGATTCAGGTAGGTAGCCATGTTGGTCTGACGCAGTCGAAATAAATAAAAAATTAAAAAATAATCCAGTAGCACCTTAGAGACCAACTAAGTTTGTTCTGGGTATAAGCTTTCGTGTGCATCCACACTTCCTCAGATACCAAGAGGTGTGCATGCACACAAAAGCTTATACCCAGAACAAACTTAGTTGGTCTCTAAGGTGCTACTGAACTATTTTTTAAGATGCAACTGAAAGAGTTCAGTTTACCAATCCATGGGTTCTCCGTACATTTCATTTATATTTACTTACCATACCAACAGTGTGTCAGCCACAGCTTTGATACCTATATAGCCACATTTTCTTTGACCAAAAAACTGACAAGCGTTTTGGACCAGAATACCTCAAGGACTGTCTGTAAGTAATCCCTATTGCACTCCAATCAACATCTGAGAGCCATCTCAGGAAGCCAAGTCAACTCACGTTTGGCAGGTGGCTACAAACAGAAGGCCTATTTGCATTTTTCCAGATGTGTTGGCTAGCCTATTAAAATCCATTTATCATTTGCACTGAATGATTACTTCAGATAGGTGAAGCTGACAGGAATTGGGGTCCAACAATATATGGATGTCCACACCTAAGGCACCTCTGTTTTAAACAGACAGTTGCAGAGCTGGAAAGGACCTCCATGTAATGTTGCACAATCCCTACTCAGTCACTGCCTCTCAACTTAAACCTGCCTCACAAGGTTGTTGTGAGGACAAACTGAGAAGGGAAAGAACCAGGTACTGCACCTTGAACTTATTGGAGGAAAGGTAGGATGTAGTAGTTCTTATCTAGTTTCAACTTTAAAGCCGCCAATGAAAGAGAATCACAATAATTAAGTTGTCAGGTTTTTTTAAAAAAGGCTACATAAATTGTCCATTAAACTTTAATTAGTTTAATGTTAAGTAAACGTCCAGTGTGCTTCCAACACCATAAATCTTATCTCAGCAGAGAATTTCGTGCAGCGGTTGAAGAAGGCAGGAGAGTCAGTACCTTTCAATGAAGAATCCTGGAGCAAGCACTTTGGAACTCAGGGGAAAAAAACTTTATTTACAAAAGAAAAACCCTGGCGATAAAGCACACATGCTTTTATCTCCGGCATAAAGAAAACTTTACTCTAAACTTAACTCAAAGCAGCAAACACAGGGGAGAGAGATAACACACGGGTGAACTGACTATTTATACAAACTAACTCACATTCCTGGATGCTTAATGACTTCCAGCTGCTCAGTGATTAGAGCGACTTGTTACCTCTTAACCCTTTAGTACCAACATAAATACAAGAATTGTTCCCCTTCTGAGTTCATCAGAGTAGGCAGGAAGTCTACTTGACCCATCTATCTTCCAGAAATTCCATAATAGACATTTTACACAGAGCCTAGCAGCCAAGCCACAGGCACCTGGATGTCCCATTTAATAAAAAGAAACAGTGCTTCTATTAAGTGCACTTCACATAAAAGCTTCACATACATTATATTGGATTAATTGTTTAATTAAAGCTGTGCTCCGTTTAATTGAAGTCATGCTTTGTTTTCCTTTTTAATCCTGCCAAAAATGAGAGCTGGGAGTAAAATTTATCAGCACAGTTTCTTTGTGGATCAAACAACAAATCTGCAAAGAAGTTCCATGCACCAGCAATAGAGGCACAGGTCTAATGTTGCGTCTGCTCCTCAGATCTGTTGAAAGCAACAAAAGGGGACAGATTGGACTAGAAAGCTGCAAGGGAGCCCACCTCCAACTGCTGCACATATACCAGGAGAGCTGCAGGCGGAGGCAGATGCAAGTATTCCTTAAAAATCCCACTACTTAAACCTTACTGTTTGGATATCATGTGGATAGTGTGCTAAAGTTCCTATTTAACAATTAATAATTACTATTTGTTCCCTTTAAATTTCTTTCAGTTGCTAACTTGATTACTCTCTGCAGAGAATAATGGTCCACAGAGCATATTTCTACAACAAGCAAGTGTTCAGAAGCCTTCAAGTTTTTTTTACTTAATGGAGCTCATATAATGCATGCTGTTACTTTAGAAAATAGCCTTTGTAATATTTTGTAACTGCCAATAAATAATTTGTTGCAAAGGCTAGGAAATAGCTTTTTGACTAGATGACAAGTAAGGGATTGGATCTTCTGGACAGAACCCAGAAGGGACCTACAACTAATTAGAAACACAAAATTTCCCCCTTGGTACCCACTCTTGAAAAAAGAGCATTTTAGAGCTAGTATCTGAACTTTCACCAGTTTCCTCAAGAAATGTCGTTATTGAGCTGCGTTTCCAAGTGATGCCCAAAACAGTCTTGGATGGCGACTACAAGGTCTTGTATAGAGACTTTGTATTTATGGTCAGGTGGGAGACATCACTCCTTATCTGTTAGCCTGCCCCTTATAGAGAGGGCCAAGAGATGACTTTCTGAAACCTTTGTTCACACAAGCAAGCAGGCACACACTGTTGTTTCTTTTGAGTGCCAATAATAGCTCCATAACAAGCAGAATGGCCCTCTACACACTGGCTGCAAAAAATAAAATAATAATAATAATCAGGAAAAAGGAGTTAAGATAAAATTGCTATAAATTGTGGTGGTGCTTCAGATGTGTAATCTGAAATCAAGCTGGATTTGAGTTTGTTGGTGTATCTGGGAACTTGTCTTCCTTACATTATGGATGCTGGTAAATTGGATTTTTAAAAGGCAAAATATTAGAATTGGAGGTCTGAGAGAGATATAAGGGAAACTGTGTGTTTCAGGAACTTGACAGTCTTATTGTATTATGAATATTTTCTGTATTATTGCATTAATACTATCATGGGCTTTGGCTACAACCATCAATTTATGAACTTGAACTTTATTAGATGACATGCATGCATGCATGTTAAATCTGATGATCAGGCTAAAGTTTTGAAGGATGTTTAGAATTCAATCACAACTACTCAAGACAATTTTAAGGAAAGTGTCCTTAAATTTTCCCTATCTTGACTTAACAAACTCCACTTCCAAGTACCATGATCACAATAGAAGGACAAGGTATACATTTACCTAAATAAAAATAACTTAAGAGTCAGAACTATGCATGTCCTGAGATTCCACATACTCAAATATGGTGTAGTATTTGGACTGCTGATAAATCCACGTTTTAAATATATAACAGTAGGTTTCAGTCCTTCAGTTAATATTTACAAATGGGCTTTTGAAAGAACCAGTGATCATCGAAGCCATGAACAAGTACCTATGAATCTTGCACTTCATGTTACCCTATGTCACTCATTTACCTGTGCTTCCCTTCCAGGATATATTCTAAATTCCACAAAATAATATAAATATATTTAGAATCAAACATAGACATATTTCTCCAAGATAAGTGTATCTGCACAAAATATTAATTTGCACAACTTATTTTTTATACACAATGTTGAGTTCTCTTTCTTTGGCAATAGCTATCTTTGTGGTTAATAAAAACAGTATAAATCAGGCTTTTGCTGTTCAGGAAGTCCAAAATATTGGTCCATCTCATTCTTACTACAGAGTCCCTAAATTCCTGGATACTGTTTTTTTAATGTATTTTTTATTAAAGGTTTCTTGGTTTACAAAAGTATGTACAATGTCTCTTTTTCAAGTTACATTTTCTACAGATCAGTTTCATTTGTTGCAACATTAGTGTTACATTGGGAAGAAAAGGGGGGAAGAGGTGGAGGGGGCAATGGAGGGTGGGGGTGGGGTCAGGTGGCAATGTTTCTATTTAACTTAATGTATGTGTGGGGTTTTGTGTCAGCATCGCTTGTGTGGTTTCTCTTTACTATTTGCTTGTGTTCCTCTGGTGGTGAGAGAGGTTGGGGTTGCCCTAGGGTGTGGTTGGTTGGTTGTGATTGGCTGTGGTGAACTTTGTTTTCATGTATGGGTGGGGTGGGTGTTTTTGGATCAGGTTGGCTGTTGGTGGATTCTTGTAGTTGTCTTGTTGGGCAATCCCTGGATACTGTTAACAGCTGACAAATGAATGAAGTGCTGAGAACAATGAATACATTAAAACACTGTAAGGCAGTGATGCAGGGGTAGGAATTTGTACACTTGCTATGTGCCCTGCCCTTTCCTCTTTCTACAGTGATCATTACAAGCCACAGATATAATCCTGCCATACTGCTACTAAGTGTAATAATCTCTTTGGGAAAGGGTCAGCCTCAGTCTAAACAGTAATGGGATTTTGATCACAGAATAAAACAAGCTGGGAAGGGAAGAGAGTAATAATGGACAAGAAGTCAAGGTTCCTGAATCCCATCCACAACTCTGGGAAGGGATTTAGTAGTACATGCTGGGTCATGGACTGAGTCCACACGGAGCAGAAGTCTGAGAGCTCTCTTATAACCTTCTGTGCCAAGCCCTGGCACTTCCTTTGCAATTTTCATACATTTCCCCCCTATACCTTCTCTGTCTTTTGAGGGAGCCTTTAAGGATGGACAATTCCATGTTCAAAGAACAGTACTAGCACCTAGAAAACCTGAGTTCTGCAGTGTAACTTTGATTCACATTTTTTATCTGTAACTGAGCCCAAGCCCAGCTGTTAAAGATGCTGGTATACAAAACAAGGTTGTGAGATGCATTGGTCCTAAAGAAAAATGACCTGAATTCTCCAGTGCAGAAGAAAAGGCCGAGTTTTGCACACCCACTGCCTGGATGCAATGTGGCAGGTAAAACTCATACTTAATTGAACAGGCTTGCATGCCACAAGCTCCCAAAGAAGACAGGTAAAATGAAAGAACCCCAAAGGGGTGTGTGTGTGTAGTTTTAAATAGTTTTCATGAGGTCCTATTCCAGCATTAATTCTTTGACTGTTCTGCAAGTCTGCCGCCAGCTACAAAATCCTGCCTTCCACTTCCTCGAAAGCAATCCAAGCAGACTTCTCTGTTTTCCATCTAGGTACGCTACAAACATACTTCCTGCTTTGTTGCTAGTCTTTCCATCTGAGGCCCTGCCTGACCAGTTTGCAGCTCCATTCTGCAACTTCCTTTGGGGGGTGGGGCGTAGCGGACACATCCGTCTGTCTCTGCTGAATTAAGTAGCCTTCCATTTGTGTTTTAACAGGGCGAGCTGTCTATTGAACAGGAACCTGTCATACCTGCCTAAAAGCAATAGCAAAGTGTTAGCTTCAGTGCACATATTCGGTACCAGCCACTGTTAACTAAGCAGCTTCAGATAAATGAGAAAATGCTACGCTTCGTATTTAAATCTGTTTGATATATTTGGGGAGGATAACTAACCTACAAGTTACAAAGTCAACACAAACTGGTTTTTAGCGCACAGGCACGACCAGAGGCAGTGTTGCCAGAGGTAGAAAACAACCCCAGCTCGCCAATTATTATTTTTAAACCCGTTTTTCCATGCTACAAACCCCCTTCACCGAATAAACACACACGTGGACCCAAATCGGACAAAGCATTAAAAGTAATGCTCATGGGAGGGGAAGGCGAACGCGAACGCGAAGAATGGGTTGTGCTGGGAAGCCAGGACAAGGGGACTCACTCCATGTGGAGGCAGCGAACTCGCAGGCTCCCAGGGGAGGAGGCAGGGCGGGGGCGCCGGAGAGCGCCGCAGGCAGACCGGCCGGAGCGGCCCCAAAGTCCCCCGGCAGCACCGGCCAGCCAGGTGTCCCACAAACGAGGCACGGAGGGGCCGGCCGCCACCCCCCACTCCGGATAAGCCTGGCACGGCAGGCTGAGGCAAAGGCCTGGCTGGGGAAACACCCGCCCTCCCGGCCCGGGGTACCTGGTGTGAAGGCAGGGTGGGCAAGGCGGTGTCCTGCCCCGCGAGCGGGCTTCACGGGCGGCGACGCCCCCGCTGCTCCTCCACTCTCCGGAACCGGCTGCCCGCAAACCCCAGAACACTCACCGCTCCGGGAGGGAAGAGGGAGGTCCGGCGCCAGTTCCTGCCTCGGCTTCTCCCAGACTGCGGCCCCCGCTCCCCACACCCGGCTTCCTCCCGCCGCCGCGCGCACTCACCGCTCTCAATCTCGCCGCCCTTCTTGGCCGTGGCCGCGTTGCCCATGGCCAGGCGGGGGCCGGGCTGGGGCTGGGGCTGGGCCCGCGGGGAGGGGGCGCTCTCCCCGCTCGCTCGGTGCAGGCGGCAGGAGGCTCCGGCTGGGCCCAGCCAGGCCCAATCCCCCCCTCCCCTGCCAGACCGGGGTCGCCTCCGCCCCCTTCTCCCCTGGCGGCAGTAGCAGCGGCGGCGGCGGCGGCGGCGCCACCTCCCCGCGCGTGCGCCATTGGCTAGCCTGCGCGGCTGCCGCCAGCCGATTGGTCCCGTCGCCGAAGCCCCGGTCGCAATTGGCCCGCGGACCGTGACGGCTTCCTCTCGCGCGCCCGCCCTCCTTCTTGCGCAAAAAGTGTCGGGTTGAAGCCGAAGGCTTCTACCGGCTTCTGTGATTGGCTAACGGAAGATTTAGAGTCCCACCCTTCTGGTGTGGATCCGCTAATTGGCTAGGCCGGGAGATGGGGGCTCAGGGTGCTATTATTAGAATATTTAGATTTTCCTAATTCCGAAGAATGTCCATTGTAAAGGGAGGAGGAGGAGCAGCAGCAGTAAAACGCGTCTCCGGAGGAAGCGGGGAGAGGGCGAAAACCGGGCGTGGGGTTTGATGCTTCCAGTGGGAATTTAAAATAGAAATAAATAGTACAGGGATTCCATTGTGCAGCGAGCATAGGGGTTCGCTGTTGCGCAAAGCTATTGTCCTCGGTTGACCAGTATGGAATAAATTCATTTTTGAGGGGCGGGAGCCTGACAAAGCGATGCTCGGATAAGAATGGGCGTTCAGCTGAGCTTGTGCTCACCAGCTTGCTTTGTGTACCTAGACTAACGTTTGACAGTCCTTGACTACCCCTTTGTTCATGCACTTCGGTTAATGTATGAATATAGACTGACTGTGCCATCTTTTGAATGAATGGAGACGTTTATGCTTGTTATTGATTAACCCGGAGCGCTCTCTGATGTAGGCTGCTTACCACGCCCATAAACTCGGACTGGAGGGTGGGAGGAAACAGTGCATTTGCGCCTTCTATGTCTCTAGCTACGTGAGCGTGTGAAACAATGGCTGGGTAAAGTGAATTCAGAGGTTTCTCCGTCTAGTTTGGCCCTAATTTATCTAAATTTCCGTAGGATGACAGGATTTTCCAAATCTTGGCTGAAGTTGCGGGGGGGGGGGGGCTCAGAGCTTATATAACGAGTTGAACTTATGTAATAAATCTGATGCCCGAAGTATTGTTGATAGTTGTTCATTTTGTGACATACACAGTCTGCGGGTTTTTCCTGGGTTTTTCCGGAGCACGTTGTGTAACCAGCGTAAACGTTATGGAAGAGTCTAGGCTACATTTTCACTTCACTGTTTGTTTGGCAATTGTTAACAGCCCTGGAGGCAATGTAGGACATGGCTGTCACCATGACAAATGCTTCTTAAATACTAATACAGTTATTATTTATTATGATAGCCTTAAAATGCCACAAGATTCTTCTTTGTTTTTGCTGCAATAAACTATCCCATCTCTCTCTCTGGAAGTTACAACTAGACAGTTAACACAGTACTGTACCACTAACCTGCTAGGCGTTATTCAGAATGCAGAAGGGCACATAACCTAAGAACCTCAGAGGTTTTACAGGGCTTTACTATGCACTAAGGGTATGTGTATGTTAAAGACTGGTGCTGGAAGATGAAAAAGCAAAACAAATACAAGGCACAATAATTTTCTGTTCTTTTTAAGTGCCTCTAAGAGTGAACTATTACTGTTTCAAGTGTCTCAGTAGCAATAACTAATACAGTAGTCATGACCAATACTTTTTCATGCTTTACTCAATTTCTTCTTAATGCTTTAGCCATTTTTGCTCTTGCTTAACTTTCTCTCCATCCTCTTCTCACCTTCACCTTTCATGTTATTTCTTGTGTAGCCAACAGAATGAGGCCCTATTTCTATCCCCCGAGTGGCAGAAAGCACCATGAGAAAGTTGTTCATCCTTTAATGGGAAACTCATAATGCAACATTACACATGTTTGCTCAGAAGAGACTTCTGGGAGAAGTAAAGGTAAAGGTAAAGGGACCCCTGACCATTAGGTCCAGTTGTGACCGACTCTGGGGTTGCAGCGCTCATCTTGCTTTATTGGCCGAGGGAGCCGGCGTACAGCTTCCGGGTCATGTGGCCAGCATGACTAAGCCGCTTCTGGTGAACCAGAACAGCGCACGGAATTACAACCTGTAACCGGTAAATGTGCTAAGCTTTGCAACCTAAACCTTATCACAGTATAAGCGAGCAGGTACTTCTCGAAGTACCAGTGTGCTTTTTTAATTGTACACTGACTGCTTTAATGGCCTCTGGCTGTGAAGCAGTTTATAGATGTGTCAAATAAAATAATAAACTAGGTTGTTGGGGTCTTGAAACAGATAACAGGAATCATATTCAGAGGGCAAGAACTTATACAGAATCCTATGTTTCAGCAGCTTTTTTTCTGCCAATATTCTCTGATTTCTGGATCCTTAGCTGAAATTGTGCATACTACACAAAATTAAGTGTCATTCCAGATGATTCTTTAAAAACTATACTTGAACTAGTGCAATCCAGCACCAATAGTCTACATGCACCTATGGAGGTATACTTCATATATTCCAAGAGTGTCATGATCCTGGTACTGAAACTAGGTTTTAAGAGTGGGTCCTGGCTTCACCTGAACCCTGATACACACAAATTAAAATCATACTTGGTTGGAAGGGATGTCAAAGTTCACTTTGTCCAAGACAACCAGGCCAAACCAGGAAGGAAATCCACCTTTACAGTATCCCTGATAGTTGACCAACCTCAGCTTAAAAACTTCTTACTAGATTTCCTTATACAGCAAAGTTATTCTCTCCAGGACGTGACTGACAACTGGATGCTCAAAAGTAGCAGTTTTATCCACTCCTATGAAAGGGATAAAATATGGCATTTAATTCTAGCTATTTTGGCTGCATGAGCATAGGCCTTATTAGTCTGATTTTGAGCACAAAGACAGAGATCAAATTAGGTCAATAATGAACACATCTGAAATCTGAACACTGAAAACCAATCACGTTTTAACAAATTAGTGCATTTCAAGTACTTATGAATATACAGCATTTTCAAATAGGATGCCAATTTCAAGTTTGAAGCTACCAGTTCAAATTAATAAAATTAATCAAACACTACTATTAAAAACGTGAATAGCTTTAGGTATTTGTCTCAGCTTTGCATTTTTGTACTTCCTCCAACCTCTCCTCTGCTGGGTAAACATGAGGACTGTGTCAAATATTACATTTCCATGGTGGGGGTGGGCATGAGTGGGGGAAGACCAACAGTAGGTAGATCCAGAATCCATGACAGGCGGAGCAAACTACCGTAGTTATAATTCTGCCATCTTCCTCCTCCCTACTGAATTGTCCAAGGGTAATGCTGAAACTAAGGCAGAGGAAGCTCGCCAGCAGTGCCACCCCTGGCAGCGGTGCCCCATTTGCCCTAATAGATAAGCTTCTACTACTCAAATTTTAAAAATGTGTGCAGGGAAACAGTAAGAAAATAGCTTCAGATAGTGTGTTTGAAATACTGGAAGAGTTTGATACCTGTTTGAGGTGGGTGAATTTCAGAGCGCAGTTGTACACACCACAGATTAAAATCAGTTTCCATACCTATTTAGCACTGAATTTTTTTCTCATTGGGAAACTCTCAATGGGTTTGGAGAGCTTTAACAAAGGGTCCCCAACACACTCACTGGGGTGCAATCCTCCAGATTATTTGCAGGGGCTCACGATAGTTACACTGGATGCAAACTGATTTGTAGTGTTTAGAGAGCCATACCAAGTATTACCCAAACCTTACTGCTTTGATTTTACAAATACATGTATTGTTGGTTCACGGGGGGGGGGGGGGCAGGTATAAATGGATAATTCCTGGATGCCAATATCCAAGTTTGGGGAAAATGCTATTTGGTGAGAGAACCTCGGCAGAGATTTAAAATCACAGAATATGCAGCAAACTAAAGCATGGAAATAGAGGCTGTAAAACTTTAAAAGTGCATTCCAAAAAATTCGCCTTAAAAAGTTTATTTCCAAAGTTTCCCTATTCCCCTGGCATAGGAAAAATACCATGCATTTGGTAAGTTTAAAAATGGTTTACTTACACATTATTCAAAGGTCAGATTCATGTGCTTCAGAAAGGGTTGCACAGGCAGAAAAACTTGTCTTAGTTACAAAGTGGTGAAAGTTCCCTAATTATTGGTATAGGAACTCCATAATGGCTTGTGAGAGCCATGCAGTCTGAGCTGGAACAGCCAGCTCAAACTTCTTTACATGCTGAGCTTCTCAGGTTGACTGGAGAATAATATGCTTGATTACCCAAAGTAAGGGAAGTGGGCATGGCTAAGCCTGGCAGGACAGCTTACTCTATGGTATTAACCCATTCATGCATTAATTAGACTTAAATATATTGGTTATAATAGGCTGGTTATCCCACTTGTATAACATAAATAGCGAGAACTTCACAAGCAGCATGCAATGTTATAATTTCTGCTTTCCTTTTACCTACCTACATCAATAACTATGCATGTATTATGGAGTCTTAAGGGTGGAGAGTGTCTGATGAGCAAATGGAGCCCAGATGGTAGTAAACAGGCCAGTCTGGCTAGATTTCCTCTTTGAGCTCACATGATGATTTCTCCTTGTAATATGATGTCAAAGAGAGAAAAACGAGGCAGAGTTTGCTTAGAAGAAGATGTGGCTCCTGCCGTGGACTCTGCCAAAGAGCAGATGAAGCAAATTGCAGTGGTGGGGCCATGCACTGATGTAGTAAATAAGCATCTGATTAAAAGGGAGAAGGATGTACCTCCAGCCCACAGCAGACTATGAAACTTGGATTGGTGCCACCAGCTTTATTTCCCTGTGGAGAGGAGATTAAACAAAGCACAACAAAGGCAGCTATTGTGCAGCTGTAAGGTTCCCTTCTGTTGTTGTGAAATATCTGGATCATGGAGCAGCATACGTGTTATGTGAACAGTTGGTGCCAGGAAGTGAGGACAGTATTTGAGTTTGGGGTATTTCTGAGACCACAGGGAACCTTCCAGCCTCAAATTCAGTGCAGCACAGCACAAGCACAGAACAGCACAGCAGGAAGAAACAGCTCTGGTTAATGCTCCCCTTCAAGGGCTAGGGTTTACCTCCAGAAGGGCACATTGGTGTTCTTTAGGGCACATGGAAATGTAAGTAAAAGCTGTTCAAACCTGCTTTGCCACCCTTTTCAAGGGGAGGGCAGCCTATGCAGCTGAAATGACTCCAAGCTGTATCTACAGCATTATTACAATTTCTAGAGGAGTAGATGCATGCATCTGTTGCAGCAAGAGTAGCAGGGAGTCCTGTGGCACCTTAGAGACGCAGTTATTACGAAATAAACTTTCATGGTCTACAGTCCACTTCAGATACATGAAGGATTATCCTGAGTTGCAAGCACATATATATATGGCTGAGGTTGGTGGGGGTGGTGCAGTGAAATCAGAAGAAAACACAGAAAAATGCAGTGTATGTAACAGCAACAATCAACCACACACAAAAAGTCATGTTGGTAACATCCTGGCATTGGTAAACCAATCACATGCTATGTGATAAAAACCAGTCCACAACTGATAGTGCCAAACCTCTTGACGTATTGTAATGCAGTGGTTATATGTTGCAGTCTCCCTTGAGTTCAGATACAATGCACCCTTGGGAGTTTGAACTGTTCCCCCAAAGGGGGGAAACATCTGCAATCTACTCAAGTTCAAGGAGATTGGGTCTTAGTAAGCCTGCTAGGGTTACTAAACATCCAAAAAAGGAAGAGAAGAGTCCAGATTCCCACAGGTCACCTGGCTGCATATTTGCCCATCAGAGAAAACCACATCATCCCTGTCCTTAAGCACTATTAGGGCTGAACATTACTTGGCTTTTTCTTGGTATTGTGGTTGCAGCTGATAGACTGGAGTAAGTATGCAAAATAAGTTTATTTGCAATAAGCTCTCAATGCTCCCCTCCACATCTTCCTCATCCTCATCCCAACATGCAACTGGAATAGTACTTTTTCATATATAGTTTTCAAATCCTCTTGTGCCAAGAGGGGAGTTTCATTTAGACACAGCTTAAAGCAAAGGTGACCTTGAAAAGGATTTTAAAGATCCCTTTCTCCTTTTCTTTGACAAGGAAAGAAGGTATGATAAGAGTGTTTCTTGCTGAGGTTCTTATCCCTCAGGAGAACACAAATATAGGGAAAGCCCACGCCTTTTCTGTTGTCAAGACTATTGGCAAGGCTGAGCTCGTTCTGCCTCCCCCCTCCAGTACTGAGAACAGTATTTGAGTTACATTGGCACAGAATATTAAAGCTATAAGTAGTGCAAATCAAGAGATCCCTGTTATGTATCAGAAGGCAACCTAAAGGAGTATTTTTGCACTGTTTCCTAAAGAAAAATCAGGAAACTAAGGGGTTCCAAAGTTGTGGGTCTCCATCAGGCCCAACTCAAATACAGTGGAACCTTGGTTGTCGAACGTCTCCATTGACAAACGTTTCAGCTTTCGAACGCCGAAAACCCGGAAGTAACTGCTTCAGTTTTCGAATGATTTTTGGAAGCCAAACGTGCCACACAGTTTATGTTTTGAGTTTCCCTATTGTACTGAGGCTTCTGCTTTCAGTTTTTGGTTTTCGAACATTTTGGAAGTTGAACGGTCTTCCGGAACAGATTACATTCAAAAACCGAGGTTCCACTATATATGCTTTAATGAGGTTCTTGTATGGGGACTGTTGACATCTGTCTTTCTGAAGAGACAAAGGCAGAGTGGGCCATGGGGGGAAATTCAAGCCATTGGAGAGTTATAGTGCCTGCTATGGCTATAGAGATCAATACAGCAGAGACATGTTTATTGAAGGTGTCTGGTTTTGCTGGTGCAGATGCACCATGGCGTTCCTTCTCTCTGCACTTCTCCCAGTGGTTCTCTCTTCTCTGGTTATTGCTGTCTTTCTGTCTCCAGGCACTGCGGTCATCTGCAAGGGATGGGGACTACACTGTCTCATTTTCACATAGGGACAGAACCAGTATGCAATTGTGTGAAGTTCCGTATTACAAGGATGGTCCAGTTTCTTAAAAACTTAATTTGATGTCTCTGGGCAGAAAATATAGCCTTAACAGGTAGGCGGATAATGTAATTATATAAGGTTTTTCCTCCACCTGCAATGGGCAGCTGGAATGTTAAGGCAAAGCTGAGAGCTGTACACTACCCATTTGTACTGAATAAAGGGGGAGAGCTCCATGCAAGCCCTCTTATTCCTTTAGCTTGCTTTCTTGGATTTCATGCCTTCCAAGGAACCTTCCAAGGACTTTGCCAGCTTACCTGAGCAAGATCCACCAGTCAATACTTTTTTTATTGCTTTGACAAAAACTAAACCACTTCCATCCTTCACATAGGAAACCTTGCTGTTGTGATGCCTAGGAACACTCAGGTCCCAGGTTTACTGAGCTTTGTTATACTCAGCTTCTTGAATCGCATCCAACAGCAAATTGAAGTCACCACATACTGCAGTGCACAAGTAAAATTGGTTTTCTATACCCAGCTTTAGCAACTGAGCAGATTGCCTTTTAGATTAGCTGAAGTTTATAAATGAGCTAAAATTAACTCGAGTTTTGAAGCTATGATAGTAGTGGCAGGCAAGAGGGAGCCTTGAATCTGTGCAATAAGTAACTTTCCTGCCATGTTTGGCCCAAGAATTTGAGAAAGGACCACAAACTCCTTAAAATGGAGGTTGTACTGGTGGCCAGAAGCAGGAAATACAATATGAAACAGAACACACAATATTAGGGAAATAACAGACTGGGGGGAAAGTGTCACGAAAGAGCGACAGCACATTTTAAGCAGCAGCATTATTAACACTTTTGTTTGCAGGATTTGTACTGGCAGTCTACCTGCCGCAGGACCATGTTCAAGATTCTGGTTATCAACATTTCAACACTAATTTTTTTTTTTTTTGCAGTTTTAAAGATATGTTGTACATCACCTGGACACACATGTAAAAGGTGTTTAATATTGATCCGTGAATAATTATTGCTTATGTAACTCCCTGCAGAGAGCAGCGTGACTAAGGTAAGTTTCCACCAATTGCCACAACTGTCGTGGTGCCAAAAAAAGAAAAAGAAAAAAAAGAACTGTAACTGAACTTCATAGTATTGGTGCAGCACCACTGGTTCACAAGCTACTTTTAACCACACTGTCACAGACATATACATGCTGAATAATGATCAGGTTGAAAAGCTTTCAGCAGTGAAAAATGAATGTATTTAAATCAGTTAAAATGAGTCAACCAACCCTAAAAATTCTAACTTCAGTCTACTTGATATAATCCATTGACTTGAGGTAAGCCAATTACCATCATCAGGGGTGGTAGCCATCAGCATAAAGATTTACACTTGCACAACAAGTGTTGTGCCCTGCACCCTCCCCAATTCTGGTCCAGAGGGTCAGGGAAACTCCCAGGACAGATTTAGGGGGCATGACTTGGTGTATTGCAGTAGGTTGGACTAGATGACCCTCAGGATCTCTTCCAACACTACAGTTTTCTTACAGATCATTAACACTGCATACAACTATATTTTGCCACTCCTGCTTTAAGGAAGCAAATTCTACCTACATATTTTTTAACCTCGCCAAAATGAGTAATCCCTTGCAGCAAAATCTTTAATAAGGTTCTCTCGGTATTCAACCAACTAGATACCACTTAAGAATTCACAAAATAGATTATTCCAAAAAGTTTTATTGGTCAGACATACAAGGCAAAAATGTTTTAAACACCTATATGCTGTGTTCATCTCTAAAATACCAGGGAGAGAAATAGAGAGATCAAGTATCAGGGCAGGTAATAACAGAAAAGAAGGGTGTGCGACTGGAGGCAGGCCAGGAAAAAACACACAAGTGCAGGCCTTTTGAAGAAAGGCATGTTTCCTCTGTGGAGGGATTTGTAAACTTAGCCACTGTCTAAAGGAGTTGATGCAATTCCTGCTCACTGTGGCCTTGGGCAGATTTTGGGTCAGTGGTAGAAAGAAGGCCAACTGGTGCAAGCTAAAAGAGGGAGCTCTCAAAAGCAGTGCTGGGACCTTTGTGCAAATAGGTAAATTGTACAGCTTAAATCTCATCATCCATCACCTTTTACTAAGCACAGATTGTAAAATTGGGACAGGCTTATCAACTCCTGAGAGGCATCAAGACCTGACTGTAATTGCTAGCTATTCTGCCAGCAGCAACTCATCAAGACTTAGCTGTGTTGCAACAGAAAAACTGTCCTGAAAAGAAGGCACCCACTATGCTAGGTTCCCAGGAAATGGGTGCTCAAAATAACAAGGAAGCTCCCATTGCTCAGACTTCTGGAGGTCTGGAACAAAGGAGGGAAACACAGGGTTCTTCTTTATGCAGCTAGACTAGGTGCCTGTCAAGGGTTAGTGGCAGGAGGATCCAAGTATCAATGAAGAAATACTATGACAGAACAGACCTGTAGATCTGTTACAAACCCCAACACGAAAAGGACTCTGAATTGGCAATCTCCATAGACATATCAGTTGCTTCATTATCCCAAATCCCTCCTACATCTCCCACAAAAACTTGTCAGCTGCTCTTCACTGCACAGGGTCCTCAGCATTATTGTGTTTGGATCACATACAGTCCATGGAATTCTCTGGTTGCAGACCCATGGAATGGACCAAGCCTTTGATGTAGACACAGCTAGGAGGCAGGAAGCTATCAGGTTCTGGGTCTACATTTTCAATATTGTCCATCTGGTCTCTAGGACCATCCCAATTGATGTGGAAACGGGTGACTCTGGGGTTGGATGCCAAGATATTCCTCTGTAGCTGGAAGTAGGAAAAATAGGGGTCAAAGTTACATAGGTTTATGTTTGGATCAACTTTCTAGGCTGACAGCTACTCAATTCCTGCAGCAATATCAAGAAAGGAGAGGGGTAACAGAAGTAAAAAATGGTTTTAAAAGTTAACACTATTTTATTTTATGACAACATAGAGAGAAAATTTATATCTGGGTGTAATCCTTCCAATTCTATTTCACATTGGTAATCCTTCTTACTTTTTGACACGTACAGGGGACCTACTTACCTTGCACATTGGGTTTCAAAATGGCAAACAAGACTTGAACCAAACTCTATAGTCCATAGGCTCTTAAAATCTGCTGCTGTGACTCAGTAACCCCAATTTTCTTTCAATGCTTTGATTCCCAGGAGGGAATCATCAATGTCCCCTCAACTCACGGAGCTGAGTAGGTACCTCACTAAACATATTACTCTTCTCTTTGAGATTTAAAGCTCCCTCAAACTACTCTGCTGCAGACACATCAATCAGCACATAACATGATGAAGATGCAATTACAAACAAGGTTTTATATGTAGCAGGCCATTATCATTACTCTATTCTCCAAAAGTGTATTTAAGTTGTGCTATAACTCCTGAAAAAAATCAAAGCTCCATTCTATATCACAAGGGCTGCCCACTCCACAGCTTTCTGGTCAAAATGCACTGTCTTATTCAGAATGCAGGCAATAAATTAATACTGAGCTGAACTCATTGTATAACTTTCTGCTTCATATTGTCATCCCAAATAACATCTACTCTCCCCCAGCATAGCATTTTCCAACACTGCAAAGTGACTGGGTTTCAAAGGCTACTACTCTGGCCTTGTAAGGATTTTGTACTCCCCAAAAGAAATGGGAACCGCCAGGCTGGGGGCCAAATACAACCCCCCCCGTCTCTCTATCTGGACTCTCCCCAAGCCACACCCCTCACTTGCCTTGCTTTGCATCCTGTTAAGGGTCCCCAATCCAAATTCCCAAGGCAAGGATATGGCCTTCATGAAGGCCAAGAAGATGGACAAGCTGCTTTTATCAGATCAGTTTCTCACCTGGGAGAAGTCTGGCTTGAGGGGTGGGTTTTCTCTTAGCTCAGGATCCATATATTCATTGTTGACATAGTATCCAATGCGGATGAATTCTTGGCCCAGATAGGTACAAGTGATAAGTATTACTGTAACTCCCACAGCATCACTTTCAGGGATTAGATCAGGGTTGGGGGCATTGGCCTGCAGAGAAAACGGCAAAACAAGGTAAGTGACATTTTCATCCTGCCTGTTTTTAAAAGAAAACTCAGGACAACATGCTTGAGGCTTTTCCATTTCATCCCCATTGCAATTCTTGAAGAATATTAAAACTTTAAATTAGCCATTCAGTTTCTGGGCTGAGTGGAGATTTGAACCTAGGTCTGCCTGGTCCAATCTTGAATGACAATACTACAGAGTCCTCATTCAAGATCCATTGAAGTGTATATAACCAGGAATGGGCTTATGTTGGTGGAACAAAGTGATACAGTTATAGAAGAAATGCCAACAGACAAATTGCCTCCTCTAGAGGGAGCTTGTCAAATTGTTGCTGCAGTACACTTGAGGGCTCAACAGATGTGAGATTAAGACCGTGGGAACAGGCTTTTCTGACCTTGACTAAAGATGAGTTGGAAAGAAGACTGGGTGCTTGCCTTATGTAAGACAAGTGCCCTGCTGGAACAGATGCATGAGAAGATGGACTTGATGAATGAGAAAATGGATTTGACTGTTGCAGTTAATAACTGTGGGCAAACAGGGAATATTGATACAGAAATTATTCAGGGACCAACTCATGAATCTGTACTGACTGGGCAAGTGCAGAAGATAATGGAGGAGGATGCGGTTGCACCCCAAATAATACAAATGGAGAGTCCCGAGGCCCTACAGGAGTATGAGCCGCTGTCATTGAAGATTGAAGTTGGAGTGGGCCAGGGGGAGTCTGGAGTTGAGGAGGTTCCCAACGTTGGAGAGACCTTGGAATATGCTTTTAAATACTTTTTGGACTATATTGAGGATTGTGGGGAGTGGGACTGTGGGGAATGGGCGGGTTTGATGAAGGGAGACGGAGACAATTCTGGCTTGGAACCCCCCAGAGGCCTACCCCTCAATGAGAAAGGAAAGAAACTAAGAAAGAGACCAACAAAAGACAAGGAAAAGGGCAAGTATAAACAAGAAGAAGAAGAATTGCAGAAGGGACATGGAAGAGACTTAAGGGCCTCGGACATAAGGCTTCCAGGTTGATGGACTAGATGGAATGGACAGTAAGGACTGACACGATCCGAGACCAGGAAGAAGGGACGTTGGATGAAGATTGGAAGAAAATTTATAAAGAAAATTTTCTAATTGGGGAATTGGCTAAAAATTAATGAATATTAGGGGAAATGTTGGAATGAAACTATATGACTTTAGCAGAAATGATATCAGGAGTAATGTATATTTGATAACTAAGATTCAAGCTTTAAGGTGTTTTAGGGTAAGATAAGGTTAAATTAATTAAGGTAATGTGAATAATAGAATATGGGGAAAGATGGAAAGGATTTGTTGAGTTAATTATTAGATTAAATTAGGTTAGGATGAACTTTTTAACAAAAATTGAGAAAGATGGAAAGAGTTTGCTGAAATAACTAATTAAACTAGAATACAAAAAGGGAGGTGTGAGGAAGTCAATGAAACAAGCAAATGGAAGTTTTAGATATGTAAGTTGGGATTTGTGTTTTCTTTTTTCTTTTTATCTTTTTGTTGTATTGTTGTATTGGTTATTGTGTTTTTTCTTTTCTTTTTGTCTATTATAGTGTTGTTTTTTAATGTTGTTTTTTAATGTTTTTCTTCTTATAATTCTGAAAACTACTAATAAATATTATTTTTTTAAAAAAAGAAGAAATGCCAACAGACTGGAGTTCATAATCAAGGCTTTTTTTATTTCTCTCGGTGTTGTGCAACAACAAAGACAAGCAACAAAAATATGTAGTCTCAGAAAACCAAGCAAAAGATTCAGGTAATTATCCTCATGTCAGTTCACCATGATTGTAAAATTATTTCAGAGAAAGAAAGCTAGACTACAGGTGGTAGAAAGGCCAAGGATGGAGTTATACTTCAGCACAAATTGAAAGAAAGTAAGCAATGCAGTTGCAATTCCAAAGGCAGTGAACTGGGACACTAATTTAATCAACCTCCATCTTAGTTTAATGTTCTAACAAGAATTGCTATCCTGAAAGCACTGGCTAACTATATCGTTAAGAGTTGTACCACCCCAGAATGTAGCAATGCTCTGTAATTACTACAGTAATGTTATCAGCACAGGTCAAAGAGACACATTTTTTTTTTCTTGAGCAAAAAGGATTTAAGACTTTGATATTAACGCATTTATGTGTTTATATCAGGAGCAGCAATTCATTTTCAATAATCACTGTTTTCCCCTAAAGGGTGGAAAAGCATTTAATCATCACCCCTACCAAAATGAACCAGCCTTCTCAAGCTGCAATTCCCCCCAAACACCGAGTAATACTGGAATACACTGCAGGGCTGTCATACGCCACTCTTTCTCTCCATCTCCTCATATTAGTATAGCAACACCAGGTGACTTTTCATGACTAATGTAGCCCATGTTTTCTCAACCTAAATAGCACTCTAGCCACAAACAATAATGATGGACTTTATTTGCATGGTACTTTAAAAAAATGTTGACATACTCAGAAAAGCATCATTTAAAAAAAAAAAATGAACTTAAATCAGAGTTAGAACACAAACTCCTCTACTTTACAGCTACCATTTAATTTTGGTGGACATGCTATTGCCCAGTTATAGGTAACTGAGAAATCCAGATTTTAGTGCATTTTCTCCAGGTAACAATCACTTCTCTATTAGGGAAAATGAAAATTAAAAAAGCTTAAAAATGAAACACGAGGTCCCTTTCAAATGAAATCTGTCAATCTTTCTCCATTGTCTGAATCTAAAGAGAAAAATCTAGAGATTGGAGCCTTAGGCTCATCTTTCCTATCCTTCTCCAAGAGATAGATCTAAACTTACTTCAAACACAAACATATGCCTCCCAGCTGGAACAGGTCCCACCAGCACTGAGTCAAGAACTTGGTCATATTCCTCACTCTCTGCAGAGCCCACATAGATGATCTTCCACTCCAAATCTGAAAGGTAAAAGCAACAAGGATCAGTTGGCAAGAGTGTGGGCACCAGAATCCTAGACGTATTGAGGGAAATTTCCCTTCATCTTCAGAAAGCCAATTGAAATACACATTGAAATATACCATTAGCACCAGTGTTTAGAGAATGTGTACACCAGATCAAGAGCAGGGCTGAATAACCTCTATTGTTTTCCAGTGTCTCAAAAAAACATTTGCATATCCACAATTCATATTGTTAAACAATGATGGGGGGATTTTGGGTGAATATTGATGTAATGTTTGCAAACAATGGGCTCAATCTGGAAGCACTCTCACAGCGTTCAGTACAGATGCCTCTCTCTCTCTCTCTCTCCAGGTCAAGGTCTGCAAATCTGCCATTTAAGTGAGCAGTGGGCATCACTCATAATCTCATCAAGATTCCTCACCACAATCCTTGGAGCAGTTTAGTAAAAAGTTTATTTTACATTATTTCTTTTCTTTTTTTTTAAAGAAGAGGTGCAGATGCAATTAAATGCAAATATACAAATAGAGTTTTAAATTCTTTTTCTTTAGAAAAGCCAGATAGCTTTCCTGCATAGGGGAGGAGCAAACTGCAAAGGCTCCCACCATGGGTGAAGAATCTGCTATGCAAAATCAGCTGTGACTTCCAGTTAGCTATTATGTCTGTCTTGAACCTTTATGGATCATCTCATTAGACAAAAGTCAGAAAATATTGTGCACAATCTGCTATGATAGACCACTGGTGCCGCTATGAAGGCTAGTAGTTCTCTCACATGGAACAGTAACGCTAATTAACAGGAACTTGTATCCAATGATGTGAGGTCATGAATAAATAAAGTCCACTGTTCCACATTTTTGTGCCAAAAGCAATGCAAGTCAAAAGGGATGTTAGCAAATGGAGCAATCATCAGGAGCAACAAGAAACTATAAGGAGCTGTGAGGAATGTGCAAAAGTATCCCCATTTGCTCACCAGAAATCTCTCTTTGCTGTCCTGGCTTTTTGCTAAGAAAGAACTCTTAACAGGAGATTAGAATCTGAAATAGGAAGTTGATCCTATGCTGCAGCTCACTGTGTCTTCTTCTACAAACTTTACTACTTTGCAGGTAGCGCTTTTTTGGCATCTGTCCACAAAGGTTATTAAATTTAGAAAACTTGCAGCTGCTCCTAAGTTGGAAAGGCCATACACATCCTGCCCCAAAGTAAAGGATCTCACTGTGATTTTCTGTACCTCCATTTCTCCCCAATCTCAACACTCTTAAGAGAAGTCTGGTCTCAATAATGTTATGTGAAGGCCCTATGCTTTATTTTAAAAAAGCAATGGCAAAACTTTGCATGATGTATGAATTATGTGCAACTTATCCGTGAGGGAACCAGGGCAGTCAACATCACCCACTACAGCCCTGACATTAAAACATGCCCCTCTGCCAATCCTGCTCTGCTCAGCTGACTCCCTGCTTGCAACTTCTGAAGCTTCACCAAGCACTGCCCAAACACTCTCAAATATATCTTTTCCGGCTGTAAGGCTAGACATTCAGTTCTTCTAACAAATACTGCGATTCCCAGAATACTGAACTATGCACCCAATGCCAAATTTCATGGTTGTATAGAAAATCAGTGGAATCAAAATAACAGCATGTGAAATGATAAGACAGGTGAGAATAAGATGCTTACCTATATTTTATGGCAGTGTTCCCCTTGTTGAATGCTATTCTCCAAGTTTATGCATCAGGTTTCCATGATACACTACTCTATTTTAAAAGCCTGACTTACAATTTTTCTCTGTGGAGAGTGCCATCATTTAGTAAGCTCTTGATTTGCACTTGTGCCTGCTGCTCATAAGAAAATCAGTAGCCTAAATTTAAGGTTAAGGAAATGACACACATTGTAAACCTGATTTCTTACAATGTCCCACAGTGACATTTTTAGCCCACTCCTACCCTGGGACAGAAGCAGCAACTTTCCATCAAAGCAGTCCTGAACCAAGTGAAACTTGCTTCACACAATCCAATGTAGTGGAAGATCACCAAGGAGCAGAAGTCAGGAAGGCGGTGATTTTCAATTTAACAATCCAGAATCCACAATTAAAAAGGAATAGTAGGGGAAGAGACTGGTATGGTCCCAAGGAGTAGGCAGAATGGTACCATAGAATAAAGGGACTTTGGCATTCTCTCAGAAGAACAGTTGATAGGGCCAGAGCCAATGACAGGTAGTCAACTTATTCTAGTTTTGCCCCCATGTTCATCCTTGTTGAGTACTGAAATGGTAACAGATTAAGGAGGAGCAAGATGATAACCAGTGCCAGTGCCTGGATAGGATGCAAGTGGCAGGTGAGGGTTAGCTGAGGGCAGGTTGACTTTAGTGGGCCACTGCCTCATTTGACCTAACAGACCAGCCTTCATGGTTTTCCACTAGACCACTGCAGTATCTAGTGAAGAATTATTAAACACCATAAGAAATTGACAACAACAAACATTCAACTGAAACTGAAAGAATTCAGATAAGAAGTTACCAACTCTATAGAGTATAACACCTAGTTTTGCTGTTTTACTGACTGCCAATGAATGCCTAGGAAGGCATAGCTTTTAACCATGTGCATCTGCCAGGCTTACTATTGGCTAATGACCAACTGTATTCCCACTATGGCATTCAAGAAATTCTTCCTATAGGAACAAATAAAGAGCCTATGATTTATTGGGGGGAAAGAATATGGGCATTCATTCCGGAGCTCTCTGCTGATCTCATCAAGCAGCTACACCTTGCCCCCACAGGGCTGCTGGCATTGAGGTCAGGACATGACCTGTGCTGGGGCTCCCAACAGTGTGTAACAACCTCCTCCCCAAAACAGCCAAAGCTATTTTATTTCATTTAAATCAGGGGTAGGCAACCTAAGGCCCGTGGGCCGGATGCGGCCCAACTGCCTTCTAAATCTGGCCAGCTGATGGTCCAGGAATCAGCGTGTTTTTACATGAGTAGAATGTGTGCTTTTATTTAAAATGCATCTCTGGGTTATTTGTGGGGCACAGGAATTTGTTCATCCCCCCCTGCAAAAAATATACTCTGACACACATGTTCTGAGGGACAGTGGACAGGCCCATGGCTGAAAAAGGTTGATGACCCCTGATTTAAATCCTACCTTTACCCCAAGGAGCTAAATGAGACATGCATAGCTTTCCCCCTCCATCCCACTTCTAAAAACCCTGTGATGTAGGTTAGATGCCAAGCTCAAGGTCACCCAGGGAGCTGCCTGGCTGAGTAAGGATTTGAACCGTGGTCTCCTCAGCCCAAATCTCCACCCCACACTGGCTCTTTGCCCAGACCAACAGTATTGCCGGCTGGGGCTTCTTGGCAGAGGCCAAGGCCTCATTCAGCAGAATGGTCAGAAGGACACCCCACATCCGGTGGCATTTTGAAGTGTGTGTGTTTGTGTATGTGTGTATTTATATGTGTGTGTGTGTGTGTGTGTATACACACACACACACACACAAAAATAAATACACCCCCCCCATGTCAAGATCAGCCTCGCCCCAATTAAGCTGCTAAGTCTCTGCAGACCAAAAACTTAAGGCACCAAGTTCATAAAAGCTGTATTTTAATTTTTCTAAGTAGTTAGAAGGTATAGCGCCCACGTAGCAGCCCCTGTGTGAAGAGCCGGGTCCAGGCTGGCAAAATAAAGCCACAGCGGAAGCCCCGGGAGTGGAGGCGGCGTGGGGGGGGCACCCAGCCCTGCCATCCTTGGCGGAGGGGTGGGGGCTCCCGGGCGTCGGTTGCGGGCGGCCGCCTCGTGCGACGGAACCTGGCTCGGGCTGAGGGTCGGTTGGGGAACGAGGCTCCTGGCGCGGGAGCTTCTCCCTCCCCCCCCCCCCGCGTACTCACCGTGAGGCAACGCCTCCCCGCACTCGAACTGCACCTGGAAGCGGAGCGGGTGGCCGAAGGGGCTCGGGTTCTCCAGCAACGAAACTCCCAGGACAGACACCCGCGCCATGACAGATCTCTTCTTTTCCCCCCGCCCGCCTTGCCTGCTTCCTTCCCCCTCTCAAGCCCAAACGCCGAAAGCCCACTCCCCGCGCGCCGCCGGCTTAACGACGGAACGGCGGAGCCACCAATCCCCGCGCGGCGATCGGAGACGCCGCAGCCAACCCCAGAGCTTCGCGCCTCGGCTCCCCCGCCTACTCCTCGCGCGCGGCCACGCCCACCGCTCCCTCCGCCAATCCTCCTTCCCGACTCTGTCCCTGGCGGGAGCTAAATCTAAACAATAAGCGTTCGACTCCGAGTCTTCCTCCCTCCGCTCCCCTCCCCTCCCCTCGCGCGCGCTGACCTTCGCCGCCCACCGCCAATCAGCGCGCGTTCTGCCTGTTCCGTTCTGCGCGCTCAAAACGCGCAGGCGGCCAATTGGTGCCTTTTGGGGAGTTATTAAGGGACCGGAGCTAACGAGGAATTCGAAAGACGGGCGAGGAAACGTTATTTGGCAAGCATAAAAGTCCCACGTCACGTGCAGCTCAGTTTTAACTTTCTACACTGGCTTAATAAATGAAATCCCTGCAGAGTTTCGAAGAACGTTCAGCAAATCTGAGGTGAAGCTTCTGCAACTAGCTTCTGTCTCCCTCTTTCCGTCTAGACAGAACAGGAAGGCCCCTTAGTCGACAGAAGGAATGTTACTTTTAAAGTACATGGCTTCCCGCAAAGAATCCTGAGAGCTGTAGTTTCCCCCATTAAAAAAAAAAGTAAACGTAAAGGATTGACAGTTATGTCCAGCTGCGAACGACTCTGGGGTTGCAGCGCTCATCTCGCTTTACTGGCCGGCGTTTGTCTGCAGACAGTTTTTCTGGGTCATGTGGCCAGCATGACTAAGCCGCTTTTGGCGCAACAGAACACCAAAATCAGAGCAGCACGCAGAAATGCCTGTTTACCTTCCCCTCCAGACAAGTACCTTTTTATCTGCTTGCACTTTTTGGCGTGCTTTGGACCTGCTAGGTTGGCAGGAGCTGGGACCGAACAACAGGAGCTAACCCCGTCACAGGGATTCGAACCACCGACCTTCCAATCGGCAAGCCCTAGGCTCAGTGTTTTAGACCACAGCGCCACCCATTTCCCTTAGTTTTCCCCATTACAGAGACACAGTTCCCAGCACCCTTAAACTACAGTTCCCAGAATTCTTTGAAGAAAGCCATAGATCTTAAATGTATGATGTGGAGCGGGGCGGGGGGGGGGGGAGGCGGGATATGCTACCCTAAAACAAGGCAAGGTAACATCTTTATAACCTGCTCTGCTTCTTTATCAGTATATGAGCAGCACCATTTCTCTGGCTGTATCTTCACTGCCACCAGTGCCCCCCACGTCCTATTGTTAGCCCTCAACTTTTCCTTAACCCTTGTCTTTTCAGTAATTGCAATACCTTTTTTGCAGTATTGCATCATATCTGTGTTAGGCACAGCAGCTCCTAGTACCAAATATACACAAAATTGCTGTGCAGCATATTTATAAATGGCATATACAATATTTTGATGAGAAATAGCTCAGTAGCCACAAGTTGATTATCACGGTCATGGACTGTTTGGATGCAGAGGAGGGGTGGGAGGTGCCACCAGCTGGGGAGCTCCCAAAGGAACCCCCATGCGAAGAAAGCTCAGAGCCAGGGGATTGGTGGTGGGATGATGATGAGTGGTCAGAGGGAGAAGAGGGGGCAGTCTGGGAGATGTCAGAAACTGAAGAGGCAACAGGGTTTAGTGAGCAGTAAGAGGCTATGGCAGAGGGCAGTCCAGACTCAGAGGCAGAAGTAGAGGCTGGAGAGGAGTGGGGACAGGCTGCTGAAGAAGCCAGGGGGTCTCTCCCTCCTGCTGTGACCGGCTCACCTTCCCGCTGGTTTCCCAGAACACGCAGAGAAATGAAGAGGGCAGAGCAAAGAGAGACAAGACAATCCTGAGATTGCTTGGGAGGGATCTGGGGGAGGAAGATTCTTAGGGAAAGGTGGGGAGGCAGGGACCCTCAGTCCTTGCAACTACCTCATTGGGGCAAGATCTCAGAGCCGTAGCTAGGTGATCTTGCGCCCCTGGCAGAACTGTCCAGATTGCGCCCCCAGCCACTGACAAATTGCTCTTCTTTCCGCCTCTCCTCCAACCCACCCACCCCATTCAATTCACCCTTGCGGGGCCCCACCTTGCCACCCCCTAGCTATGGCCCTGCAAGACCTACTGGAGTTGCTGTGATCGCTAGGCCTACACTGTTTTGGTTTCTTTGAATAAAGAGTTAACTTCACTGACACTGGGTGTTTTATTGCTGATCTGTTCCCGACAAGTATAGCAAGTTTGTATTTAAGTTTGTTGGTAGTACAAACTTAACATTGCCTTGCTATACTTGATAGTTAACTTATGGCTGTTGAATTATTAGTTTAAAGCTGTGTACACATTAATGTTTGCTCTGATTCTAGTGAGCTCCCATGGCTGACATTTGAAGCTACAATGTGTGTCGCAGGTGTGAAGCAACCAAGCTGATAATGTGCATCAGGTGACGACAATCCCCACCCTCTCTCTGGTATGTACAGCAACATAAAATGTGACTTAAACTGTGAGGTGTATGTGTGATCTCACTATGTTTTAAGATACTAATGTGTATATAGCCTAAGTCAGGGGTAGAGAACCTGTGGCCCTCCAAATCAGCTCCTACTAGCATGGACAATGGTCAGGGATAATGGGAGTTGTAGTCCAACAGCACGCGGCGGGCCACAGATTTCTTCACCTATGGTTCAAACGATGGTTTGGGATTTCGGGATTGCACTTGCGAGTTCTTGTTAGCCAGGAATGAAGTGATTATGCAAGGCCACTGAGTATGTTGCTTTCCTTGACTTCAGTATTAGTTTGAGGTACAAAAGTGTCCCTCAGAAATACCGAAAACCCTCCAAACAGTGTGTACATGCCTAGATGGCATAGATAATGGCAAAGATGCTAGGGTTGTCAACTGTCACCCATATGGGGTTGCTATAGCTAATTCCACAAAGGGTGGAATTGCAGCATAGCTCTAAAGCAATTGTTCTGTCATTGCAAGAATTTCTGTTTGTGCAATGGAAGATTCTCTCATGGGCCCTCTAAATCTATGCTAGGGGTTCTCTCAACTCTCTAGAGCAAAAATCCTTGTGCTGGTGTAACTCAGTGTATTCTTAAGCCTTATGGGTTGTATTCTACTATCTGCATCATTTTATGAAAAAGCTGGCTGCTTTTCAGCTTTAGATGGACTTTATGTGGGACATGGAGACGAAACATGGTCTTGTGAAATTACACAGCCCAACGTCAGATTCAATTGGGTTGCTGTCCCCTGCGTGCACAGTATCAGAGCACCAAGACATTCTGATCTGGGTGCTTACCGTACTGGCACACTAGCACGGCAAAAGTCAGTACAGGGGAACCTGACTTAAAGGTGACAGCACCCATCTGCTGTAACTGTAAGGACAGATTTAAATCAGGCCTAAGAAAGAGCAGTTTAATCTCAAAACGCAACTACACCTCAACAAGATATGAGGTCTGCTTGTGCAGTGTGGGTCACTGTCTGCTGCCTAAATTCCCTGATCAGCATTTGGACAAATCACTATGAATCCCTCATCCCCTTCTTTGCACTAACAGTTGCATTTCTGGCTAGAAGCATGCAGTACAATATAGCAATGTTACAGTTTTGCTAGCAAAACAGATTTGGAGATAAAGGTCTATGGAGCCTATGGAGTTAAATGTATATACAGTGGTACCTCAGGTTACAGATGCTTCAGGTTGCAGTCTCCGCTAACTCAGAAATAGTACCTCGGATTAAGAACTTTGCTTCAGGATGAGAACAGAAATTGTGCTCCAGCGGCGTGGCGGCGGTGGGAGGCCCCATTAGCTAAAATGGTACCTCAGGTTAAGAGCAGTTTCAGGTTAAGAATGGACCTCCAGAACGAATTAAGTTCTTAACCCGAGGTACCACTGTATTGTATACAAATGGGGTTTGGGCCTCCTTACCACTTAATCTGATGTTCAGTTGAGTACATCCATGAGCGTTGATTTCAGTGGGCATAAATACAGTATGCCTGTGTGCATATGATTCAACCCTGGAGGTTTTAATAGACCAACAGCTGCACATGGCCTTGTGCTCAGGCACTCTATACCTTCTTAATCCCAGCTGCAGCTTCACTCTCAAGCTCCATCTGCCGACATTCAAACATGGAGGGAGATCAACACTTATCCATACTAGGTTTGCCAACTACTGTGCTATGCAGGTGGGGAGGAATTGTTCAGGACAACCTATGCATTTGTGTTCTACCCCCTGCCCCCAGATCTGCCTTTTACCATAATGTAGGGCTGTTGAGAGGCATTCTTGCAAGTTTTAGCCCACACCTATCCCTGTTTTCTCCAAAATAAGTTAAAGTGATCTCAATTAGATTTCCTTCCAGGTAAGTAAGCTAAGGAAATCTATTCACCATCATCCATCATCCCTTATGTCCCTGATGGGTTAACACACTTATTGCATCTCAGCTGTCAAACCTGTCAGAGCCAATGCTTTGGCTCCCAGCTGCTGGCTGGTTGGAATGGCAATGAAGTCAGTATCCTGGTCCCACCAGCAGAGAGCAGGAGTCATCCTTATCTGAGCTGCAGTACTTGTGCTGATGAATCTGGGCTGGGAGTGACTTGGTTAGGGGGCAGAACAGTGGAAGGGCTCCCAGAAGTTCCCAGTTGGCTCAGATTAAGACCGACCTAGCATAAGACATGTGGCAACTGATATCCATCCACATATACAGAAACCTTGTGTGTATGCATACATGTGTATTGCCACGTGCATTAAAAATGCAACTATGCAGCAGAGAAAAGTAAGCCTTTCCTCTGGGTACCCCAGCAGATTATTTTTGCTGCACACCCACACAGTTCCACACATGCACGCCCAAAGGAAACAGCTTGAAAATAAGCCTCCCATATGCACAAACCCTTTCTCTCACCGAGACATTTGCATCCTCCCATGGTGTGCTCCTATTATATTAATGGTAGAAATAATCGCGCTTATCTCTAGAGTAACCTTGAGATTCCTGTGTAGTGTTTGTCATAGTAATGATCATAATTGTTATGTTATTTATATAGCCCCCCACCTATGCCAATTGGTGCCTGGGGAGCTTAATATCAAAATTCAACAATAAAATACAACAAGGCCACACTAGAAATCTATATTTTTATATATAAAAACGTTTCTGGTTTTTTTTAATAAAGAGAGAGCATGTGACGAGACATATGGTTCAAATCCCTCACATCCCTGCAAAGCTGCTTGTGGCTAAAAGCCCGTCAAGAGAGAGAAACCACAGGCTTGTAATGTCTGCAGGTAAGTGGTTAGATAGCAGATGGTCTACACCAATTAATATCTGACCACAAACGAGAGGGTAGCATGTTAGGAAGCTCCTAGGCATTCGTGCATCCCCCCACATGCCCAGTACAGCTACATAAAGCACTCCCACCCCAGCACACTTGAACAACAGAATATTAAAGCACACATCTTGAAGGCTGAAGCTGCAATCCAGCACAGAGTTGAGTGTTCTCAAGGTGTGCCTAAATTGTGACCCGCGTGACTCTTCCTACCTCCAGCAAGTGGCATCCCGGCTACCACTAAGAGAAGTAACCGGGGTTCCTACTTGTGTGTGCTAGATGCTGTGTGGTGCAAGTCAGACTTCCTTAGCAACATCCACTATAGTGCTGGAGACTAGAGAAAGGGGAAGAAAGAGTGGGAGAGGGTAAGGAAGGAACTAATGGAAGGGAGGCTGAGGAAGTAACAGCATAAAGAATGTGACAAAGAGCTGGAGAGGAATGTGCATGGGGGAGGACTCTGCAAAAACACTGCATCAGACTAAAAGTAGAACAGAAGCTATGTTCCTTGGAATTCACAGCTCTCTGGCAGCAAGCAACAGAAACCCCCTAATTCTCAGAGTATTAAGTAAACAAGGAAAAGAACAATGAAAGTCCTTGGAAGGAATCCATCCCAATATGATGGATTAATAGAGGTCTTGGAGGAGAGATGTTTCCCTTCCCAGTTACTGATCCCTACCCCATCATTTAATATGTACATTTAAGATAGGCACTCACCATGAGCATTGCTAACTGACCAATCACTGACCAATCACATCGGTTCTGCCCCCTAACAAAATTTCTGGCTACGCCCATGGCACTCACCAAAGGCACATTAACTCCCGTACAAACCCTCAAATCTACAAGTGGCAGGACATGCAGACAAGGCGTCAAGGAAACACCGAGAAATAGTCACACACAGTGCTTCAGGGTTTCAAGTACTTTGGAACTGCAAGAAAGAGATGTCTGAAGCAATTTGGAAAGAACTGATTGAATTTTCATTCTGCGATGGAATTGAAATATAGCAAAAGGGACTGTGAAGTGAAAGATGAAACCCAAAGCCCAGCTCTTCCCCGACTACAGTCCAACTTGTACTTGCTCAGAAGCACAGCGTTCCCACACCTTGGCAGAGGCCCCTTTATGTGGTATAATTAGCCACAGCCTTGCAACACAATCAGATTGTTGGTTTCACTAATAGCCTGGAATTATGTCAATTTGGAGCCATTTCGGAAAGATCCGTGAGAGCAGGGGAAATGTTAATAAGGAGCCTGCACTGTTGCTAATGGACTGCAGGGGGAGGGCTGTGTGATGGCCCATCTGCATCTGGGACTTGATAACATGCAAGGTTCTTGGGGGTGAAAACTAGAGGCACAGGCTAATCAGGTGACCTAGGAATCTCCCAATATGTTAATGAAGATTTCTGAATAAACAGAATCCTTGTAGAGTGGTACCTTGGTTCTCAAACTTAATCCGTTCCAGAAGTCTGTTCCAAAACCAAAGCATTCCAAAACCAAGGTGCGCTTTCCCATAGAAAGTAATGCAAAATGGATTAATACATTCCAGACTTTTAAAAGCAACCCCTAAAACAGCAGTTTAACATGAATTTTACTAACAAGACCATTGAGCCATAAAATGAAAGCAATAAACAATGTACTGCAGTCACACAATCAGTAGCTGAACTGGGTTCCACACAGTCAAAAAAACAAAACAAAGAAGCCGCAAAAACACAAAATAAATAGCAAAAATAGTCCTCAGCATAACACTCAAAACGGAGCACATTCGGCTTCCAAAAAAAGTTCGCAAACCGGAACATTTACTTCTGGGTTTGCAGTGTTTGGGTTCCAAGTTGTTTGAGTACCAAGGCGTTTGAGAACCACGGTACCACTGTATGAATCTTTCCCAGCAGAAGCACCACCTAGGAGAGGCTCAGTGAGAAGCACTACCTAGGAGAGGGGTGACCAACAAGGTGTTATCTGGATGTCCCATCATCCCTCACCATTGGTCATACTGCCTGGGACAGATGGGACTTGGAGTCCAACAGGCTCTAGAGTGCCCTGCATTAGCTACCCTATCTTAGAAAACAAGGTTCACTTGAAAGTTGCCCCAGCCCAGGGTGGACTTCACTTGGCCTCAGTGAACCTCATGGAGAAGCGCTTTTAGCCAACCTTCAAGAAACAGAGGCGAGCAGCTGTGGATTGTATCCTGCAGACTTGGTTCCAAACCCTTTCACCAAGCAGCTAGAACCAGTTCACCACCAGAACATGGAACATTCCCCGTCCTCTTTCCAGACGAGTAGCAATTGCTGCATGAAGATAAACATTTCGACTCGGGGTGCTCAGTGCTCTGAACAAAAAGAAATGACCACTGATTTAGTTGGTTGTAAAAAGGCACCAGAATCCAGCACCAGCCTCTCAGTTGCTGTTCCGACGCCATCTAATCTCCTGCGATTCCATCTTTGGGCTGCCAGTTCCAGCTCATTGATGCCCTTGCCTTCTGCAGATGAGCCCAGCAGTGTGTCTCCAAGCTACAAGTCCCCACCTACAATCTTCCTGACATCTCAGCCATGGCCTCGCTATAGTCCTGTGAGATCTGGCAGTGTCGAAGGGAGAAAAATATCCTCAGATAGCCTGTTATTAGGAGAGGACCATTACACTGCAGCAAGAAGCAGAAATGAATTTAATGAGATGGGGCTGTTGCTACAGCTGTGCGGGATCCCACTTTTTAGGCTGCGTCTCCAGTCTATGGGCACCAGATGACAGCGCTCTGCCACAGCCTCAGCTCCTTGGCTGACACGGACTCTTCTCTCCTTGATGTGCTAAAATCTCAGAAGGGGCACTTGATTCAGGAGGTCTTCAGGTTTCACATTTCAGACTTGGGTGCACCCCTTTAGATGCTTTGGTGGCAGCTGTATTTGACCGGGTTTCTCCTTGACTGTTCTTGCTGATGTAAAAAGTCGAAGCATAAGAAGCTCCTGGGGCAACCGATGAAGAGGCAAAACCCAGTTTCCATGGTCGAACACAAGAGGGTGCTGCTGAGACACTCTGGGAAACAAGGAGACGGGTGGGAGGAAAGCATCTCTCCATATCAATTTATTTATTTTTTAATGAAAGCCTCCGCTTTGTGGTCTTCTTATTGAGAAATTACCACGTTTCCTGTGGGAAATTGGAAGATGGGCGAAGATTTTCTTTATTTCACACACCAGGGCTGTTTTCCAATAATAAACTTGCAGACTTGGAAGACAATCAACGCTCTCCCCGCCCCCCATTCCTTCCACTTTAATAATTCTTGCTATATTCCTTTAATTTTGATGTTTTAAATGTGTAACTGAATCCCCGCTGAGCGCTCTCTGCACAAAATTTAAAATATATATCACTAAGTGCCAACATGGAGGCTCACATTGCATAATGACGAACAGTCACCCATATTATCAGCGCACACCATATACATCCAGCAGGGCAGGTCTTTGCCAGGGGCACATCCAGCACATGGGAAAGCCCATGGCTTCCTCCAAAGAATACTGGGAAGTGTAGTTTGTTTAGGGTGCTAAAAATTGCACCTCAGTGGGGACAAACTACAGTTCCCAATATTCTTTGCGGCAGGGGTGTGTGCTTTAAATCTATGGTGTGGGTGTGGCCATAAGGAACTGCTGCGTGTATGTGACCTCTGGGTATGAGGTGCCTTCCCCACCATTGCCCCAGCTTCATTTTACGTCAATTGGTTCTCCTTCCTCTGTTCCTGTGCTCTTCTTTGTGCCGTCTGAAGCAGGTATAGACAACAGACAAAAGGCATATATGGGGTGTTATCTCTGTGAGGAAATCTGCAGGAACTTCATGGGGTCCAGTCTTCGGTGTGCCTGTCTGTTTACTTATCCTCACAAGGAAGTGCCTCAGCCTGCTCTTTGAAGGGGGCAAACCTGCAAGTACAATGGTTCTCCTCATGTCACAAGAAACAGTCCCTTTCATGGGGGACTGAGGGCCAAAGAATCCTGTGATACTTTCTCAACAAGGTTTTCAATCAGTCAGTCAAACAAAAAAAAACAAATAGCAGAGGCTGCATCCGCACCATACATTTAAAGCCCATTGCTTCACTCAAAGAATCCTGGGGACTGTATTTCACTCCTCACAGAGCTGCAATTCCCAGCATCCTTCACAAGCTACAGTTGCCAGGATTCTTTGGGGGAAGCCGCATGCTTTAAATATGCTTCAAGTATGCTTTAAATGTTGGGTGAGGTTGGTTACAGAGTCCCCAGTTCAAATCTGACCCTTATCACAAACTCAGCAGGTGGTCTTCTGCAAAATACTATCTGTCATCCTCATCACTTTCTATAATGCAGGGATAATAATCCCAGCTTACTTTTCAAGGTTGACCTAAGCCTTACTGAGATAATATATGTGAAGCATTGTCAGCCTTCCAAAATGCTATATAAATGCTAGGTATTATTGTTAGTAGTAGTCATATATCTTGGGAAGTACCAGATATAGGCAGTACCTTAGGCCTCCTGAAGCCTAGAATGACCCTCCAGACATGAAACAGTACGTGTGCTTGGCTCGTGGTCATTGCTCCATACTTTGTTGACAGAAGTAACAGGCTGGGTTTTTGAAAATGGGCCAAGCACCATATGGTGGTGCTGCTGCTTCAGTCTGGGCCAGGACCAATATTTTTCTTCCAGATTGCTGGCTCAGTGGATTTTTTCTAAGCAGGGTGCACCAGCTACTCAGTATACCTTGCATGTCCCTGAATTTGTTGTCAGCTTTGGAGGGCAACCAGGCTGCGATCCTATACCTGCTTACCTAGGACTTAACTTCTGAGAAGACACGCTTAGGATCGTGCTGTCATTGTCAAGTGTGGTGCACCTCCTCTCCTCTATCTTATATGCAGTTGTGAAGGCAATTTGGGGCAATGGTCTAGCATAAGGCAAACGAACATTAAAATGAAATTGCTATTTTATCTCTCATGGAGACATGAGACTGAGTTGCACGGAGCTTTGAAGCAATGCATCCGGCAGCTCTTAGATGCTCACCAAAAGGGTTCCATTAAGAAACGTAGCCCACTTTATGAGGTGCGGCACCAGTGCACATCACTCTACAAGAAGGCTGGACTTGAGGGACATCTCCTTGGGGCAAAGAGAACCTAGAAAGGCAAGATGGTGCTCCTAAGGAGTCGGGTGGAGGGAGGGAGAACAAGGACTTGCACCATCTGTGCCTTAATGCTGTGCTCTAGCCCCTAGGCCATCCCACCTTTTTCATCAGATAATAGCAGCAGTGACTTATTCCCCGTCTGACAGAAGATTGACCCTTTCAGCTCAGCCTCCCCGTGGGTTTAACTCCTTCCAAATAGCCCACGGCCAGGCTCGCTCCGTAGGCAGCGGGGGATGCCCCCCTCCCCTCTGCTATGCAGACGGGTGTGCGGGAATTGGCTGCACAGCTGCCTGGCAGGGAAGGAGCCAGCTCGTCTGGCATCGATTAGGTTTCATGTGAAGCTTTCAGACCCTGGGTAACTTCCCGGGGAGCTGGGAGGAAAGAAGGGGAGACCATGGTTCTTGGGGGGGGGTAGCTGGGGTTTAGGCTGGAGAGAATCCCAGAATTCGGGTGGGGGGGAGGAGGAATGGGGGCAGGATAGGGAAGGGTGGGAAATACCCCGTGGAAGTGCCAGCTGACAAAGGAGGGAATTAGACCAGTCAAAACAGTTCAAGTGCCAGATCACCGTTCAAGTGCCAGACCAAGTCCAGAGTGGGGACTTACTAGGAACAGGGGCAACGTACCACAATGATACCTGGCTCATTTTTGGTTTATTCCAGCATCTTTTGTAAGGTGTCGGGGCTTAGGCCTGGGTGGAACACACACACACACCCCACACACTCGGGCCCCCACACATTGGAAGCCCCTCTTACCACATGAAAACAGCCCTTCCTTTCAGAATTGAGAGGAAGGCAATCCATACATTCAGTGGCACTTCTTGCTATCTTTTAAGTCTAGCACTGAAAACAAATCCTGAGGCAGATTCCCGGCAAAAATGAAGTGCTCTTTAGTACCCTGGCCTGTCTTTGAGCCTGCTTAATTCATGATTTGGTGCCAGGCAGCTCTGTAGAACTCATGTATCTCCTAAAGCCTCCATTTTCAGCATCCACCTGGTTTGTTACAACCTTTTTAATGAGACAATTTATACAGTCCCTGCACAGCTGAGGGAAACCTCTCCTAATTTTCAGACCACAGAGCACCTCTTTATGTCAAACCCAGACAAGATGGCTTTGCCGTAGCTCCCTTTTCTCATTTACCCTTTCTCTTTGTTTCCTTTTGGGGGTTGGTTAAAGTGTGGCAAGACGCTGCCACTGGTTTGTACTTTTCACTGCATAAGGTTGGTTGAAATATTTTGAGTCGGAATTGGGAATTGCCCAGATTATTGCTGACTTCGGTTTTCTCCTCTTTTTGGGCAAAGTTGTTGACATGGGGGGGAGGGGCAAAGGGTTTTTTTTGAGTTTTGCCCAAAGCTGTTGTCATGAGCTGCCATACATCCAGATTTTCCTGGACATTTTGCCGATTTCCACACAGACACTGCTAGAGACAGTAGTATTCCGGATATGTCTGGGAAATTTCGGACGTATGGCAACCCTACATTGTGAGAGGATGGCCATATTCCTCTTCTGTGCTTTACTTTGTTTTGAAAACATGAATGCGCCCCTCTGCTGGAAAGACACATTGCCTCCTAAGACCCAAAATAATTAATTAAATAATTTCTATATATTTCCAATATTGAACGAATGAACAAGTTTACAACATGGTAGGGGCATCATGGAAAAGGCAAGAGGCACTAGAGGTGACGCAAACTAGATTCCATAGACGCCCCCCATGACATTTGAATAACCACCTTCCATGCGGCAGTTACAATCGAGTGGATGTGTTGGTTGGAAGTGGGGGGGGGGGAGCCATATTTTCATACTAATCAGACATTGACATTTGCATGCTGTGAATATGCATTTTGTCTGCAACAGAAGCACTACTTTGAGGGAAGACATTTAGATCTCAGGCACCAAATGAGACTAAAAACTGTCTATTTACTGAGCAAAATAAAGACTGGCTGGGATGACTCCCAGTGACTATCATTCAGTTTGGATTGTTGTCTCTGCTTTGTTAGGAGATTGCTTGACCTCGGCAACTCTTGGGTTCCAAAGGATGACAGGCCAATTTGCATTCCACCTCTCCTCTGTCAGGAGTCTTTGGGTCACACAGGAGAGTTGACTGGCAATATCGGACCCTGTGCCCATGCCAGCTGCCATCTGGCAGAGAATGGCCAGTGGAGACTGGGCAGATGCTTCAGCCACCCCCTTGTGGTCCCCATTCAATTTGTAGCTCCTTGGCAAGTGTGCAGATGTTTTTCTAAGCAATAATGTCATGGAAACCTTCAAACACCTGGATCCACAAGTGCACAAGGAGCTTCATGATCTGTTAGTCATTAGCAGTTCATCTCTTGGGCTGCCCTTCACATGGTTTAATATTGTGAAGTTGTAGGCATTTTCAGAAAGCTCCAATTTTTCAACTTAGAGGTGCTGATATCTTAAAGAAGGCTGCATTACAACACTGAAAATCTATTGACAACTCAAGCAACAGTTCTTGATCATTGACACTATGTGGGTCCTTGTGATAGTTTTTTCTCATGCTAACTGTGCTGTAACAACATTTCTTTACTACCAATCGACACAAACTGCCTCTAGTAGTTCCCTTCAATGAATGGTCCAATCTGTGGAAATGCAATAGTCTCGCCTAGATTATTTGACCTGTGGGTCGTCCCCCCCCCCCCGACACCTGAACAGGGCCAAGAGCTCAGAACCAACTTTACAACTCAGTGGGACTTACTTCTGATTAAACCTGTTAAACCAGCTAGCAAAGCCCAGTCTGTGCACCCACATTTTATTTTATGCTTCCTTTCCACAGTTCAAACCATGCTCAAGACAGCTTATAATATGAAAAAACACATAGCCGCAACATAACAAAAATAGTCCTAAACAATAAATTAAATAGCAAAAAAATACACAACTGTGTTAAACAATTTCTATGTAAGCCAGAAGGTCTAAAATAACAATACATAAAACCAACAGCAATAACAGCAACCCCACCACCACCGACCCCCCCCCCAAACAACACCCCAGCCCATGTTGTTCCCTAGGATTCTCATACAAAGCATCTCTAATTTAGCAGTTCATATGAACTCAGCACCTCCAGTGCAGCACGTAAACCAATCACAATGCAATCAAAAATGTACATTTATTTCTAAATGTCCTGGAGATTCTAAGTGGAAACAAAGGAGACAACAGGAAGCAAGGACGTCATAAAGAGTGTATCTTTTCCAAGTATAATTGTATCTAAGTTTACTCCCATATTGATTTCAGTGGTAACTATTTCACCTTTGATTCATTTACATTTCCAATCCAATGTAATTACGCCTGATTTGCATTGCTTTCATCTTCCCTGCATTTCATGCCAGTAAAAGATGTTGCAGTTTACTAACACTCCATTGACCCTCACTATCTATTTTTACTGCAGTTGTGCAAATCTGTGTGGCTTCTTGTGGCAAGAAGATATCTTCATTAGATGATATTTCCATGGAAAAAGAAACCTCCTGGGGAATCACAAAATCCCCATAAGGCCCCAGAGCAGGTTACAGCAATTTAAGAATATTAAAAACAGTTTAGATGGCTAGATGGCTTTAAAGGGGGAGTTATTTTGACAAATTCATGGAGGTCATGGCTACTAGCCATCACAACTGCTCTGTATTACCTCAAGTATCGGAGGCAGTAGTCCTCTGAGCATCAGCGCTGCAGATCATGCGTGAGAGAACAATATTGCCCTCTTGTCCTATTTATGAGCTTCCCATAGGGATCGCCACTTGGCCAGTGCTGGAAGCAGGACGATGGACTAGATGGGCATTTGGCTTGATCCAGCAGCTAGGCTCTTCTTAAATTCTTACATTAAAAACTTATTGTTGGCAGCACACAGTTTATGCCCAACAGAGCTGCTGGATTTTCTATGAACCCACCCAGTTTCTGAAATCTGGTAGAGAAAGCCTCTTAACAGCCCCATGTCCACCTAGTGTGTGATATGTGTTAACATGAGAGAAGGTATTATCAATCACAGCACCCCATGGATTGCCTCTTCAGAGATTTGGCTGGTGCCAACCCTGCTGGGCTTTTAGATGCCTATGGAAGGCCTATTTATTTATCCAAGCCATTGGTTAAGATTGAACATTGAGAAGAACCCAGTATTCTGCAGTTTTCCAGTGGTTAGTTTTAGATCTGGGATTTTTAATGAAGAGCAAGCCAAAAGTGCTTGAAATAACCACCATTTAGGCTACAGCTGATAGAAGCGAACTACTTGATAAATGGTCACTCAGGAGTCATTTCCTATACTGTATCTAGGATTGCAGCCTTAGTCCCTACTTGTAGGGTTTGTCCCCTACTGTGTCTAGTCCTGCTGTGCAGAGCGGAGTCAGGTGAACTGCCCTATCTATTGCTGCCAGCGCAAGGATTAGCGCGACAAGTTAAAACTCTAGTTTATGGACGATACCGAACTCCCAAAGCTTTCGTTTTCTACAGACATCCTTATCAGTGTCTAAAGCAACCCAGCTTATTTCTTCTCGTGGTTACTTCAGCGTTCAGGTTCTCCTAGGCTTCTATCAGCTAAATTGCAGTTGAAAACCAGAATAATTGAAATGAAAGCCTAGAAGGAACTTGCATTTATCGGGACTTCTAGACTTGCTCCTTGGTATGCATCAATTAAACAGCGAGATTGCTGGGAGGAAAATCTAACAGAAGTAGGCCAAAGTAATGCCAGAAGGACATTTACTGCCCTACGCTACTAAATAAGACCATCTATGCCTTTGGAGGGACAGTATTCAGAAAAGCCATACACCCAGAAACCCTTTGTATTTGTGGTGCTAATTGTACCGAAGATTTACCACTTAGCGCTGCAGCACCATTTTGATCAGAAAAGGCTTCCTTGAGCCAATTCTATGTTAAACCCTGTACTCGGGAAAAAATAAAGTTACAGTTGCATGGAACAGAGCGTACATTCTAATTGTTACAAACCGGTACTGACTCAATGTTGGGATTTAACAAACATTTTCACACATACCTGAAAAACATCCCCTTCGCCCTTTCTGGCAATTTTTCACACTCCTTTGCAAACGAATGTAAAACCTCTCCCTCGGTCCACGCAGGATGTGCCCTTGGAGGAAATTCTAACATAACCCTCACAGAAGAGCAGTGTTGCATGGTTCAAGGTGTGGTATGCCGTATCACTAGGACAGATGAACACAAGCATATTCTTACCGCAGGTAGTGGGTGCCCCTTGGTGTGTTCAGGCACTGCAAGACTTACTCAAGGGCCAAGAGGGTCCACTGGCAGAGAGGTCAACTGTAGATGGAGCCAGAGCCAATGGCAGGCCGAGTCAACTATTTCTGGTTGGGCCCCCATCCTCCCGCTTGCTGAATTCTATAATGGCAAGACTGAGAGTAAAGAGAAGCAAGGTGATAGCCAGTGTTACCTTTTGGGCAGGATCTAAGTAAGAAGGCAGGCAGGAAGGCAGGCAGGTGGAGATTGGCTAAGGGCAGAATGAGTTGGGTGGGGCAGTGCCCCGTTTGCCCCAATAGACCAACCTTCATTGGTCATGAGGAACTGCCCAATAAGGGAGCTCGAGTGAAGTTGCATGGGCTTTATGAACATAGTTACGTGCTTTGTTCATGGTAGATGTACTAAAGGAAGGGCAGAAATAAGTTGGTGAGGTATGAGGCTGGACTGATAAGGTATTTAGTGCTGGACCAGCTGCTGTGTGCTCTTGCTTCTGTGGCTTGTACCTGTACAACATTCTAGGAAAAGGTAAGAAGCAACATGGCAGGTTCAAGGGACATGGAGGCAAGGAAGAGGAAGTGCAGAATTCCAGGGCGATGTAGAAGGCAAATAAATGAATCCAACAGGTTCTCTAGTGGTGGGAGGTGGGCAAAGCCAAACCCGATTGATGACACTTTATAAACCAGCCCTAAGACAGGGGACTCGGCTATACAGCTGCAAATAAAATGTTTTAAGTGTGTTTTAAGTACAATATACAATGTGACACTAGATGGCGATGGCGAGCCTTACTGAAAATTCAATGTGTTTTTAAAAACGCTTTTAAAAAAGCATTTTCAGAACGGTTTTTATATGTGTGTAGATTCCACCAGGGTGATATGACAGATAACCCCACACATCACAGAGAAAATGTTTCAGTCTGCATCACAGAACTGTAGTCAGAAGAGACCCTAAGAGTGAGCTAGTCCAACCCTTGCAATGCGGGAATAAAGGAGGAGTGTTTTGTATAACATAATCGGATGTCCATCAACAATGTTGTAACCGATGTATTGCTTACGTATTGTATTTTTTGTGTAATAAAATGCAAAATGTGTGATAAAGCTGTAGTGCAGACGCAGTTAAAATATAATTTAGTTAGAGTGCAGCTCTGATCCATTCAAATCAGTGGCGGTTTCATCATTCACTCCAGCAAGATGTGGGTTGCTCTCCTTTTTTGACAAACAGTCCCCCCAATCTTTTCCCGCATTTCCCCCCATGGATGGGCCAAGTTCTATGATCCAGCGATTAAGTGGTTGATGGGTCTGGCTTCCCTCTCCTACTGTCATTCCATCTCATTTCTCTCTCCCCCCCCTCCTCATTTATATATTCCTTTCTTCAAGAAACCTTGACTCTCAGCAGGAAAAAAATAGCAAAGCAAAAGCAGCATCCCCTCAGCAGAAGCGTTTAATGACAGCCTGCATTGTGCGTAATGAACCACCCTGCCTGTCTTCCTACTTTGCCCATTTGTGCACACTCTTATTTGGGAGGGGGGAGCGGGGGAGGGGGGAGAACTACCAGGAATGGCAAGCCACAAATCATGTTTTTAAAAATCCTGAAATTCTGGGGGTAGGGGGAAGCAGAAATAGGTTTTTGGATGGCCCATAAACATATATTTTCTAGTTTTCTACTGCAACTTTACATAGAAAACATCAAAAACCAAGTAGGGGGGAAAACCCCTAAATTTTATCTATGTGATGCTGGTGATTTCAGGCATCATAAAATCTCAATAGTTCCATGCATACATTGTATACATTGTTTATTATTATTATAACTATTAATATATATACCACATTATTATTATTAGTTTATATACCACTTCCAATCAGTTTGCAAGTTCATAAACCAGTTGCACAAATGTTAAAATAGAAATACCCATAATTTAAACAAACAATAGAACAATACCATTACAACCATTAAAACCATGTGTAATTTCATCAGCTCCATTCTGGGCAAGTTGATCAGAGGCTATAGGCGCAGCCACTACTTATGGCTCTTGTTAAGACACTGTTGTGCCCTGCTAAAAGCACAAGAAGTGCCCAGGCAACTTTCTCCCAAGGATACCCCTGTGCTAACTGCTTGGCTTAGTCTAGTCTCATGATTATCCCTGCTGCCAGAATAGTAATTAACCTTTACACCCTTGGCAACGGTGTATTACGTTGACAAGTGCACGGAATGGACAGTATCCCATACAACCTAATTCCTTAATGCAGCAGTGTAAGGGGAAAATAATACAGGAATGTGCATCATGCAGTATTGTGCAGTTCATATTAAAGGCTTATATACTTTCACTCTTGGGAATGGTGTATGTATGTTCTCAATGCACAGACATACACTCTTGCAGTGACACATGCAAAAGTGCATCTTGTATTATGCTTTGTGCAAATACTTCATTTGGTGTTTTGTAGATAGATTGTGTCAAGAGACAGCAAACAAAGAAACACTATATGTAAAATTACATATTCAAGAACATTTATTTTGTACATAAAACACTTTCTGACACATAATTACTCTTACTTTGTACGCACAAAGTATAGCTCATCGCATATGTGCGTGTGCACACACACACACAACAAAATATGCCATTGCTGATCAACACAAGCACACACACATAAAGAATAACTAGGATACATGTAGTTACAGATAAAATATTCAACTGTGCAGGCATGGTATGCCCAGAGTACACAGGAATAAGTGCACATGGTAAAATATAAAACACAGCTCTGCCGACAGATGCATATACCCTGACTGTGTACTACATAGCTACTTCATCTCCCCTTCATCTCTCTCCACTCCAACGCAGTTGTCCCAGAAATGGTGAGGTGTAGATAAATATTTTATCTTTCTTTTTGTTTGACAGCTGAGTAGGAATTTGTCAAAGTTTGAATTTTAATGTGAAAAGAATATTCTGAAATGCATCTAATTTAAAGAGGCAGCTTCAGGTGTAGGTGGCAACAGAACCCAGGAGCTTAGATTCACAGGAGCTAAGCTACAATATGTGTGTGTGTGTGTATTACACACATACACACACGCAAACACACACAGGTCAGTAGAACGCTTATCACGGATGTAACAGAACAGCCTACCATTTTCACTTTAAGAGAAACTGTCCCAAGCATTCAGTCTAGGAGTTTATCCATTTATGCCCCCGAATAACCGCACAGCAACAGGTGAGTCACTAGGAAAAATTCACATCCACTCAGTCAAGCCATGCAGTAGTTGCTACTTCATTGCAATAACATGAGTAAAGAGCAAAGCAGCTTCTCATCAAATGTACATTCAGTGACCACGTGCACGAAGATGAAATTAAATAGAGCAGCCCAAACCTTTTGAAAGGAAGAACAGCTTTGAAGAACACACAATGAAGAAATAACAACAACAAGCAATTATAATTAATTGATTGATTAATAAAAACTGCAAGTGATCAACGAACAGTTGGCGGGAGTGGGTAAAGCCAAGAATTCGCTCTGTTCTCAGGGAGAAGCAGGCGGCTGGAATGCCTGCTTTACAATCTGTGTGAATTGTGAGGGACTGGTTGGAGGAACGGGGTGCTGAGCCAGGATCCCCAACTAGTCATTAAAGGGACATCCTCACTTTTTGCTTTTTCTGGGGCTGCAAGTGACCCATAAAGTGAGTGGTGACAGAACCTACCAGATAAGAAAACACTGCAGGGCTGTTGCAGAGTAGTGGGGCAAGGAAGCAGGTGAGAGTCTCTTTCCTGAGCATTCCCACTTCTATACAATCCCTACCTGACTCTGCACAAAATAAAAAGGGCACTGCACTGCAACCTTCTGCCAAATAAGGAAGGAGATAGCATGCTAAAACCCAGGGGACTGAACCTGAGATTCACAGCATGTGATTCCATTCCTTGCAACGTACACCTGGTCATATTTTGCGGGAACACCTTTTATAATTTCCACTCTCGTGATGTTGGGATGGTGGCCTTGGTACAGAATTTTGCATTGCCTTGTTATGACCTTGTAAATCCACAGCTAAGCTTCTCAGGTCGGAATGATCATCTAGCTAAGAATCAGAGATCACAATTTAGTAGCAGGTGTTTTTTTTAAAAAAAAGGTTGAAGTGTGGAAGATACCTGTCTAAGGAAAATATTTGTACTAAGCTAATAACAGTTCCTTTGTTCTTTGAGACAAGAAGTTTGCCAGCTACAGCAGAAGCTAGAAAGCATAAAAAACCCAGACTCTTCACTTGTGTACATGTTAAGTTCCCATAATGGGTCAAACAGGAGCTATAGGTGAAATTTTCACTGTGTGTGTGTGTGTGTGTGTGTGTGTGTGTGTGTGTGTGACGGGACAGTGCTGGGAGTAAGGGGGTCACCTCCCTGCTTCCCCATGCTTCAGTCTCTCGAGTCTGAATTTAAGGGATGGTGAGGCTATTATATGCTAAATTCTTAATGCAGGTAGTCAGACCAGGGAGCTCCAGTGTCACACCTAATTGAGTACTCAGTGTGAAATACATTTCACAATTCTCATCTGAGTATTGTGGTTTAGTATTGCATTTTTATTGGTATACAAAGTCTGTGGCTTTTGTGACTTCCATTCTTTAATTGCTGAAAACCAAATTTGCCACCTTAGTTATATCACTGTGTTGGCCTATTGTGACATGGGACCCAACATTGCCATGATATATTTGCAGCACGATTCTCAGTCACAGATAGAATGAAGTAGCCGTTATAAAGCAATGGAAGTTCTTTCCCTGTCCTGCTAATCTTTTACCTGAAATCTGGAGTGCTACAGAGAGCAGTCACTCTGCTTTTTATGCTGAGCAGCTACCAATATTTTAAAATGTCTCTACAACTGGGAACAATGCCACAATTCTCTTGCCATGTGGTCAAGGAACAGTCACTGAGAAGAATTTTAAAGGGCCCCACACAGACCCATTCTCTACACAGAAATAATTGCATTCCAGTAGAGACCCAGTATGGCGGGGACATTACTCAGTAACGTAAGCAGCATAGTGATTAATTCATTTCTGGCTTAGTGTGCAACAAATTTCCTTGCGAATTCTCAAGAAATCAATTGATTTTGCTGTATGCTAAAATATATACAAATATAGTTCCCTAAAGAAGAATTGCGCTATCTGAGAATAGCAGATTGCTTGTTGGCCAACACCAACTTATTAATAGAGTAGCAGCAACAATCAAAACTAACCACCTAACGACTAGGGATGAGGGAGATAGTCAATTCAGTTTGCATTAAAGGTAAACCTTCCTAACCTGCGCTTGGGCCAGGTTTTAACTCAGTTGTTGCATGTATGGAATGAGGTCCATTCACACAACCATATTCCCCAAATCTGTTCTGGAGGGTTTGGGGAAACCCCTGAACAGGTTTAGGGGGCAGGCAGGGGACAGGTGAGCGGCGGGGGAAGGTCTTGCTGCATGAGCAGACCTCGTTCTGTGCATGTATACCCCACTTAGTGCTACACTGAGTTCCACCCCAAACACAGCCATTCTTCAAAACTTGAAATGCTCCTAATTTTGCAATGCAGTTCTCCACCCAAGTAATATGTACAGAAATGTATAGGCTAAGTATGCATAAAAATGCAAAGTGAAAATAACATGTACAAAAATTTAGGGGAACTGGTTTGCAATTTCCCCCAAAATTATATTAGACAAATTGTATTATATTAGACAAATTATATTATATTAGACAAAATTGCATAGAAAAATGTGTAGGTTAGGAGAAAATTTCAGTAAAATGCTGATGAATTCTCATGAGGACCTTTTTAGAAAAATGCAAACTGATATGGAAAAGTGGGGAACTGAACTTAAGAGTGAAAAAATGATAAACTGAAAGAAGCTGAAGTTGATAGGAGTTGGCTCCTATGGAGCAGGGAAATAGGGGTTCAGATGGTCCCTAAGATATGCTGGACCTAAGTTGTGTAGGGCTTCATAAATTAATATAAGGACCTTGAACCTGGCTCAGTAGTAAATGGGAAGCCTGTGCAGATATTCTACACTAGCTGAAGCTTCTGCACTGGGCTCAAGGGCAGCCGCACATAGAGCACATTGCAGTAATCTAATCTCTCACCCTGGTCTAAGGTAAAGTATAGGATAGTTCAGTTAAACTCTTGAAATGCATCAGATTTCTATACATATCTGAGTTTCACAAATTACCTTAACACTTTCCCCTCTGGCAAAGAGATCTATTCTTCACTTAATCCAGGAATGACAAACCTGTGGCCCTATAAGGCTTTTAAATGTACCAATTTTGAAAATGGTGTTATTAATTGAAAGATTCAGGTTGTCTGATTATTATAAGATTAATAGAATTAATAAAAGCTAATGCTGAAATAGGTAACAGGGCATAAGCTGACAATGGAAGATTCCTGGAATTATTAAGAGCTGATATCTATAGCATCACAGTTGTTCAGAAAGAAGTGAGAAATTGCCCAGTACAAAAAATGGAAAGAATTGTGTGTCTGAGGGTTCTGATTTTTGGACAAGAGATAGGACATTTTATTTTAAGTGACCCAGTTGAAAAGGGTGGTGGTTCTGAAAAGGCATGCTAAAACATGAAAATAGGCGATGTTAGCTAGTTTTGGACCATCAGCAGACTCCTGGTGGATCATGAAAGAAGGGGTTACACGAGGGGTTGTCAACCTGGCCCCTACTGCCCACTAGTGGGCATTTCAGGATTCTAGGTGGGCGGTAGGGGGTTCTACGGCACAAGTTGAATCCTTCCATCGAGCGCTGGTGGGCAGTAAGGAAATTTTACCATCAAGAAAGATGCATTAGTGGGCAGTATCCACTACCCCTGGTTTACACGGTATCAGAGATATGAATTGTCCAAGCATGAAACCTAAAATCTTGGCATCATTGAAACGGGACCTAAATTAGTTTTTTGAAACTACCTTTTTGAAACCTTTTTGAAGCTACCGTATAAAGGCTATGTATTAAGCTCAAGGAACACTATTCTCTACTAATTGAGGAACCCCACCTCCAGGGATGTAAAATAGGGCTGCCATATGTCCAGAGTTTCCCGGATATTACCAGGATTTCAAAGGATTTCAACAACTTTTGAGGTGTCCTGGTTTTTACTTTTTGAAATATGGCAACCCTAGAAATGTTCTTCTGACTGAGGGAAGCCCCACCTTCAGAGCTGCCTTCCTCAACTTTCAAGCTTTGAGACAGGTTTGGGGTGTTGCTTTCAGGGAGCATCAAGGGGGCACTAAGGGGGAAGCCCTGTTGTGCAAGCAGAAGGTCTCACACAGGGCTTGTGCTGATGGGGTTCCTTAAATGAATCCCACCCAATAGCTTTAATCCCTAACAACCCTCCAGATGTTGTTTGGTTCTGGCTCCTATTGTCCCCAGCCAGCATGGCCAGTCCTCAGGGATGAATGGAGCTGTAGTCCAGGAACATCTGCAAGGCCACAGGTCTCTCAATCCCACTTTAATCCATTCTGGTATATAAACATTTCTTACTCCATTAATAATTTGATTATTTCAAAGTGCTAGAAAGAGCAGTGCTAAGCTGTTCAGTGCCATTTTCAGGGCTCAGAGGTGCCATTTTTTTCACTTCTACTGTCAAGTAATTTACTACGTGGAGGGGAAACAACAACATAACATGAGTCAATGTGAAAACACAACATAAATGTCAAGCTATGCAGTAAGCTCTGGTATTACAGTTTGCAGTCATTAAGCTACAAATCACATATCAACACTGTGTTTTATGCATCTTTGTTTCACTACAATTATATGTCCTGGGAAGCAACTGACAAGATTGAGCATACTGCAAAATAACAGATGTGCAGTCCTCACACATGACAATTTACATACCAATAGCTTGTTTCCCTGTATGGAAGTGCCAGGGTCAGTATCACAATGCTGTTGGAATCAGGATTGGATTGGCAGGTGGTGACACAAGAGGTAAGAAGAAGAAATTGGGGTGGGGGCTAAATGGTGGGAACCTGAGTCAGAGGAATGGGGAATATTCCCTTTTCACCCTAACTTCAGCCACTTCAGAAGGGGGAGTGGGGGTGCTGGCTCTGCTCCCCTCCACACTTTCTTCCCCAGCAGAGAGCCTCAGAGGAGGCTAGGGAGGGCTTGGAACAGCCAAGGGAAGAGGAGGAACTGGAGGCAGCAGCAACTAAACAGGAGCCTGAAAAGGAAGGTTCAGTTTTGTCACCTTGGACCAGTGACTGCCTTCTCAGATGGGAGCAGACTCCCCTCCCCTCAAAGGCGTGTGCATTTGCAATCCTGACATTTGCACAAAGTCAGCGAGTTTCACATGTAGGCACACCACATCTTTAAAAGCTGTTGGAACATCTTCATTGTTTCCATCCAGTTCTGAACTTCTGGCCCCTGTTCTTCACCTCCTAAACCATGACGCCTGAGCCTTGTGTCTGTTACTAAGCCTGTACCATGATTTGCCTGAATAAATATCTATTTCTTACTTACAAGTAAGAGTCTCTGCTTGTGTGTTTGGGTTGGGAAAGATACCTGTCTTTCGGTTTGCAGATTGTTTCAAGGAGTGTGAATTAGATAGTTTCTCATTAAAATGCAAACAAAATTGAATTTCTCCTCCATCCCTACATCTATGGGGGTGTATGGCAACTTCAGGTGGGTTCCTGGACCTATCCTTTGAACTACGGTATTTATTCTGAAGAGGGACATGATCAAGGGAGCTGACACAGCTTCTTACAATGGGAGAAGGTACCTGCCATGAATAAGCCCCCAGCTCCTCTGTGCCAGAGGTCCACCGGGACTGCTTTGAATATTTTACAACTTCCTTGAATTATTAACTATACGTTACTGACTTAATTGAAGGGGGAGTGGCTGCGGTTCCCTCGGGACATGTTGGTGGGGGGTCTTGAAGACAGCTAATGTGTCTGAGGCCCATGAATAAAGGATGGCAGTGCTGTGTGATGAGGTGTTGGTGATGGCCCCACTTCCCCCATGCTAGGAGGGAATTGGGACAGGGAACCAAAAGGGCAAGGAGACACCAGCTGCTGTGACAGAGGAGAATGGAGCTATATCAAGCCATCTGCTTCCTCCCTCTTTCTGTGATGCAATTAGATATTTGGTCCAATGGTGGGGAAGGGAGAGAACTCCTGAATATGTTAGCTGATGGATTTGAAATGGTGGTGAGGTGCATATGTGTGTGTGTTTGTGGAGAGAGGAACCAAAGCGCACCACAGGAGGCCATTGTCCTTTGTTTCAACTTTGGTATCGTGCTTCACCTCTCAGATGTGAGTTAGATGCTCAGTTTGGGTAAATGAAGGAGGCACAGCTTGAGTCTTGCAGTCTATGGAGATTCGTGGAGTTTGTCCCTCAGAGGCACTTTCCCTTCATGGTTTCATCACAGAGAGGGAATATATGTCCGTGCCTATCTGCCCCAGTGAATCACTTTTGGGGTTCTAAGTGCTGAAGGGGTAAGTGGGTCTTGAATGGCAGCCTCCTTAATCTCCTGCATCACAAGCATTCTGGGCCTTTATCCAGTCAGTCAGTCAGGCTAGGCTCCGTGGCACAAAGGTGACTTCTAAGCTGCAGCGCTATCATTTGTGTTCTCTCCTTTCTCCACAGCCTGAAGATTGTCTGCTGACCTCCCAAAGCAACGGAGAGGCACCGTGCCCCATAAATCCCTTCCCTCTGGGCTAGTCCTGAGCAGCTTGTCTCACTGAGTAGCAACGCAGGCCCCCCTCAAAGATGCCTCATGGCACCTCTCCAGACTGGTATTTGACCTCCAGCCTGCCCATAACTATGTCTTCTGCTCCCTCCAGCCCTTGGTTTCCTGATAACCTTGTCCGGTTCATGACCTTCAGCCTATTCAGGATTAGGCCTTCCTCCTCTGGCTCACATGGCCTCTGTCAGAACATGACCCTGTGGCAGCCTGTCACAAGCTAGGCCTCAAGCCTGACATTTCCCAGTTCCTAGATGCGACAGCTGATGAAGAAGCTCACTTTTAACCCAATAACGTCTACTGACTTTTCTCCCAGAGAAGATTTAATAAGAGATTTGATCCAGTTTTACAAGAACCAAAGCGGGTGAGTACGAGAGGAAGCTTCTGCTGGAAGATGGCTCTGCGACACGGGTGGGGGAATCCATTGGCTGCGGAGAACTGGCTGCTCGACAGAGGGGAATTAACCAGACCAGCTCTGAAATGTCAGAACAAACTCTCTGTTCAGTGTCTGGAAGATTAGTATTGTGCAAATGAATAGGTGGATTTTGCAAACTTTGCCATGAAAGGTGGAAGGTCCTCCATCTTTACCGAAAAGAGATGGGATTGAAATTTCTGCCTTGGATCTTTCTTTCTTTCTTTCTTTCTTTCTTTCTTTCTTTCTTTCGGAAGGCAGGATAGAATTGTCAAAAATAACTGCAGTGTGTTATATATTGGTGGGTGGGGGGTAAGGAAAACAAATGTATGAATATAAAATAAGGAGGGCTGTTTAAGCTGTAGATCTGTTCTACTAAAAACAACAACACAAAAACCTCTAAGGGGTTACAGCGGATCATAAGAGCATCTCTCCACTACCCTGCGGCCACCCTGGAGCTCCTGAAACTTCACTGCCACCACGCTGCACCATCCCAGGCCCTGCGAGCCCAGCACCACTTCTGCTGGGAAGACATCAATGATTGCCCCCCTCCCAGCTACTGCTGTGTTTCAGACATAGGGAAATAAATTGCAATAGACTTGAAGAGTATGCAAAGGTAATACAGAAATGTTTCGGAATGCATGATATCCAAGGAAATGCTGAGAGAAGATAGCATTTTTGGCTTAGGAACAATACTTCAAATACTTCAGGGTGCTCAATGGATTCCATGTACATTATGCTAGCAATCATTCTCTGCATTCAAACAGAGTTCTCAATTGTCTCCAACAGGGATGCAGGAGAACTTCAGTTTGGTCTACGTGCTATTCTTTGAAATTCATACTTCTCCAAATTTTGTGATGCAACTTTCCAACCAAAATATGCACGAATATGCATATATTAAAGTGTGTATGTTAGTGGAAATAACATACAAAAATGCATTATATTTGGGGAGAGAAATTGCTTGCAAAAATGTTTATATTAGGAAAAATTCATACGAAATGTATATATTGGGAGAAATGCTTGATAAAATGCTGATGAACTTTTGTAAGAACTTTAAAAGAAATCAATTGATGTGGAAGTGTGGTGGACTGAAGATAGGAAAAATAAGAAACCAAATCTAATGCATCCACCCCTAGTAGTCTGCTTAAGAAAATAAAATTATTATATTTATTATTCAAGGTCAACAGCAGCCAGATCATGTGTGCTGTGAAGTAATTACGGCAACATGCGGTACTGACTTTGGGCACCCCTGCCTGGGACACAGTGCCCTGTAAAGCTAGAGGCAAGACCAAGGCCACATCCACACCATACCTTTAAAGCACAGTTATACCTCTTTAACATGTGTGGCATCCCCAAAAGAATCCTAGGAACTAGTTAGTTAAGGGTGCTAAGAGATGTTAGGAGACCCCGTTCCCCTCACAAAGCTACAATTCCCAGAGTGGTTTAATAATCAGTCCTTTTCCCCAGGGAACTGGGAATTGTAGCTTTGTGAAAGTAATAGGGGTTTCCTAACACCTCTGATCACCCTTAACAAACTTCCGTTCCCAGGGTTCCTTGGGGAAAACTATGACTGTGGTATAATAGTGTTTTATATTTATATATGGTGTTTTATATGGTGCAGATGTAGCCTGACTAATAGGTAGGGTCTAAGTCAAATATCAGATGACTGGATGGCTCCAATATCAGCCTGAAGTCTACTGAGAGCTGAAATATTGCCCTCAGGATGTATGTACTGTAGCCTGGACCTCCATGGAATTGATCAGCCTCTGCTTCTGAGCAAGGCTGGCATCCCTGCTGCTGCCTCAGAATCTGGCATGGTGGTGAACACAGGATGCCCAGAACTAAAGGAATTTCCATAGAGGATTCATCTACATCTGTGGTTGTTGGCAATATAACATTATCGGAACAGGAGGTAGAGAAGACATAGCTCCTTGGAATTTATCCTCTCCTCCTCTATGTCTGAGAAAGTTTTTGTAACAGGGGTTGCCTCTGTGGCTGCTTCCTGAGATGGCCCAGTGAGAGGATCCCCCTTTTATGAGGGTCCCTGATGTCCTAGGATTCCTCTTCTGATGCAGATGCAACATGATGACAAGATTCTGGAAGGCAAGATGAAAGCAAGTGCTCCCCAGTTGCATTTTGTGCACAGCCACCAGCCAGGAGAATGCATCATGACATTTGGCTGTTAATATGCAATAAAACAATCTTTGTAAATTTCATTAAAATTGGGTTAAGATAAAAATATGCCAGACAGAACACAGCCAATAGAACCTTAATTGGCTCCTTCCCAGAGGAGAGCTGTGCTCCGTTTTCAGTGTTTTTGCCACCAGGACCTACAGAAACAACCACAGTTCTTACGGCTCCAGAGAAGAACTTTGGCCACGGAGACCCTCCCAAAGGCCACCCCCACAAACACCTCCTGTCCTGAAGCCAATGAAACTCAGGAACTTGGCTGCTTATGTATCCATTTTGAAAGCCTGTCAATATCTTCCACTGGCCTAGAATGGTTGGTTTATCAGGAAAACTGAAAAATCCATTCTGACAACTGTAATGTTTACACATCTGCTCCAGTTCATCTGGTTGTGTGTTTTATTATATTTTTCATTAGAGGAGAGTAAGAAGGGAGGGACTTTTCATGGAAACTTCAGATAGTAGAAAAACATTCCACTTTCATCAACTAAAGGAGGGTGTTTGCCCATTCAGAGTGAGGACAGTATTGATCCAGGAAGCATTGTTGTTTGGCTTTCTGAGATCACCATTTAGCCAAATCTGATTGGCTGTAGAGCATTTTAATATCATGTTCGCCATGTGGTCCCTGATTGGTTGGGATTGCCCATATGACTATTCCTAGCAAGAAGACCCCCCACAAAATGGTGCTGAAATAGCAATAGGCTGTGAAAGCAGCACAGTGCACAAGGTGCATATTTGCTTCATTTGGGTGTTTCCCCCTAAGAAAATGTTTTATGTCCCTGTAATCACCACTCTGCTCTGGAGAATGAAACAGCTTAACATCTGGCAGAGCCCTGTTTTTAATACGCCATAATCTAGAGCCATTCTAGATCATATGTTAGATCTCTCTCTAGCTATAGGCAGGGTCTTGCCATGAAACAATGCAAGATGCTGGTTGACCCCGGTCTACATTTATAATTAGTGCTGGGCCTTTTTTCATTAAAACCTATGCATTTCCTTTTTTTTTTTTTTTAAATAATTTTTTATTAAAGTTTTAAACAAAAAAAAAAGAGAAACAACACACACAAAAAACAATACAAAACTTAACAATAAAAACACAAAACATAGCAATTAAAAACAAACTCTCTTTTCCATTTCCAATTTTAAATTACTTATTTTCTGGACTTCCTCATACCTCCCTCTTTTGTATTCCAATCTACATTGTTTGTCCAGCAGTTTCTTTTCCACTTTTTTAATCCCGATCTTTAATTTAATAAAACGTTAAGATATATAACTTCAACTTTTTTAAACCTAATCCTTGATCTTAATGTCATATAACTTTAAATTTTTCCCTTTTATTATCAAATTTCCATTTCTTTAAACATCTTTAATCTTGATCTTTAATCTTAATCTATCCTTAACTTTAACCTGTACAGCTGGAAACCACTTGTTTTCAGTCCAACATCACTCTAACATTCCTTAATTTTGCAGTGTTTCTGAAGATAGTCTTTGAATTTCTTCCAGTCTTCCTCCATCGACTCTTCTCCCTGGTCACGGATTCTACCAGTCATTTCCGCCAATTCCATATAGTCCATAAGTTTCATCTGCCATTCCTCCAGCGTGGGAAGTTCTTGTGTCTTCCAATACTTTGCGATGAGTATTCTTGCTGCTGTTGTTGCATACATAAAGAAAGTTCTATCCTTTTTTAACACCATTTGGCCTACTATGCCCAGGAGAAAGGCCTCTGGTTTCTTAGGGAAGGTATACTTAAATACCTTTTTAATTCATTATATATCATTTCCCAGAAAGCCTTAATCTTTGGGCACGTCCACCAAAGGTGAAAAAATGTACCTTCAGTTTCTTTACATTTCCAACATTTGTTATCGGGCAAGTGATAGATTTTCGCAAGCTTGACTGGGGTTATGTACCACCTGTATATCATTTTCATAATATTCTCTCTTAAGGCATTACACGCCGTAAATTTCATACCTGTGGTCCATAACTGTTCCCAGTCAGCAAACATAATGTTATGGCCAACGTCCTGTGCCCATTTAATCATAGCCGATTTTACCGTTTCATCTTGAGTATTCCATTTCAGCAGCAAGTTATACATTCTTGACAAGTTCTTAGTATTGGGTTCTAACAATTCTGTTTCTAATTTGGATCTTTCCACCTGGAAGCCAATTTTCCTGTCCAATTTAAATACCTCCATTATTTGATAATAATGAAGCCAGTCTCGCACTTTGTTTTTTAGTTTTTCAAAGCTCTGCAATTTCAGTCTATCTCCGTCTTGTTCCAAAATTTCCCAATATTTCGGCCATTTGACCTCCATATTGACCTTTTTCAAGGCTTTCGCTTCCATTGGTGACAGCCACCTTGGGGTTTTATTTTCTAGCAAATCCTTATATCTTATCCAAACATTAAACAGCACTTTCCTGACAATGTGGTTTTTAAACGCTTTATGTGCTTTGACCTTATCATACCATAAATATGCATGCCATCCAAATACATTATTAAAACCTTCCAGATCCATCCCCTTGTACAGGAGCCCGGTAACGGGCTCCGGAGTGGGAGGTGCGTGGTGCTGTGAGTCGACTGCTTCCTCCGTGCAGCAAAGCCGCACTGCCGTTATCGGAGAGCGCTGCCTTTTTCCTGGACAATTTGGCATCTAAAACATCTATCCGTGAGTACCTGATCTTGGAAGAGTTGAACTACTTTTAAGACTGGTGAATAAACAAATAATATTGGATTTGAAATTGAACTCAATTGGGACTCGGAACGCGAAGGTCTAAACAGGAAGTCAGCCTTCCGTTCTTTTGTTACGTGAAGAAAGCAAAGACAAAATATACTAAAGCTTGAAAATTAAATTCTGAGAGAACTAGAATTCAACATCTAAGATTTCTGAACCCCCCCTTTGACTGCAGGAGAAGAAGGGGGTTGTATTTGGATTTTTCAATCCTGCGGAAGTGAGTTTAAAATAAAGCAATTTTCCACCGCCCTGAACCAGGAGCGGGCTGTCAGAATTGACGTTTTGAAGTTTATCCAGCTCGACAGTTAGTTAAAAGAAGGGTAACATTTTGATTCTACTGTTGCCTCTTGAATTTGGAAGGGGCATTTTGGATAAAGTGTTTCTGGAAAAAGAAAGATTGTTGTTGTTGCTTTTATTCCTTTTAAAAAAAAATTTCCATCTAGTGGAATTTAGTGAAATTGCAACGCAGAGAGTTTAAAAGAGAAGGACTATTGGACTATTGTCGTGGGAAAGAATTTTCTTTGACCTTGAAGGACAATGCTAGTACAAAGGCTTGAACAATTGTTCCTGGAAGGTTTTTCAAAACTAAGTGCCCAGCTGGACCAGATGCGTCAGGAGACGACCTTGATGATGGAAGTTACCAGAGCACAGCAGCAAACAAATGAAATTCAGTTAAAGGCTATACAAGCATATGAACCTGCTGTAGTGACGGAGGCTTCAGAGATGGAGGGATCTTTGGACGGGCGAGATCAGCCTTTGAACTTGACAAATGAACTTGGGACAAACCAGATTCGGAAAGATGAAATGTGGTCAGATTGGGAAATGGGGGGATGGATCGACCCCCCTCTATATGGTTATTTGGACCTTCCGAGTCTAGTGATAGGCTATCAGAGGATTGGAGTAGCCGAAGTCTCCAAGCTTTGTGGAAATTTGAAGTGGTATTATCTGCTGTCTGGCTTGGGCAATGGGTTTGGGATGGACTTGCTGCAAAGAGTCAAAAGCATTTTCTTGCTGGAGTATCCACGACTGGAAGGGAATCATCAACAAGAGTGGCGAAAGGGGCAAGAAAGAGACTTGAGGGCCTCGGATACGAGACAACCAGGTTAAGGAGCCGGATTATTGAGGTTAAAAGGACTGACAATCCCGGGTCCAGGGGAGGGAGGTTGGAAGCTGACTGGACTGAATTTGACTTATTATTTTTCCTTTTTATTTTTTAATATTGGGAATGTTTATAAATGTTTGAAGGATGTTGAATGAAATTACATGGCTTAAGTAAGGATTGGTAAATGATTCGTAAAAGGAACTGATGTAAGAATTTGGTAAATATCGAATATAAGCTATGAGTTTTAAAGTTTTTATATGACAAGAGGGAAAATAGAATAAGGAAACGTAATGACAGATTGTTATGAAAAAACAGAAAGGATTTGCTGTAAAAATTAAAAATTAAGAAACAAGAGAGGGGAGGAGGAGGAAGTCTAGAAAGGAAGTAAATAGAGATTGTAAAGGACTTTATATTTTTGTTTTTCTGTTTTTCCTTTTTTTCTTTGCGGCTGGGTTTTCTTTTCTTTTTTGTTTATGTACTATTTTTGTTTTTTGTATTTTCAAATTTTTTTGGAAACTTTTGTTGTTATTCTTTGAAAACTTAATAAATATCAATTATAAAAAAAAAAAAAATAAAACCTTCCAGATCCAAAATGTCAGTGTTTTCAAGAAGTAGCCATTCTTTCAACCAGCAAAAGGCTGCTGATTCATAGTACAGTTTAAGGTCTGGCAGGGCAAATCCACCTCTTTCCTTTGCATCCGTTAGTATTTTAAATTTTATTCTGGGTTTCTTGCCCTGCCAGACAAATTTAGAAATATCTTTCTGCCACCTCTTGAAACAATCCATTTTGTCCACGATCTGCAAAGTTTGAAACAAAAACAACATTCTGGGCAATACATTCATCTTTATCGCAGCGATACGGCCTAGCAGTGAAAGCTTCAAATTTGACCAAATTTCTAAATCTTTTTTTCACTTCTGACCAACATTTTTCATAGTTATCTTTAAATAAATTCCCATTTTTCGCTGTCATGTTAATCCCCAGGTATTTAACTTTCTTAACCACTGTTAAACCTGTCTCATTCTGAAACCTCTCTCTTTCAAACGGTGTTAAATTTTTCTCTAGAACCTTGGTTTTTGACTTATTCAATTTAAATCCTGCCACTTGACCAAATTCTTGAATCAGTTCTAAAACCCTTTTTGTACTAGATTCTGGCTCCTGTAACGTCAATACTAAGTCATCTGCAAATGCTCTCAATTTATAGTGTTTAGTTCCGACCTGTATACCTTTAACCATCTGGTCCCTTCTAATCATATTCAGCAACACCTCCAGGACCGAAATAAAAAGAAGTGGGGAAATTGGGCAACCTTGTCGTGTCCCTTTTTCAATTTTAAGTTCTTCCGTCACAACGTTATTTACAATTAGTTTAGCCTTTTGTTCTGAATAAATTGCACTTATACCATTCTCAAAACCTTGGCCTACCCCCATACCCTGAAGATTCTTCTTCATAAAATTCCAAGAAATATTGTCAAAGGCTTTCTCCGCGTCTACAAATATCAACACTGCTTTAGTGTTTATATTCACTTCTAGTTTTTCCAAAATATCAATTATATTCCTCAAATTATCAGACAAATGTCTTCCTGGGAGAAAGCCCGCTTGGTCTTTATGAATCTCTTCCAACAGCACTTTTTAAAATCTCTTCGCCAAAATATCTGCAAAAATTTTGTAATCCACATTAAGTAATGATATAGGGCGGTAGTTCTTAAGTTGTGTCTTTTCAGTCTCTGTTTTTGGTACAAGTGTAATATATGCTTCTTTCCACGACTCTGGTGCCCTCTTCCCCTCCATAATTTCATTGCAGACCTCTTTCAGTGGTTGAATTAACCATTCTTTTAAAGATCTGTAGTATCTAGAGGTCAAGCCGTCTGGTCCTGGAGATTTACCCAGTTGCATATTTTGAATGGCACCTTCTATTTCCTGATCAGTTATTCTGTCATTCAAAATTAATCTTTTCTCTTGAGATATTTTTGTAGTCCATTTGTTTTCAAAAATTGGTCTAAATCTGTTTCTTTCACTGGCCCCTGAGTATATAGTCTTTTAAAATACTTCTGAAACAACTTCTAATCTCCGCAGGGTTCTGTATATTCCTTCCTTCCACTTCTAAATTCGTAATCGTATTTAGTTTTTGTCTCTTTTTCATTTGCCATGCCAACAATTTACCACATTTATTGGCCGATTCAAAAGTCTTTTGTCTCATTTGTTTAATTTTCCATTCTATTTCCTGATTCATTATTTTCATATATTGTACTTGATATAACTTTAACTCTCTCAAAATCTCTTGAGATTTGGGATTTACTCTCAGTCTTTTTTCACATTCATTCATTTTGTTCATAATTTTATCCTTCTTCTCATTTTGAGTTCTTTTCTTTATCGCATTCTGTTGTATTAAGAACCCTAAAACCTATGCATTTCCATTGACTACCTCTCTGAATCTTCCTGGGTCCATGAGGTACGCATAACCAACCCAAATCTCTTTTGCCCAGGGGGAAGAAAAGTGTCGCTAGCTATGCCCTTGTTTGCCAAGTCCCTCCACACGGCCAGTTCATTTCTGAAGCTGTGGTAAAGGCGGATGGAGAAAAACACAACTGAGGACAGTAGAGAAGAACTATATCCTATGTATTGGATATGATGTGATACCAGGTAAGCCAAAAGAGCCTTTTGTCTTTTTGAACTTGCACATCACACTGTTATTTCATATTTAGTCTGTGATCCGCTGTCCTCAGTAGCACTGATATTCCCCAAATGAGGTCAACACACTGTTCTGGCAGGCGCTGCAGACAAAAGGTGAGAGACAATCTCTGCCTCAAAGAGCTTTCTGAGCCTGTGTAGAGACAGACGGGAAAAGAGCTAGGGATTGAGCCCAGGTGACCTGCCTGTCAGCTCAATAACTGGTGGGTGAGGAGGAGAGACTGAAGGAAAGCCAGGTGCAAGGGGGAAGGTCCCCTGCAAGGAGAGTTGATGGCCAAGAAGAAGAAGAGAAAACACTCGGCAAACACATAACAGCATTTTAAGGCATACTCTTGTTTTGGCTTCAGGTATAATATTGTCAGTCCAGAGTGTGGCTTCCTGCTGGCTAAAAAGAGATAAAGAGAGGCTCTCCAGCTGCTTGATCCTGCCATGCCAGCCCTGAGAATTTTTATTTTTAAAAAATCACATCATAAGCCACTATTAAAATCATTCAAATGGAATAATACTAAAAATGGGCTACTTTCCTTGGCTTCAGAGAGCTGCATAAATACGGAGCAAAATTCAGACTAAGTTCAGCATGTTTCAGTCCTGTTGATTTTAATGAGAGAAGAGTGTTTAAGCATATTCTTGACTTTGTCCTATTGAAATCAGTAGACTTTTAAGTGCCAAACTATTGTGCTAGTTTTAGCTGTGTTCATTCTCATGCATTTGCTCAGACAACTGGACACTTTAAACTCTCACCTAGGAAAGGGACTACAGATTGAAGCTATGCGGGTTGCACTGAGGAATTAAAACAGAGAGGTGGTGTGATTTACATTTGGAGCTTGGCAACTTCAGGGCTGCTTCCAGAGATAGAGGGTGTGTTGGCTAGGGTGGGAGGAAAAATTCAGCATAGTGCACATTTGAATGGGAATCTACCTAATCCACATTTTCTGGAAACAACTCACAAACTAAAATGCAACTGTTCTTTGAAATCTGCACTACTCTGAATTTTGCAATGCAGTTTTCCAACTGAAACATGTGTACATAAATAAATATATTAGAGAAAAGTGTGCATGGGGGTTGTTTTTAAACAATGATGATAATAATAATGAAAGATTTAATACAGAAATGTTGCAAACTGAGTAAGACAGAGAAATCAGAAACTGAGAAAAACCAGAATTGATAGATTCATCTATCCTGAGTGTTGGTCATTATTGATGGCACAGTCCCAAAGAGGGCCATTTTTGCAACACCTTAAGTCACTTTTGCGTCACATAGTTTAAGATTATTCACTTCTATAATCTCCGCATCTCCTGAATCATTCCCTGATATATGAATTCCAAGGTAGAGTGCCATATTGAAGCACAGTATGACTGGGGCAGAGCAGAGATGGGGAATGTGTGCCTTGTCTCCAGATGCCATTGGATTCCAAGTCCCAATAAGCCCCAAGCCTCATGGTCCAGAGGAATGGTGGGAGTTGCATTCCAACAATTTATAGAAGGTTACAGTTTCCCCAACCCTTGATTATACAGTGGGATTTATAATATTTTGCAAGGCCGAACAACACTATTTGCCACAGAGAAAGAAAGCAGGGAAGGCATGAGCAGGACCATAAGAAGACCCTGCTGGATTAGGCCAGTGACCCACCTAGTCCAGCATCTTGTCTTCGCTGTGGCCACCCAGATGCCAATGGGAAATAGACAAGAGGGCTCTCCCCTCCTGTGGTTTCCAGCAACTGGTATTCAGAAGCATTAGTGCCTCTGACTGTGGAGGCAGAGCGTAGCCATCGTGTCTAGTAGCAGTGGAGGCATGGAAGGAGGGGACAGGAGGCATTGAGACATTTCTTCATTTGCTCTGGCAACAATTATTTGCCAGCAGCCTTGTTTTCACCATTAGCCATTGAGATTCCTTCAGATGCCAATGATGAGAAGGTGGTCTTCGGTGACTTGTATAGTGCAACAAAAGTGGGACAAAAAATTAAATGGGAACATATGTCCACCCTGAAACCTTTGCAGCTGCAAACAGGGTTGAAAGGGAATTATGCATAACCACTCCAGTACAACCATGAATGCACAATAAACAGGATGTATCGAGGGACCATTAGTATTTATTATATGATTCTTGTTTTTTAGATGAGCTTCCCATGTTATTTAACCAATATTATAGCAGCTCTTTAAAGTAGGCAACTATTATTATCCCTTGGACTGCTAAGGCTGGGAGCAAGTGGTTCGCCTGAGGCCACCCTCTGAGCAAATGGCAGAGATGAAGCTCAAAGTAGAGACTGCCCAGCACACAGCTCGATTTCGTAACCACAACACCTTCCCACTGCTGTGGACAGTGCTAAATTAGAATAACAAAATGATTTTTGTATGTGTCCACCACAGGCAGGCCCCTTGCGCAGCAGTATGTGGTTGAGTCTCCGCCACTCGGAACAGATCGTGAGTGTGTGGAGGAAAGCTAAATCCCTTCTGTGACTCACTTCTTTAGTCTCAAGAAGGATCGGAATGGGTTGAAAGCTTTTAATTGAATTGGCTTTCTGACACAGGAGTGTTTGCATGATGGACATCATGAGTACCTAATGTCCAAGTGCTAAAAGTTCTGCTGTTGTTCTGAGGGTGGAACTGGGCATTACACACAGACACACACCCATGTAATGAAAGCCAAAACTTCTTATGGAAAAGCAGGGGCAGGGGATCAGGTAGGAGGGGAGAAGGAAGAGGAGATGCTTAATCCATTCCTCACCTGTTACTTCTCACAGCTCTTGATCACTTGCCTCTTGCCTCACAGGGTTGTGAAAGTATGTTTGCGGAGGCAGTTTTGGAGTCCTGCATCTAGTGAAGAGCAACTAGGGGAGAAGGATATGGGCAAGGAAATGATTAAGCATTTACATATAAGCTGCTTCTTTACAACTTTTTGTTTTTTGTTCCATGCATTAGTGGTTGCGTGCGCCTTAAGGCTGCAGTCTGAAGCACATTACCTAGGAGGAGTAAACTCCAGTAAACACACCAGGACAAAGTATGGTGACTTTGCTGCCAAGTAAACATGCATTTGTTTGCATTGCAATGTTCACATTAAGTCCCAGTTGCTCAGCTTACATAGAAATCAGTGGGCCTGCTGGCTTCATTACCAAAAGGTGCAAACACTGATTTTCACAGCAGCAACAGAATGTACTCTAAGTGTGCCTCTGATGTAGGTGGGTTTCATCCCTCCCTTTCAAAACTGCTCCTTTCTGACTGATGTAAGCTGCTATGTAACATTCCCTAAAGTGGGAGTCACCAGCCTTCATTGGTGCCCCTATGCAGGTTCAGTCCCTGTCATTTCCATGTAGGGCCGGGGAATACCATTGTCTGGAAACCCTGGATAGCCACTGTCAGTCAGTGTAGACAATAAGAAAGTAAGAAGAGCCTGCTGGATCAGACCAGTGGCCCATCTAGACCAGCATCCTGTAGCCATCCAGATGCCTCTGGGAAACCCTCAGGCACAACCCAAGCTCAGGAGCACTGTCCCCGCCTGCAGTTTACAGCAACTGGTATGCAGAGGGATACTACACTAGATGGACCAATAATCTGGCTTGGAATGAAGCAGCTTCCAATATTCCTATGAAGCAATTTCTGGCACATCAGAAGGCCAGGAGCAGGGTTTTGGTGTCTCCGATCTTTGATCATCTGAGAGCTGCCAGCCCCTTCTTTGCATTATTTCAGACTAGCAAAGCAGCTAGAATATTCCCTGCACTGACAGCTGCCTATGTATTTTTTCATATCATTTTTGGATCTGTTTGCCCCACTCCTTGTTTTCAGTAGCCGGTTGTGCTTTCGGGGAGAGTCTGGCAAAGTTTTGGCATCACACTGCAGCGACACAATTGACTGCCTATTCTTTCTCATGGGCATTTACCCATCATATTGCATTGTTGACATAGTGTAAATCTGTTACCCGTGGGAGATTGTAGCATTGTGTGAAGGCGAGTGTGTGTGTAAAATACAAATCAGTGTATTCCGGGGGATGTGGAATATGAGAGAGAGAGAGAGAGAGAGAGAGAGAGACCAGTTTAATATAGACACTGCAGTTTCAGGGACAATTTTCACCTTCCTCTGCCCAATCTGTCTGAGCTGTGGTTGCTAAGCATCACAAAGTATGGAATCCCCAGGATCTGTTTTTGTCGAAATCTTCTCCCCAGGATGCTAAGACCTGCCTGACAGCTGAGAAGGCAGGCTGGATTTCTGCTCTCTGCTTGCAATGCCTTTTTTTTTGGGGGGGGGGTCTGGCAGGATGAAGCAGGTTGGTGGGAAGGCTAAAGAGAGCAGCAACGTCTTTCAGCAGAGCCACAGATGGCTGCTGTGCTTCCCTTTAGCTGCTGCAGGCCCTCCTAGGAAGCTGAGTCCAGGACATGATTATTTATCATTTATTGAATGCTGTCAGTGCTGCAGAGCCCTAGAGAGAGACAGTCTCTGCCCCAAGGAGGTTGCTGTCTGGATCAGACAGGCAGGGCAAGGAGGAAGGTGGCAAGGGAGGGTGTGGAGGCCAGGCTTGCTGACAGATGCTTGGCTGGACTTGAGGAATCACTTTGGCTGAGAGCATACAGGGCCAGCTGAAGAGAGCACAAGGGAAAGGGATGGGAGTATTTGGGCTACTGTATCTCTAAGTGTGAGAGAAAATAAGGGGAAGGACCATAGCTCAGTGGTATAGCATTTGCCTTGCATGCAGAAGGTATCAGGTTCAATCCCCAGCATCTCTAAGTATGACTGGCAAAGGCTGCTGCCTGGAATCCTGAAAGCCACCAGCAGTCCATATAACCAATGCTGAGCTAGATAGACCAATGGTCTGACTCAGTATAAGGAAGCTTCCTAATAAAGGTACGTAAGAAGGAGAGGCAAGGATTGTGTCTGCAAATGGATGGAAACCAGGGGTGCTATCTCACCCTCAGGATTGTGGGTGCCTGCCCCTGCAACGCAGGCATGTGTGCATGTGATGTTGCATGTCCATGTTGGGTGGCCGCTGGTGACTCCTCTTCCTCCTCCTATCCCCTGCTAGCAAGGCACCCTTTCCCATGAGGAGCGGCTCTGACTCAGAAGCAGAGATACTTCTCTGCATCTGAGCTCCACCCCCTGGAAAAGGGTGCCTCGCTGGCTGGCTGTGGAGGGCAGAACTGAACTTCTTTTCTCTTGAAGGAAGCACTGCTGCTGCTTGCCAGCTTTTTTCATTGACTTTGTGGGTTCCCAGCCCCACAATTATATTATTGTGGGTGCCCAACCTAGAGTTGGTTCCTATGATGGAAACCAAGAGTAGGGATGGAGAAGGAATTCAATTCAATTCACATTTAAAGGTGAACCTGTCTCATTCACACTTCCTGGAACAATATGCAAAACGAAGCCTTTTGTTGAAATTTGACTTTGAATTTTGCAGTGTAGTTCACCGGCCAAGTGATGTGTAGAGAAATGCATATGCTAGGTACAAATGCTTATATTAACAAAAATAACATGCCAATATGTGCAATAGTAGAGGAAAATGCATGCATGTATGTATGGGAAATTTGCACCAAAATGCTGATGAATTTTCATGAACAAATCTGATGCAGAAATGCAAAGGACTGAACACTGGAAAAATAAGAAACAAAGAAACCATCCATCCTTGTCCACGGGTGGGCAGAAGGTAGACAAGAGCCCTACAGCTGGGGGGGGGGGCAGTGGGAAGACCGTGTGGGCAGGCCCCGCAGTGAGTGCTGTCCAGCATTTTGTCACTCCCCTCAGTGGTGACACCCGGGGCCGTCCGCACCCACTGCACCCCCTTCCTTCACCCCTGCCCCATAGTTCCCTGTGAAGGGGGATTGATTGTTAAACCACTCTGGAAATTGTAGCTCTGGAAGGGGGTCAGCACCCTTAACTACAGCTCCCAGAATTCTTTGGGGGAAGCCATGACAATTTAAAGCGGTATGATACTGCTTTAAATGTGTGGTGTGAATGTGGCTTAAGGTACAGTAGATTGGCAAGATCTCCCAATTGTTCAGCAACAACAAAATTATTCTCCTCCACCTTAACCCCCCCCCATATTGCCCAAAATGAAGAAGACTTTCCTAAGAACGTAGTTTCACACTGAAGGACCATGAGCTCAACTCAAAACAAATTCCTGTGCTCACTCAGCAGCTGCTCAGAGGCAGCATATTCTTCACATTCCTAAGTAATGTAGGCTTTAGTCCGTGGGCCCTGGCTCCAGTCAGTGGGTCTGAGGGCTCTAATGCACACAAAGTGGATCCACAAGCCTGAAATCTGCTTTTTCTTACAATCAGCACAGCTGGGAACTGTGATGCCAGTGATGGGCTGGACTTACTAGGTCATCCCTACATTGTTGATGGGGGTGCTGTCATCTTCTCTGCTGCCTACGTAATGCCCCATGCACAGATGATCACTTGGAACTAAATAAATGCCTTAATTAGAGGAGGGCATTTTATGATAGTCCCTTAGCTGCTGTTTTAGGCAGTTGGGGGGATACATGTGATTTATCTCTCCTGCCCCACATGTTTCCCAGTCTCTCTGCAGCTCTGTGCCTGTCTAAGGAGGGCAGTAAGAGCTGTGGGCACACACTAGGGTGTTAATGTGCACATGAATCTCTGTTTCCATGTGAGCTCCAGCTTTGCATTGCTTTTCTTACTCAGGCTATTTCATTTTTTATTTAAAATATTTATCTACTGCCTTTCTCATTATATATTTCTACACTGCCTTTTTCAGGGTGGTTCACAATGACATAAACATAACAATACCCAGATCCACTCATGCTATGTCCCATGGGAACTCTCTTTAGCTACCTGCTTGGCTCCTTCTCTCCCTGATGCACTTGGTTTGGTTAGATACTCCCCGCTGTCAATCAGAGTGTTCTGCCACCTTCCAAGGGGCCCAGCAATCATGAATTCTATGTATTCTGGCTGATAGGACTTTCAAGCCAAGTGGAATAGCCTCACTAAGGGCCTCTCCAGACTGGTGGGTTTTTGTGTGTGGATGTTTTCTGCAACGGATCATTGTCGCAATAATAGTGCATTAGTGCTGAATTTATGCTGGATTTTCCACACACCATTCTGCTTTACTAGTTGTTCTGTGCTGCTTCCCCAGTGTTACCACACTGCTGCTGCCTGGACACTCCTGCACTGTCCTGCCTCAAGAGCAGGGCAAAAAATAAACTACAACATTTGTGGTATGAAAAGTGACAATATTTCAGGAGGGAGTTACGGAACATGCACTGATCAGAAACAAAGTAGTACGTCTGCCTTAAAACATTCGCAGGGGAAAGCAGTATTGAAAGCAGGATCATGTACAACTGCTTGGATGCTGCCATGAGTGCAAATAATCTGAATGCACAATAGAAAGGATGTCTGGAGGGGCATCAACATTGGTACTCAAACTTTTTTCTCTGGGCCACACTTTCCAAATAAAATTTTTGCTTGTGCCACACCGAATTTTTTATTGCTTAAGAAATACATTGGAAAAGGAAAAGAAACAACTAGCACTGCTTGATTTATAACATAGAACAAAACTGTTTTATAATATGATCATGGGACATCTATAAAGTATAAAACAATGCAGCTAAAATTTCTGCAAAAAAATAATATTTTGATACTATATTGTACTGCACTGAAATGTTTAGATGTTTCTTTGATTGCCCTTGAATCTTTCTGCCACACTTGCCATCCTTTCCTGCCATACCAGTGTGGTACGCCACACCCTTTGAGAACCACTGTGTGTATACCTTTAAAACTCATTTGGTACCTGGGCCCTAGATGCAAGATGAGTTTTAAAGCAATGTCAGGATCCGAAAGAACCCTCGTTCCAAGGTGAGCTCAAGGTGAACAGAGGAATGAACAGGAGAGGGCTGGGGAGAATCCAGCTTGCTCAGCCACTATGACCCACACAGAAGAAGGTTGGATTCTGCACTTAGGCCTAGCTAGCCTCTTTGCTTTGGGACAATCAAGAACTGGAGCAAAGCAAAGAACAAATCGGTGAAAATTTCCTTATGGAATTAAAAGGGATGGCAGAAGGATAGGTTCCTTCCCAAAGTAGGCTGAGGCTCCCATGTCTGTTATGCCCCTGCCCACCTGCTCCTCTTCCAATGATCACCATATACCTCACCTCTCTTGGAGGCTTCAGTAAGGAAGGACAGTGCAGAGCACCAGCCTCAGGTTCCTTTTGCAGTGGCCATGCCATTCCTCACTCCCTGCTTGCTCTCAGCATCTCATGGCTCCTTCATTTATCACCCCCAAGTCAATAGCAGCCATCTGTCATGCCTGACATGCCTTTCTCCTGAGGCTGCTCCTGAGTTGGAATGGCTTCCATGCCTTGGATCTGCCCAGTTCTTTCAACAGCCTAATGTTGTTCAGATTTCTCACAAAGCCTTCTTGCTCCTCCACCATCCCATACCCATAGGTTCATGCTGCTTTCCAGAACTCCAGCTTGCTCACGTGAGACCTATTGTTATGAGCAGCAGCAAGCCACCCAAGCCAAATGTTTTGCTCTAGACTGGGAGTAGCCAGGCTGGGGCACTCCAGATGTTCTTGGACTCCAACTCCCATCAGCGCCAGCCAGCATGACCAGCGGGCAGGGATGACGGGAGTTGTAATCCAGCAACATCTGGAAGGTACTGCATTGACTACCTCTGCTCTAGAAACTAGGCCTCAGTTGTCCTGCCTACTGAAGAATTACCTGATATGGCTCATTCACTCCGCGTGCAGCTGCTAGAGAGGTAATATGTAGGATTGCCATTTTGGGGGAGGATGAATTTGCATGCAAATGCAGGTGAATGCTCACAGCATGAGAATGTACATGTAGATCTGACTGCTGCTGGCTGTGTCAGCTGTGGCATATCCAGCACTTCAGTCTCAGTACTTGAGCCACTGGGTAAGCCAGCTCATTCACATATTGCCTTTTTGCTAATTTGATGCTGAATAACACACAGGAAGTAGCCCAGGCAGTGAGCGAGAAGATAATGGGATCAACCTGGCATCCCAGTTGGCGATCAGAATCTCCAGCCAGTGTAAACCAGACCTAAAGCCAGTAGATAATTCTAAGCAAAGTTGGGCTTAGCTCTAGCAGCCCCTCAAGGCCCAGAGAGTGGCAGGTGTCAAGTGAAGGCAGTAGGGGGACAGGGGCTGCCACGTGCTGAGATGGCGTATTGCATGGGGCCTGGAACTGATCCCAGCAGCCTGACTTCTTGTCTAGCAGGCGGCTGTTCCACCTGTTCCATTTGGAGTCTCCCCACACTGTGTGTGTGTGTCTGTACAGGAAGGAGGGTGGTTGGGGCCGAAGAAGCTGGTGAGGCCAAATCTTCCCAGCAAGAGCCATGTCCCTGTCCTGCTATTACCATATTTATGAGGCTCAGCAGAGCGTAAGCATCCTAACCTGCTGCCGACCTCCCCCTTCGCAGCGTCCTTCCCCTTCACCAGCAAGGGTGCCATGAGATATTCATGAGCAGCCTCGTTCCTGTCGAGCTGGGGCCTAAGGCTGGCTGGCAGCGAGTGCATTTTTTATTAATGGGCTTCTGGAGTAAGGGGTATGCAGATGTGTGTGCATGCGTGCGCGTGCATAGAGCCCAAAAGTGCCAGCACGCTAGAGCGAGTCACAGGGAGAGACAGATGCACACTGCAATCGTGGATCGCCCTAATATCCATGCTGTACATGTGGGTGCACCCATTCTGTACATATACATGCATCTATATGTACATGCCTAGCCCTGGTAGGCAGTTGCCACATATAT